CATAAGCAATCCACCTGAGAGATCTTGAATTATAAGAAAGTTTATTTGTCCAATGATGATAAATATTCTACTTAAAAATTTCTAATAACTAGAAAATTAATCCTTAAAATATATAGAAAACTAAATTTCTGGTTGTAATTAGAACTGGACAAAACAATACTGAAATATTTCTTCTTTTGCATCACTCTGTTGTGCCCATCAGCGTAAGGAAGTGTTCAACTAGGAATTCCGCTGTTCTCTGTTCCTGGCGTGGTGGAGATGCTTTCCTCCCCTTTTTCTCAAACAGTAGACGTATTCCAGGTAAGACCATCAGAGGGACATAATCCATAGTTTTCAGTGGATATAGGTGTTCTTCAATCCTGACGACATGGACAAACCAATCAACAGAAGAGCCTCTAAGTCTTCCCTCACCAAGACGACTCCCAGTCCTCCCTGATCCTCTCTTCTTGTTCTACTCACGATTCTTAGGAGATACCTCTTCTCTGCAGCTGTCATTCTACAATAAAAACTGAAATACAAATATCAAAAATTATAATTGAAACAGTTTATTTATGTGTTAATATTCTACTCCATAATTATCATATGAAGTGTAAAATTAAAGCAGATAAGCATTGAAATAATAAAAAAAAACAGTACTATACTTGTTTAGATATCTTAGATCATCGTGCGTACTGGTGTCATATCTCAGGTTGGTAATATAAATGTTTATTGTATAGAACCCAATTTTTTTTTCTTGAATTCACTTTGAATTACATCGATCGATGCTTATAAAATAAGATTTATTTCATATAAATAATAATAATTAAATCATAAATAATAGCAGATGAATTGATAATCTTCAGTAATAATTATATGTTATTTAAAAAAAATTTTTTTTTTTTTTAAAGTAATTTAAAATTCTCCTTTTTTTCCTTTTCTCCATTACTTTCTTCTCCATAAATCCACCTCTATTTTGTGTATATTGATACATTTGCTCATTCATCTTATTTACATTACTTTAACTTTTTATTCCCTTATACGTAGTCAGTATGTTTTGATAGATTTTAAAGTATCTCAATTTTCTATTTACATCTAATATTTCTTTATATAACTTCATATTCCTTTTCTCTGTTTTACATTTTATTTTATGGTTATCTTGATCTCGAGTTTATTCTATGATTTTCTCTGTTTTATATTTTATTCTGATTATCTCACCTCCTTTTAGCATACTATTACATCATACTTTAGCAACTATGTCACCCCATCTATTTTTTCTCAACACTTACGTTTTTTATTTCATACATTCACTTAATTTTCGTTGTTAATTCATTTTTCATTTCTTATGTTATCTTATTTTGATTATGTTTATTTCATTAATCCTTACTTTGTTACTGTTATTATTTATTTCTTAGTTCTCTGTTACTGTTATTTTACCTACTTTGTTTTACTTTAAGTTTATTCTACCTACATTTTTAGACTATACCTTTCACCTACTTATTAATTTTTTTTTTATTATTTAATGTTTATAGTTTCTTATACCTATTGTTATCTGTTTTTTCTTAGCCCTGAATTTTAGGCCGAGACGTAGGCAAAAATAAAAATAAATAACTATATTTATTTTTACTTTTGACTGATCACCTCAACCATTCTTCTCTTCAATAATTTAAAATTGTTTTTTTTTTTATATTTATTATAATAGATAAGTGCACAACTGTAAAATTTCACTTTTTAAAAAATCTTTTATATTTTATAAATCCCTTTTGGCACACATTAATTTTTTTTATGTATTTATTATTTAAGATTTTTTGCTTTACCAAAATCTTATTAGGTTTAAAAGTGGGTTCCTTGTGAATTTAAATCATCACTACCAAAATCATAAAATTGGAATTGATTACTTTTATTAATTTACCAGAAGCATTTTTGCAAAATGAAATCTTATCAATGCAATCTTGGACTCAGAGAAGTAAAAAGACCCTTAGATAACCATTATCTTTAATGTGAAGGTTAAAAGTCGAACGTAAAGTTCCTGTCACATTTGTTGCAACAAAATAATTGGTAATGAAGGTCTGTTGTTTCATGGTATATTTTAATTTGAAATCGTTTTATACTTTTATGTTGTACTGTTCTATATACATAAAGAGCTTTAGCAACCAAGACCTTGGTGCATGATCGAATATTTTGTCATTTTCAAATATTTGTGGCTAGCATCTGAAATTAAAAAATAAGGAACTAAAAATAAAAGTTTTCATCATAGCTTGTCCACAAGAATATGGCAGACCAAGGGCGAACCCATGTGACACTGAATTGAACTAGCATTCCTCTCCTCTCCTAATACCTTGAAAGTTTATTTATAAAATTTACATTTAAAGCCATATGTATGTGGCATACAAAGATGAAACAGCTTCCACAACCTCTGATATAGATATTCTTAAAGCATAATTTTTTAAACACAATTTTAAAGAATAAGACAAAATGACTCCCTTAATTTTTTTAACTAAAAATTATCCTCTAAGTTTAACCTTTTTTCCACAATTAATGTTTTGACTTGTCATATAATATTACAGTAAGGCTCGAAATCGATTTTGTACCAAATATAAGCTCCTGCCATGCTCAAATTCCATGAATGGGGTACCGTTAGATTCAGAATTTCATGGGGAGTTAGCGAATCGTATTCTCCGCTTTTGTTTTTCTTTCTAAAATAAATAAAGTCTATACAAACATTTTGCTAGGCTTCAATACTGGAACGGTGGTAGGTCTGTAAATCGATATGGGACAAATTGGATCTTGAAGATTTTTATGCGTACAGCAAGACCTGGTCCTGTGTTTTTAAGTCCAAAAACGTACTATTTTCGAGATAACGCAAGGCATAGGGTTCACATCCATACAATCTTATGTTAATTGTAGTACTGTCATTGAATAAATGTCTCATTTCGTCGACTTGAGGCCTCTATGATCGAGAGAGAGGAGTTTATATTATTTATCTATGGTGTTTTTGATCGGCAAGCCATATCATCATTAATTCTTCACCAAATCTCACGATTGAGCCACCAATTTCGAAGGCTTCCTTCTCCTTCAGGCGGGAAAAATAGTCCAATCACCCCGAAAATTCAGCCAAATAAGTTATGAAAGAAAACAAACTTTATTTGCGAATGACTAAAAAAGTAGACATTTTTCTCTGGGTTATGACCATGATTACATAAAAGATTACTAAATTCCCTACAAAAGGAAAAAAAAATCATCGAAATCAGACAATTTTAAGCAAAGATACAGTTTATTGAAATTCGTAAACATGTTGGTTCCAAACATTTATGAAGTTTTAAATTAATTTTTGTTTTCTTTGTCGATTGTATTTATCGATAAATTAATAATTGATTTCTTTATATTTTGATTCTTTGCATTATTTTATTTTTTTTTTTTTTATTAATTTGGCATTTGATCACTTAATCAAATGCTGTGCGAATTTTTCACACGGGCCTATTAGTTATTTTATATTAACTTAGTGGAATCATTTTCCTTATGCCCTCCTATACCTGAAAGTATGTGAATGGTATACTTATTTTAAGACGTCTCTTGACTGTTGAAGTATTTCAAAATACCTTTTGATTTGACATAAAAATTCATTCTAATCAAATTAGAGAATCCTGATTTCATTTCTAATGGACTTTAAAGGAGTGTTTAGAATAAATATCACATTCCATGATTGTATTTATGTTGCATTGTACCTAAGATTATTGCAATGATCAGTTCTTTACATAATTGAACTCAGTGTATTTGTAAAAACATATTTGATTGATAATTTATTTGATTTTCAAGTTCCATATTTATTAAGAAAAACTATAAATAGAAGGGATGGAAGTCATTGACTTAAAAAAAAAACATATAATTAAAATAATTTAATTTACAAAACAAAATAACTTATTTATGTTTACAACATTAACTAATATACTACATGGTTGAAGTAATGTTATTACCTCAAAATTTTCAACAGCAGAGATCAATCGTAACAAAATAAAAAATAATATAGGCAAGCACTCTGTAAAGGTGAAAATGCTCGAAGCAAAAGAACGTCTGTTCCAATGTCTTAATTTAGTCCTCTAAGGGCAAACCAGCTGCCTAACTTAGTGATTTGGTACAGCAGGTACATCATAAAGTCTATTATCGACTAAATTTGACATAGCTCATTTAAGTGTGCAGCTACAAGAAAATCTTTCACAAAATGAGAAATAAAAGTAAATAACAACGAGGAATAACAATTTGGCTTTATTATCTACATTGAATTAGCAGGAGGCCCCTTACGAAAGTGATGGTGGAAAGTAATACAGCAGAATCCTGATATTTCGTATTCCAGTAATTCTTATATCCAGTAAGTATAACCCGAACAATTATAAAAATTCATCAATCCCATGAAAAAGATAACTTCTTGTATAAAAAGGTTTTATTCCAGGCTCATTCAGTTATTCATATTTATTTTCTTCTTCCAAGTTATGCAAAATTCTAATAATTTAGAATTTCAAAAAGAAAATTGAAATAACTCAAATTATTTTTCAAGAAATAGAGGAAAGCGAGTTAATGGGGAATCGTTTTTAAGACTTTTGTTTTTTATTTCTAGTTCAACTCTTTCTTTTGATCGATAACTACCTACAACTAGAGAAGCATCTAAAAAGATGATAAAAAACTTAAAAGGGTGCAGAGTGAGTTTATCAAGTAAAGTTTGCAAGTGAAAAGACAAATAGAGAGAAATTATCAATTCTTATGAGCCATATTAACCGATTTCTTTATTATTTATGGCTATTCAAACATAAAAATTAAAAAAATATTAGGATTAATCTCACTAGCATTTTTTTATTATCTTGAAAATTTCATTACCTCGGTAATTTATATTTAACCATCGGATCCTCGACAATACGAATTATCAGGATTTTACTGTAGTATAAATTACAGCATGTTTTTTTCTTTTATTTCTTTTTTTAAAATATTAAATAAATACTTCATTTTTTTTTTTTAACGTTTCTGAAGAAATATTAGTAAGATCTTATAGCAGGAGGAACAGTAGCGCAATCTTCAGGGTCTAATGTTTTATCGATGACAGGCCTGTATGAGATATTCACCTGGAATATAAAATATATTAAATTATAAAAAAATAATAGTACAATCGTAATAACTATTTTTGAATGATTTACAAGAACTACTGTCATATGAAATTGCTCATTTTGTACTAAATTGCAGGATTTGATTTTGATGGTATAAAATTGTGTATTTTGAACTTTTAGACAAAATTTCAAATTTAATGGAATAAAATTGAATGTTGAACGAAATTTCTTCTGTTATATATATATATATATATATATATATATATATATATATATATATATATTTCTTATTAAATTTATATTTTAAGTTTCTCTTTCATCTAGATTTAATATAAATTCATTGTTAAATTAGAATTATTTTTTTCTTGTTACTAAACATTTCAAATAATATTAATTCAGAGGCTGTAACTGTAATATAAGATTAGATAAATTGATATTATTATTATAAATTAAACAAAAAAATATGATTTTTGATATGATATACACAATTTTATACTTTTTGGGATTTCAACACATGATACCCCTTCTTTGGTTTTTTTTACTGCACGAAAATCTAGTATCTAGTAATAACTTAAATCTCTAATTTTTAGATTCAATATTTAATAACAGACTGTACTGATGATCAGGGATAAGATGTTCCAGATGGATGCTAAGAAAAAATCAAACATAGCATTTTACATTTTCTTGACTGTCGCCCAGACTATCTTTAATACTTATAGACTTTAATCAGGTTAAATTTTTTTCCTAATATATACATTCACTAGTATTGTGACTAAGTATGATGAAAAGTAGATTAATTATATTTTTTAAAATTGTCAAACTTACTTCTCCTGTTTTAGGATCGATGACTGTTAAGGTATGTTTACGCCAATGTTCCTCATATGGCTTCTTCGTCTGGCCTTCAAGTGGTTTAGAGTAATCGTATTCGTCTATTCTCGTCTATGAGTAAAAAGAAAAAGAAACTATTAATATTCAAATTTTATTAAATCTGTAATATCTGGCTTATTGCAAATACAAAACGCTGAATTAATTATTTTCAAACAATTTAACATCAAAATTAACATTACTTCCCATGTAACATTATGAAAATAAATAAAAAGAGATTCCTAACATTGGTCAATATAGTTTTTTATTTTATCATTGATAATAAATTATTGCTACAGTTGATGTAAAACTTCCAAAAAATCAAGCAATAGAACACACAAAACATATTTATAACACTATATATTTGCTCCAAATTGTCGGATTTCAATCATTTTTTTAAAAATAAAAATCATAAACCTTTAAATAACCATATACAACATCACCAAAAAAGTGTAAAAGGAGGATCATCCCCGTCTTAGATTCCAAATTGGAGAAAAATCGGTCCAGTAGTCTTGGAGAAAAGACGCGGACTTCGATTTTGCATTCTAAGCATTGTGAAAAATAAAACCTCAATTTTTGAATTTTTTGAACGAACACAATGGTTCATTATTGAAAATAATAAACCAGAAGGTAAAAAAATAAATAAAATAATCTTGATAAATAATATAAATGCATAATTACGAAATTTTAAAAAACATTGTTGGATCAGAGGTGAAAGTAATGAAATAGCATATTTTCAAAGAAGTTTTTTTGCTATCCAACTATACCTGAACCAAATATCTTCATTAAAGACAAAATTATACAATAATCTATAATTTCACAATTTTTATTTTATTTTATTTTTATTTTTTTCTTTATAACTTTCAACTCCAACACTATGAAATATTCTACAATAAATAATTAATAAATTTAAGCTGACCTTAAAGTCTTCTCTAGCATGAGCACCACGAGATTCTTTTCTGTTTTCAGCAGATGTGATGGTTTGCATCGCACATATCATCAAGTTCTGCAGTTCTAATGTTTCGACAAGATCTGAATTCCAAATCATACTTCTGTCGCTTGTCTGCCAACATAAAGTAGTCTGTATAAAACTGTTTTTAAAAATTGGATATATTTTTTACTAATTAGTTCAAAGTAGCTACGAAAGGATTCAACGTTTTGCATTTATTTTGTGTACTTCCACGCTGTAGTATATATTATAATTTTTTTTTTAAACTAATATTATAAATATCTACATATAATTTGAATTGTAAAATGCAACATGTACTACATGTAGTGCGCCTAGTTATAATAGGCATGGAACATGTAATACTTATTTAATAAACTCTCTTTGGTGTTACCATAGAATGAAAATAAAATAAAAATAATACATATATATAACAGTATGTTAACAATATATTACGTTTGGAGAATACAAATGAAGATTTAAGCCAAGCTGACAAGAACTGGAATAGAAAATATACACACAAAGACAGAACTTTCAATTTATGTAAATTTTTCTGTGTTGTAAAATTAAATAAAATTCTTAATGATTTAGAGGTGGTTGACCGTTGATATAATATGAGAAGGAGTTAATCGGGTGATGCGGTCAAATAAATACTAAATTAAAATATAGTAATTATTTTAATTTTTGCCGACGTTTCGACCCACTTTGCAGGTCGTCTTCAGGGCTACAAAAGATACAAAAACATGCTGAAAATAAAAAATAAATATACATAGATATAAAATAAGAAGAAGTTGTCAGATACAGAAATAAAAGATGATACCAGAGATATAGTGGGTGACAATGTAGTTAAATATTAAGTATTATATGTGTTAAGTGTTATATTATATATATGTGTTATATTAAGTATTATATATGTGTATCTTCCACATATATAATACTTAATATTTAACTACATTGTCACCCACTAAATCTCTGGTATCATCTTTTATTTCTGTATCTGACAACTTCTTCTTATTTTATATTTACGTATATTTATTTTTTATTTTCAACATGTTTTTGTATCTTTTGTAGCCTTGAAGACGACCTGCAAAGTGGGTCGAAACGTTGGCAAAAATTTAAATAATTACTATATTTTAATTTAGTATTTATTTGACCGAACCCCCCTATTAACTCCTTCTCATAAATAAAATTCTGTACAAAGATAATTTCAAAATTCCTCTAGGAATTCCTCAATAACATTCAATAGTCCTAAAACCAAATTAAAACTGTAACAATAAATTTAAGTTATAGTATTATTGCAGATGATATTAAGAATTGATTTTTGCAGGTATAAATGCTCTACTATAATTATTCATAATAACAATGAATAATCAATGACTGACCATACTAGAATACTGAGAATCATAAGTATACCTTATATGAATATCTATCTTGAGATTTGTCATATTATATTTATGATTACGTATATTAATTATTGTATTAAATTTTTTCTTATCTATGTTTATTGTTACTAATTTTATTTGCTTTATTTAAGTTTCTAATTACTTACTTTTATATTTGAATGTTCTTAATCATCATTTATTCAACTTATATTTTAATGTTCTCAATACTTTTATACACTCTCTATTTACACTGTTTATAATTTTATTTAAATATTTTGTAACTCCTACAATGTTCTAGATCCTTTGGAGCTTGTTCGTTCTAGCCCTGATGAAGACCTGAATAGTTTGGTCGAAACGTTGGCTTAAAATAAAATAGTTTTAACTGTTTTAAGTTCTTTTAAGACCGCTACCCCGGAACATTTTTTTCCATCCTCGATATTATAAACAGATTGGGATGAATTTGATATTATTATTAATAACTTATCAAAAAACAAAACTTAAAGGAACAAGAATAGAAATCCCAAGATACAGCCTAGATTTAATTCCGGTACAGTTAATATTTAAAGGAAACTGAATACAACATCACATCATTCACACGAAAAATAGCTTGGGTAGCATACAAGGCTTAAACTTATAAACAAATAAAAAAGTATGATTGTCCATTATACAACTTTTTTTGCAATACTGAAATAGAAAAAAATTATTATTAATAAAAACCAATGGCAGCTTTGTTAAAAAGTAAACGGCGATTTATTTTGAGGCCAGATAAAAAAGTATTGAACCAAAACTTATATTGTGACTAGGGATCGACCGATAACAAAATTTTGGCCGATATAGATATTACAAAGGCCAATATATTTTTATTTTTTTTTTTCGCTTTTCCGTAAAGATTTGTACAGTTTCATATGGAATACCCAACTTATTGCTAAATAAAAGCATAAATAGACCTTCTATGCGTCGGCCTATGCACAAGTTTCGACCAATAAAAGATATTGGTCGAACGAAAGTTATTTATATCAGCCTTTTTTTTTCGATTTTCCGTAAAGATTTGTACAGTTCACATGGAATACCCTACTTATAGCAAAATAAAAGAATAGACCATCTATGCATAGGCCTATACACAAATTTCGACCATTAAAAGATATTAGTTGAAAAAAATTTATTTTTATAGGCCATATATCGGCATTTTTTTCGTTTTTCTGTTAAGATTTGTACAGTTTCATATGGAATACTCTACTTATAAGACCGATATATCAGTCATTAGTATATCGGTACCTACTGAAAATTATGAAAGGATGAGAAAAAAAAAGGCCGATATATCGGCGTTCAATATGTCGATATTAATAACGGTATCGGTCAATCTCTAATTGTGACATTACATATCTATTGTTAAAAATATCCAGTCATTTTTCAATATAAAAATGAAATTAATTAATTTTCATCAACCAAACATTATAGGTTGAATTGGCTAAATTAATTATTTAAAAAAAAAATGGTTTTTACCTTGATATCGTCCATCATTTTATATATTTCTTTCAGATTTTTAACACCTGCTTTTAGAGATTCTGCGGTCCTAAATACAGCTGCATCCCTTTGCATGGCCTTCTGCATTGTCAGCCGAATCTGTGCAGTGCTCAATTGACCATCAGCAAAGCGAAGTGCATCCAAATTAGCAACAGAGTCTTCACCATGATTCTAAGTAATAAAAATTAAGTTAATTTAAATGATGAAACACACTGTACAACTCATTTAGTCACATTACTACTAGTTATATTTAACAGAATAGCTATTATTCCATACCATAAGCTCTTACAATGGAAAATATATACATAGAATAGAATAGAAAATAAACTTTATTCTGGGATGATGTCCCCTTAGAATAACAATAACGAACAGTTAAAAAGAAAAAATACATATCTGGCCAAAAACTAATTTAATAAAGATTCAAATAATATATACAACAACTTAAATAACAGTATGTAAATTACTAAAAAATAAAATAAAATCTTCTCAGCAAAAAAAAAAAAAAAAAAAAGAATACATGTATAGAAAGAAAAAGCAAACCTACAGAAAAGAAAAAAATATCAAAATTATGTAAATAAAAAAGATATATTAATGACAGAAGATGAGCAACGGGACCACAAAAAAAATACTGATTTAAAGAAAATAAATTATTTATATATGTTATAAAATACGCAATGGTATTATAAACTAAAAAAAAAACACGGAGATTAACATAGGAAAAGATATATATATATATGTATACATATTGAGGAATGTGAGAAATGAAATACGTCTAAAATATATACAATCTTGTAGATGGAAAAAGAAAATTGGATAAAAACAATAAACAATCTCTTATTTTTTATGCATCAACTCACAGTGCTATGCCAAAAGTGATACTGAATCTTTCCAATTCACAAATAATAAACATAAAAGAAAATAATGGTGTATGAAAAGAAAGAAAATAATATCCTTGTTACGTGATACATAATTAACCATTGTCTGATATGTATATGTATATATACATATATATGTATGTTCACTGACAACCATCGAATATGATTACAATAACCAAGTACTATGGAATATTTAGGGCACAAGGAATAGTCATAGGCAGAGGAATAATCATAGGTAGGAGGAAGAGAATCATCCAGTGACTAATTTTTGGTCTTGTATCTTATTATTTGAGAAGGTCTCTCATCCAGATCCTTCTCAGCCTTCTTTGGATGTGATCGGGCATGTTTTCCTTGGCCATGTCAAGAATAATTCTATTGAGATGACATTGAAGCTTTTGGTGATATCTTTTGTAGTAAGTTTGTATGTGTTCATTGAAAGTTGGCATTCGTAAATCTTTGTGGAAAGTAGTATTACTGATGTTCAAAACTTGTGTGATTGTTCTAAACATTTTGGCTTGAAATATTTGTAGTTTTTTAAATATGTCTTTTTTAGGCAATTCCGTGGTGTATCTGTGAGGTAATAGACAATCATCAAGAGGTATTAGACATATACAATCACCTATGTATATGTATTAAGATTCTGTCTTAAATCTAGTTTATACAAAATATCATAAAATAAAATAAATAATAAAACATTACCGATTTTAGTTCAGGCTGTGATTCACCAGGTTTGTTTTCTTCAGCAATTGTTTTGGCGCATGCTCTTCCAAAAACTACTAAATCCAAAAGTGAATTAGCACCTAGCCTGTTAGCACCATGGACTGACGAGCAGGATGATTCTCCGCAAGAATAGAGACCTTCAATAATTTTGTCGGCACCATTTCGGTGAACAATCACCTGTAAGTAGAAATAAATAAAATATCGATAAAAGTTTAGTTCATTCATTGATTATTATGTAATATAATAAGTAACAGTAAATTTTTATTATTTTTATAGGCTTCTCACACCAGTTCCATCCGCTCCATGTTATGAATTCACTTTCTCGTCTGTTATAATTTATAAATTTATATTATATTAACCTAATTTATATGATTAATTAAATTCTATATGGTTTTGTTGAACTATACCCCTAGCACGAAAAAATTATAGCATAATTCAACAAGGCTAGAAGTTATAAATTCAAGGAGCTTTTCATCAATTTCTAGGCTTAATTTACATTAAAAAAATCTTTTAAAAAAACAAACAAAAAATTTGAAAATCTGTCTCTTTCAGAACAATTTTTAAAAAATTAGTAGGAATGCAATTAAATCTTATAAGCATTTCCTGGGTTTCTTAATCAGTAAACATTAAAAAGAAATTAAATTAATGTAAACAATTTTTAAATCATGGAACAGCTCATATTAAGTATGAAACTCTCAGATATTGGGTGTATAAAAGTATTGGAAGAATTTTAACAACGTAAAATTTATGGAGCATAAACCCTAAACTACCTTAGGAAATATAAATATAAATATAAAAGGTACTTGTGAACAGTCTGGTCTCTATGGAATGCTATCTGCTAATACTTATATATGCCAATATCAACACTGATAATTGTGATATATATATATATATATATATATATATATATATATATAAACAATTTTTAAATCATGGAACAGCTCATATTAAGTATGAAACTCTCAGATATTGGGTGTATAAAAGTATTGGAAGAATTTTAACAACATAAAATTTATGGAGCATAAACCCTAACCTACCATAGGCAATATAAATATAAATATAAAAGGTACTTGTGAACAGTCTGGTCTCTATGGAATGCTATCTGCCAATATTTATATATGCCAATATCAACACTGATAATTGTGATATATATATATATATATATATAATATATATATATATATATATATATATATATATAATTAATAACAAAACACTTTGATTGATTTACTTTGGAAGACAAAATAGCTTAATGCTATTTAAAATAGAGAAAACGGGTTTTCTTCTCTGTGAGCCCGCCGCCACAAAAATTCACATAAATATGAAATATGGTGAAAAGGTAATCTTCGCTCTCTCTAACCACATCCTTTTTCCTTATAGATCGTTTTTCTTACAAGTGTTACGAAACCATCTCCATTCCGTCTTCCAGTCGAACTTCATTTCATGACCTTCATCACAATATTTCACCTTTGCAATTATTATTATTGAAAATATTTGATAGCCTCTTCTTCTGAAGACAGCAATTCCCACAATGTAATAACATCCATTTCAATAACTCACACGCAACAGCTTGCACTAGATAAAAAAAGGCAGGTTATGTGACGTAACATAAGATAAGAAGGTGACGTAAGTTAAGATAAGAAGGGAGATTTACCAGAGACCAGACCGTTCACAAGTACCATATAAAATATCAATACATGACAATAGGTGAAAAAACATTCTTACATCGAACCCATTTTATAGTTGATATAATAACAATGTAAGTAACTGAAATTAATTGAATAAGATTTATGTAAGCAATAAAATTTCCATGAATTAATTGGATAAGATTTATGTAAGCAATAGAATTTCAATGGATAAAAAATGAAAATACATTTAAAAAATAAATTCTAGTTACCTGGCCTTTGTAGTTGGTTGGTACCCCACCCATATTGTAATGTACAGTTGGGATTACAGGAATAGGTTCTTTGGTAACATCAACACCCGCAAATATCATCGCAGACTCGGATATTCCAGGAAGGCGAGAAGCCAACTGCTCTGGTGGCAAGTGATGCAATTGAAGGAACACGTGATCCTTATCTGGACCAACTCCCCTAAAATAAATTAAAAAACATGTATAACTGAGAATATCTTATTAAAAAAATTAATATTTGGTGTGACTCACATCATCACCATTTAGGGTGAAAGACCAATAGAAAATAGATTTGGTATATCTTAGCTAATATTAATATGATTAACATTTATTTATTAATTGTTTAAGTTTGGCTTTGTCGACAATTTAACTATCATACACATGAGTATGAAGAACATCCCAGATGTGTTTTGTATGCAGTTTTCAAGTTATTCAAAAACTAAAAGAAAGTAACAGGTTTCCATGGAAACTTATAAAGAATACTTTTAAAAAACATAGGTAAGAAGTCTAATAAGATGTATATCTGTTAATTCGAGTCTAATTTATGTGAGTATTTCACTTTTGTTAGATAGAGAATTTAATTACCATTCAAGTGATTATACACATAATTTTCCATAAAATTTACACTTTTTCTGTTAGGCACAAATTAACTATACCAGCCATCATAACTATTAATGTTTTTTTCCTTGAGAACGAACTATTTTCGAAAATTTAAAATATACAGGAAAAGAAATAAGAAGTTTTATTAGAGCCATTTTGGCATTACATCTGCCAGCCACATAGGATTCATGAAAATTGGTTACCTAAACCCACCAAAATATAAATAAATCAGTCACAATGATAATTGTGGCCCAGACATACAATTGTAACAATTTAACTGATAAAATGGAGCTGACATAAAAACGTATGACAATTATGATAGTTAAGTCGTAATAAGAAGACACCTGTTTTTGCATCGGAAATGCAGTAAACTGGGAAATGATGGATTTGAGAGTGGCTCGATGTGCCGAAGTATAGTCATTCCGTAATAGGGATTGTAAATTAAAACATTTTGGTGTACTATTGGCTTAATGAAATATAAGATAAAAATATATATTTTTTGGATATTTGGGGATGTAAAAACTATGCACTGAATTTTTAATTAAATTACATACATTTCGTAGCTAGTAGAAAAGTAAAAATTACTTTCTTAGATAAAATAAGTCCCAGATTAATATAAAACATTTTCATTTCGTTTCAAAATAAAGAACTAGCAAATTACTCAAAAAATTGTATACGCGTGCATATTGAAGTTAGAAGAAATCATTAGTCTACTATTCTTAGTATGTTTAATATTATTTACATAAGGTAGAATTAAATAGAAAAAAAAAATGTTTACCTGCCCTCTCTGATTTCCATTGTCATGGCTCGAGAAACGACATCTCTTGAAGCCAAATCTTTGGCAACAGGAGCATACCTTTCCATAAATCTTTCACCCTGAGAATTGACCAAGAAACCTCCTTCACCACGACAACCTTCAGTGATCAGACATCCAGCACCATAAATTCCTAAGTGATAAAAAAAGATAAATATAAGTAAATGATAATTAAAATTAGAAATCGCTTTGGAGACTATAATTTAAAGAAATTATTGTTGTATTAACATAAAATAATAATTACAATAAATTTAAAAAAAATATATAATAAATACCTAAAAGATTAAGAATAATCTAATAAGGATTTAAGAATCAGTTTAAATTCTCTTCTTAGCTTTCAAAATTAGAGAAGGGGAGAGAGTATATGTATGGTTTTTGATTCACAAAGGTGGCTGTACAATCATTCACATTATCGATAGGGCACTGACAGTCGTGAACTACCATAAGGAAATTATTAGTGATTACTTTCAAATTACTGGTACTGGTACTTAGTGGGGGGAACTAGTTCGGCAATTGGGTCTTATCGTGGTCCTTTTTGCCAACCCTTAGCGGCTATGTTGAGGTTGCCGTTGTGTACTTCCTAGAGTGGGAATAACAAGATCCATTTCCGGGATCGCCAAGAAATGAAAATTAACTGACCCACATGGGTGTCGAACTCACAACGTTCAGAATCCGGCACTCTGGCACCCACGTCCAAATTTGCTTGGTCATCCAGTCCTCTATTTTCAAATGAACAAATAATTTCTAGCTAGGGACAATAGTTAATTATTTTTTAATTTATGAATAATTGACTTCCTCTGGATCCAAGTTCTCAGATCTATACATTCAACAGGAGACCATCACAATAAGCTAATTCTGACTTCAATGATGTATCAGTAATCCCCCGATTAGATCATCGATATATGCATTCATAAAATTTAACAGTCTATGGGGAATACCAACTGTTAATGTCATATTTCATAGACAGTGTCCTCGGCTTTTCAAACTGACCGATAAAGTATACTATACTACATCACATCTTAATTTATTATGACTATTAATAATCAATCACAAAGCAATAACCATGAAAAAAAAATTAATATTAATATTTTTTATTTCTTAATGATATTTACAACTGTATTAAATAAATACATCTAGTAAATTTGAACATATGGATATAATGACATGAAAACACTTGCTGAGTAACTATCCAATGGTAGCACTCTAATGATATGTCTACATTAGCAGATCACGGGGTCATCTTCTTTTCGGACGGCTTGGAGGGTTATCAGGAATTGAAGAGGAAGCAAGGTTAGAAACGAGAGGGTTGGGATGATTCTGAAGTTTATTATGGAAGGATAGGTATCTGGATTGGGTCAGATCTGAAACAAAAGAAACATTAAGGTCATTATGGATGGTTTTATTTGTAACAAAGTAGGAAGCATTGAGGATTTTACGAAGGATTTTAGATAGCAAGGATTGGATACAGGAGGAATTCGATGGTTAAGTGGAGCCCCATAACTCAACTCCGTAAGTCCAAATAGGCCTTATTATAGTCATGTATGTGAGTCTTTTGTAATTAATTGAAAGTTTAGAACATTTGTCTAGTAAGTGCTGAAGTAATCGGAAACATTAAGCGATTTCTTGTCGTTTCAGTCTAGTATGAGGATTCCAAGTTAGTCGTTTTTCCAGGTGGAGTCCTAGGTAGCAGATTTGCTCAACAGGGTAAGTGGAGTATTGTTGAAGAAAACTGTAGGACAGGAAGTCATTGGTTTACGACGAAGGGTAAAGGTAATTTGGTGGGATTTATTGGAGTTTATTTTAATTCACCAGTTTTGACACCATTCTTCAAGATTTAATATGTCGTGAGTTATTTCTTTTATTGACGGAAGTGTTATAATTTATAGTGGTTAATATTAATATTGGCAATTTTTTTAATTTGGACTAACCTGTGGGATGGAACTGTACAAACTCCAAATCTTGCGACTGAAGTCCTGCTCTGTTCACCATTGCTATTCCGTCACCTGTACAAGTATGGGCCGAGGTACACGAGAAGTAAGTCCTTCCATAACCGCCTGTAGCTATTACCTGGTAAGTATAAAGGCATATTAAAAGGGCAATGAAAGCAATAACTAATAGTACAAAACTGCTTATTGGTTATTAAATATATCATTTGTTATAGTTAATTTGAAATTTAGAATGTATTTTTGACTGCAAGTATGGATTTTACAGTCGAGTATAGCTTATGTAGAATCTGAAATTCAGTTGTATACAGCCATCAATTAGCCATTATAATAAAATTTTGATGTATATATTGTAATGTACACCTTTATTGAAAGTGAGTAAAAAGGGTTTAATAAACTAATATTGAACAATTAAAAGGCAAGCTAATGTATTTCTACTAGTGCAGGGAAAAGACAATGGCTGCTCTGTAGTTTCCCAAGAAGGAAAATCCCAAAGAGGAAAGGGAAAAAGCTTTTGGTTTTGGCAAACAGTTGTTGTGTGGCTATAGTGAAGAGAGGATAGAAGAGATCCTGGCTCCAGTGGGTAAAACCCAGTAATAGTTTACCATATTAAAATTAGTAATAGTTTACTACAATTATTACAATTAGTAATAGTTTACAATATTACCATCTTAGAAGATATTGTATGGCAGGGAAAATAGTTGTTTGGAATTGCAAGAGAGAGGATTCCCCAGAGAGCTTGAGTTGAGTGGAAGAATAGTGTTACCATTTTGGGATATGTGTTTGGCAGAACATAAGAAAATGTGTGAAGACAAATGAGTTCAGTGCCACAAAGGAAGAAACATTGTATGTAGAAAAAAGGTTAGCTTGTCAATCCATACTTGACTTTATTTTAAAATCAGTGTTTAATTTTAGTGTAAATAATAATAGTTTGTCTGAGTTGATCTGATTGTCAGTAACCCACACCTGAGATAAATAAATATATTAATTCTCTTATAATTTTGTTGATTATTAAACAACCTCTTATTTATTTAGGAAGTGTCCCAATGGTAAGAAGTGAGCTTCCGAGGTTATATTATTGTTATTTGCAAAAATATATGAGGTATGTTACAATATTTAGAGGGACTAATTATTAATTAAACGAGTTTCTAGTTTGTAAGGTTGTTTGAGTCTGGAATATGTATTCAAACTAATTCCTTATTCTAAGTAATTGTATTATAAACTAATTTCATATTCTAGGTAGTCTGTTCAACATTGCTGGCAGATACTACATAGGCTCTAGCATAACAGATATATTTTTTTTCAGTTATCCTGGTCAGTTTTTTAATATAAATAAGCCCTTGATTTCATCAATATTGATTTTTATATGACAATTTAGGTTTTATATATTTACACTATATTTATCTGTTTTTTCACAAACTGCTTATAAATTGTTAATAAGATCTGCAAAGTTGGCTAAAATGTCAACAAACATAAAACATTTTATCATTTTTATGTTGATGACACTACAATCATTATGACCTAGATTTAATCCATTTATTCACCAAAAAATGTCTAGATAATTTGAAAATCTGTTACATCTAAATTAAAAAATATTAAAATATTTACAGTATTTTTAGCTCTGAATCTGTGAAGTGTGCCATCTTCAAGACATAACGCTATTACTCCGACACATTTGTCACCATCCATCAGAAGATCCATAGCGAAGTACTCAATGAAATAATTACAATTATATCTACAAAACAGAAAGAAAACAGTTAAAACTTAATTTTGATAAGTCAAATATCACAATGATAGATAATCTGGAGATCGGTAATTTCATGTTTGTCAAAAAAAAAAAAAAAAAAAAAAAAAAAGGTCTTCCATGATGTGAACATCTGCTAGTTAATAAAATGACTATTGGAATTTTAACAAATGAATGGTAATAATTAAATACTAAACAAGTTGTTTCAATATTTTTCAAAAGTACTAAGTAAAAACTATAAATATTCAACAACTAAGGATTTTTTTTTTTATTTAACATAGCCATTCGTTAACATAACTTTCAAGGTTTTTCATTCAATCAATAACAGACTAAAATTTAAATAATGAAATGTACAAACATTTATGAAAACGCTTGACTTTTTTTTGTCTGATAGGTAATTGATTGAATGATTACTAAAGAGTTATATAAAATGGTCTAACTTCTTCAAATCAATAAAATAATTGGTTGGGGTGATCAGTCAAAATAAAAAATAGTAAAACAAATAATTATATTAATTTATAAATTAATATAATCATTTATTTTGACTGATCACCCCAACCAGCCTTCATTAATTTCTTAAATTTTTTTAAATTTTCAGTTTAAAGTTGAATTTGATAAATATATCTATCAATTATTTAAAATGAAAAATTGGTTATACCCAACAAAAAAATAATAATAGCTTATAATACATTCTATTACGTTAGTGGAAACCACTGGACTATGGTGGGAAGAAACATACTGATTGCACGGGGTCAGTCATGTGATTTAGGCCTTATTCATTTTTATGCTAATGGAAATTTTAACCTAATCACATTCATGTTAATAAGCTTAAGTATTCAGTATCTACCATTTTGTCGAAATTTAAATAACATATTTTTTATTTTATTTTTGAACTCCAAATAAGTAAAATTTTGTTTAAAAAAATGTAATTAACAAGATGCTTCATCTATTTTAAATTTCAAGAACGGCTTCAACGGTTTAAAATTAGCAATTTTGATAAAAAGGATAAAGAACTTGGAGGAAAGCCAGAAATGTTTGAATTGGAGGCCAGATGCAGAACTGAACATATCTTCGTATCAAGCACAAGAAAAAATTGCAGAATCCTTAATAAGCAATTTCGGTACTTGTGACTTAGTTCGTCGCCACGCAACCTATATTCTTATCTCGTGTAACCTCTTCTTTTCACTCGTCTCTGCTTTACTTATGCATTCTTCTTGTTATTCAATTGTTTTCAGTTTTTTTTTTGTTTTTTGTTATTTTCTATTTAAAATGGATATTAGAGTGCTACCAATGGGTAGTTTCTCAACATGTGTTCCATGTCTTTATACCAATGTGCGAATTTACCAGATGTATTTTTTGTATACAGTTGTAAATATCATTTAAAATAAATAAAATTAAAAAAAATGGATATAACACTCTGGGGGAAAAGCAATAACTAAAAAAATTGGAGGGCCTGAAAAAGTATTTGAAATAGATGAAAATCTATTTCCTAAAAAAAAAAAAAAAAATAAATCATGTAAGGAACAGTGGATGTTTCACAGAGTTTGTTTAGAAACTGACAAGTGCTTCATTGTAAAGATAAAAGACATAACAGCAACAACTCTATTAGAATGTATTAAAAATAATATAGAAGAGAGAACTACCATAAATTCTGAGTTGGAAAGGGTACAACACCCAACAACTAAATGAAGCAAACTAAAACTATTTCCAGGTGAATCAACGATAAAACTTCGTCAATACTTCAAGTGGGTTCCATAATAAACACATAGAACGATAACGGGGCTCAGCTAAATGGAGAAATAAAAAACATGCAGCAACTTTATAGATAGGTATTATCAGTATCAGAATTATAGTGTTCAGATTATAAACAATGGCGGATAGCAGGCAGTGGTGACCGGCTAACTCACAAGTACCACAATTTCATAACACATTAAAGCAATGGGAAGGTCCAAAAGTAAAGAAATTGGGAACCATAAGAATTAAAGTTCTTAGATCTAAAAAGCAGATTTGTAACCTGTGATCAGATGCACAGAAAAAAAAAATTTTTTTTTTTAATTGAATCTAAATTTCAGCTAAAAGGTGGGCTCATTACAATGCAAAGTATAAGACACTGTGGGGTAAGCTCATCAATCAACATTAACGGTGATAAGTAATATTCGTAGATCAAAGCTAAACTTCTGCATTTGGTGGGATCAACGGAATGTAATATAATGTAATACGGGAAAAATATTCTTTGAGACATGGCAAAACAGCATGACAATGCTTGATCACATGTAGTGCCGTTCAAAATGCCCAAGTCTACTTTAAAATACTCAAATGAGACATCCTACTCCTGCCTTCATATTCTCCAGATAATGCTTCTAATGACTATAGCTTATTATATAATTAAGAAACATCTCATCAGCATTTCTATTTTTATACGGACTGCAAAAAATGGGTGAATTATTGGAGTGCAATAAAAAAATATCAGACAACAATAAAAAGTAAATTTTTAATTACTTGTAACAGATATACTAACTTTGCACAAAGAACAGTTAATATTGGAAGCATTAATGGAAATAATGACAGATTGATGCAAAGAATACTACTTTATAATCAGTTACATATCTGCCAGTATCATATAAATAAATATAAAATATTTTCTTTATATTTAAAATAGGGTAAAAGTATCTTAAAGAAGAGATTAAATGTTTTCATAAAAACATATTTTGATTAATCAATTAAACTGGATTAAAAACATTCATGTTTTTGTCATAAAAAAATTGACATGTCATGCAATAAAATCAGATAAAAACAACTTCAAACACTTATAATCAAATGATTGTTTAGTTCAAATTTATCTTTCAATGGAGAATAACTGAGACTGTTTCTTTGATTAATTATAAATGAAGAATCTTAAATTATTACAAGCAGGTTAGTAAGATAATATTATCATGAAGGTATATGTTTTCCTATAATTACACAAATGTTATAGTATTGTATCATTTAATAATTACGAATATAATTATAATTTAATGATATACCATGGTAAATTCAATAGCACCAGTTATTGAGAATATTAGATGAGAATATTTCTTAGATACCTCAAAGATTGGCCATAAAGGGTGTGAAGTAGTGAATGTCCTGTCCTATCAGCTACGGCACAAGTTCTGTGTGCTTGTCCACCCTTTCCGTAGTTGTAGCTTTGGCCACCGAAAGCTCTTTGATAGATTTTACCTTCTTTAGTTCTTGAAAAAGGCATTCCTACCAGTAGAGGAAAATCATGGACATAATTAATCCTGGCCAAAATACAACTATTTCAAAAATTAAAAAAAAAGATTGAATAATGGGCTTACCATAATTTTCCAGCTCAATAACAGCTTGTCCAGCATATTTAGTCATGTAGTGGATAGCGTCTTGGTCTCCCAACCAATCAGATCCTTTGACTGTATCGTACCTAAGAACATACAATTCCTTTATATTATCACAAATTATATCACATTCATCATTCACTAAGTAACTCCAAAAAATGTTTAAACAACTGTTAATGAACAGTGATCATACAGAGCTGAAGAAACATTATAGCAAATCCGTTATGAATACTACAACCAACATTTTGTCTATCAGAAATTAAAACATTACATATTAATAAAAATATAAAATGGAGTAATATAGGATATAAATCACCTATTTGTCGGCTTGATCATGAATGAAGAGAATATTAAAAAATAAAATAAAAACCCTGTACAACTTCAGCCCAAGAATAGTCTTGGTTTAAGTACCATTTTTAAGCCAATGCATGGTGTCTATTAAAAAAAAAAAAAAAAACCTGTTTCACTACAAGCCATGAAGGGTCTTGGGTTCAGTACTATTTAGTGAAAGCATTATTTCTACGGTCTACGGTTGTGCAAGAAGGTGATTTGACCTGAGATCACGCTCAACCACCAGGTTTTCCTCCTTAATTATTTTAATTTAGGACGCACATTTTATAGAGGCTGGGTGTGCCCCAGGAGGGTCTACCTACCCTGGGTGAGTCGTCTCACGGCCAATAAAACAGAATAAATAATTGTTTTACCATGAGCCGGGATTTGAACCTGGGACCTTAAGTATTGGAAGCTCAGTACCCCACCACTGAGCTACCCCACTCCCTATTAATACAGCATGAAAAACTTCAATTATCATACAGCAGTGAACTATAAAATGCAAGGCACTTTTTGTCCTTGCATGCTGCATTTGCAGCTTCTGATACAAAGGAAATAAAAAAATTGTTACCAACTTTTTACTTTTATCGATCAACATATACCCAAAATTAAAACTAACTAGAAACTACAGCATAAAAACAACAAACAATAAGTGTAAATAATATTTATCATTATCATTTATTATTAATTATCATCATTATCATTACTTATAATATATCATCATACCAATATTCGAATAAATTTCACCACAAAGTTATTTAAAGAATTATTTAATATTTCAAAACATATATATATATATATATATATATATAAATTTATTCTTATTAATATATATTCTTTTCTTATGATTTATTGTAAATACTTCCATAAAAAAGTTGAATTGGTTGGAGATAATACATCATTTTATTATACTATATATTATACTCCTGGTTTCTTGATAGCTCATATAAAAAGTTATGTGATTAAAAACTTTGACAACTAATCTTTATCAAAGATGAAGCAACTTTTTTAAATTCCCAGTTTTGTTAACTTACATGTGCCAATGCCAATCATCACTTTCCATATTTCCCAAAGCAGCATTTATTCCACCCTGGGCTGCAGTGGTGTGAGACCTGGTAGGAAACAGTTTCGTAATTACTGCCGTCTTAAAACCCTCGTCAACCAAACCGAAGGCTGCACGAAGTCCAGCACCACCAGCTCCAACGACTAAGGCATCATACGTATGATCGATGACAGGATATTCCCTTGAAATCTGTGAATATAATTGTTAAATGCGTGAGTGTTGATCCATTTCTGGCCTGAATTATTTATATATTTTAACAAAAATAAATATTTTATCTAAAACAATCTTTAACTATATGGAATATATACTATTGGAATATGGACAAAGATTATAAAATTCATCCCATAACATCAATATCTAATGTTTTAATTAAAAAAAAAATAAATGTTTATTTATCAGTGATTAAAGCATCATTCCAACAAATGACATGAATTTATCTCCCTGAGGAAAATTTCTTGCTACTGATATTAGTTAGAACTAAGTACTTACAGCTTGAAGTTCAATATATTTTATCATAGAAATTGTCTCATTCCCATAGTTAAACTTATATACAAATCGTCAAAATCTATTTCCTTCAAAAGCCCCATAACACAAGTGGATAATTTTGACAGTGATAAGTTTTTTATTTATGTAATTGTTAACTATTTTTTTTTTTACAAATGGCTCCAGTAATCTGAGCGGTTAGGTTGTATGAAGAATGATGGGATCATTTGTTGAGACAAAAAATAATTCCTCTGCACTATAGGTTTGATTTTTTTCTCTCCCAGATAGTGAAAAAGTTTTAAACCTTTGCATAACTATAAATTTTTATTTTCCATGGTTACCAAATTGCAGGATGTTCTTGTCTAACTGAGGATAACTCAATTTATACCTATCTTCAGTTTTGTAATTTTCCGTTTAATGCTTCTTAGTTAGTTTTTCATAATTTTCAATTATCTGAGGTGCCCAAGGGATCTAAAAAACTATTCTCTCGTTTACCTTTTCATTAAACTTTTAATTTGTGATATAATATAATAAATAGCAATTTTTTAATTTTTAAAAACCTAAATAACACGTGATAATTATCCCATGTCAACTGTGGATCGAGGAGTATTTCTGCAAGAATTTTGGCTTATCTAGAAAGCCATACATTTTTGGGTTTTATAGTTTTGAAATGTTTCAAAGGAACGTTCTCCGAACTTGATATCCACATAGAAATCTTTAAAACAAAATTTGCCCCATTAAAATCAGTTGATTTACTTACGCCAGAGTTTTGAAAAATATTTTCTTTTTCTTCGAAATCATTCTATTAAATGCCGTTTAAAGAATATTACTAAAGTCACTTGTATGGAAATGATGGCTTGTTGACCAATAATATATTAATAGGTTTTATATTACTCTTTAAGAGAAAATAGTCTTATGATTGAAAATGGAAAAATTTATAATAGGACTCATTCTAATGAATTTGATTTATTAGTAGTTCTGTAGATATTGACAATATCAAGAGATTATTTCCATAAACATACTGTATACTGAATAATTGGAGATATTTAAAAAAATAAAGTAAAAGATATTCACCTCTCCAGATTTAGTTGATCCGGGATTTGGAGTAATATGAAGTTTTCTAGATGCAATAGTCGGGCGGATACCATATTTCTAGAAACAAAACAAGTACATTGCATTGATAACTAATATCTGGACCAAATTAAATGAACCTAAATTTATAAGCATTCAGTTCATTAATAATTTGTATTTATTAATTATTATGTGTAAGATAAAATTAGTATACCCTCTTATCAAATTAGGCACTATAAACCCCCTCTCTCTCACTCCATATATTCTTTGTATGTTAACTCTTTTAAACTCCCAAAGCAATTTATATTATTAAAAAGAACAATAACGTTGTTTGTGAAAAACTATCAGTCATATTTGAGATATTATTCAGTCTTTTTCAAACTAATTCTAAAACCATCATATATATATATATATATATATATATAATATATATATATATATATATATATATACATATATATATCATTTCAAATAAAATTTTCTTGTTTTAAAATGCAAACAAAATAAGATTTAATACATTCCATACCAATGATGCAACAGTTGGCAATAAATGGATTATAGTTATCAACATATTAAAAGGTGATAACAAATCATTTAACAATAATAACTAGATATAATTATACATCGTTCATTATTTCCAAATATATAAACCTAATGAACAATAAATAATTGTTTAGAAATTATTAATTACACCAAGTCTAATAACTAAAAAAAAAAAATGTCCTCTTAGTTTGATTTGATTGGAAAGTTCCAATATGAAAAAATCAGCCCAATGGTCTGAGGGAAAACATAAGAACAACAGCATATGAAACCTCTAACTAGCCGAAATTTTAAAGGAAATGTTGGATTATGAAGCATAGATCAGAAGATCACTCTGAGGGGAATCAGTGATTTTGGTACAAAATATTTTTAAAAAATTGGCCCAGTAGTATTCGGGAAAAGCTGTGAACTGGTAGATTTTTATTCAATTCAATTTTTGGATTCTATAAATCTTTTAACATAAAACCTCAAATTTCAAGGTTATCATCAACCAATTATTATTGTTTTGTTTTTTAAGCACTTTAAATTTATTTTTTTTGCTTTCATATTATTAAAGCAATACTAATTAATATACATGTAATATGAATATTGTTTCTTTTATCCCAATTTTAAAATTTATGTTATTTTAATATCCACTTTCTTGTGCATAATTTGATATATTGATTATGACAAGTTGAATGTATTATAAGATGTTGATTTTCAATACATGTATTTTATTACTGTTTTCACATTGAATGTGAATGGAACAATGGAAATATTATCAAACCAATAACATCACATCACAGTATCAATTATAAAATTGAAATATTGGATACTACTTGGTGTCTTCTGTATTTAGATTTTTGAGTTCAAATCTGCTGTACTGATTTTAATCTTTTTATCTGATGTATACTAAGGTTTTCAGCTATATCAACCAGCCATTAAAATAAAATGATGGGAGGATCAAAAATATAGATGTCTTATCTGCTTTATAACTTAACTAAATCAGACTGAACTTCAATTTATTATTATTTAGAGCTGAAAAATCAGATGAATAAGCCCAATATAAATTGTTAAATAGTTCTCAAGTATGGCTTAACCATTGAATAAAAGTAGAGTATCTCAGCGAGACAAACTATGGCATACTTAGTTGTTAAGATTGTTGATTGTAGCCTTAAGTTTACTTTTAAGTTTTATACCGACTCAGGATGCTTCTGCTTTACTTCCTATGCTTCATGGTCAGGGGATTCAGCTGAACAGTTCATTTCTCAAAGCCGAACGTGTACAGGGAACCAAAATTGTTACGAGGGTCTTCAGTAAAACCACTCTTAAAAACCTTTTGCTTATGACTTTCATAGTTAAGCTATAATCGATACAGTATTTATTAGTACTTATAATAAAAAAAATCAATACTTTACAGAATTAAAATTATTAATTCAAAAGCAAAGAACGGTCTTATAAATGATAAAAGTTGTTTTTCGGGTAATACCGTGCTCATTTTTATCGCCCACTGTTATATGATGAAAGGGTAACCAGCCAGTTAGTTAAATGATAACATGATTTTTATTTGATTAAATGAGCCACATTTCTAAATAATAATTTTTATCAAATTAAATAATTCAATATATTCCTCAAAACATCAACAATATTGTAAAATGAATAAGAGAAATGAGAATAGGTCTTTTTAGTTCATTTAAATAATACTAAAACAGACTTTCTACTATACTTGAAAAGATGAATTAATAGTTTTATTTACTTCCACTTACCTATATATGAAATAGATATCAAGTGAAATTGTTGCAATTGTGAGCAATTTCGAATCCAAGTTTTTAATTTTATTTTTTTTATTAATAGTATTGTTCATGTTTTAGTATTTCAGTTTAATGAAGAAATTACCAACTAAATAAAAAAAAAAAAAGGCCAACATTGAATTTCAAACTTTTCTTGAATGATTGCAAAATTAAATTTTGAGTAGCTACAAAGATTTAAGCCAAAGATTTTTATATTCATCTTTTATGTCATAGTCAAATATAATCAGTTCCACAATTATTACAATAAAAAAATAATTCTTAAAGAAACGGAGTTAAGGATAACTGTAAAACTAATTGTAGGAGAAATTGGTTGAGAGTTGGTCATTCAAAAAAAAAAAAAAAAATTACAAATAAGTTAACTTTTTTATAATTTAATTTTTAAAAATAATAACTTTACTGATTTGTATTTTATTTTCTTAACTGACCACACCCAATGACCAAATTTTTCCGACAAATATTTGTTAAAACAATAGTTTTAATTAAATGCAAGATAATGAAATGTAACTATATCATTCGGAAGAATCTAACTTTATACCATCATTGAAAATTAATAAAAATTAGGATTTTCTAAAAATAACATTAAATAATTGGATCTAAATATCATAAACTGGCAGGATATGAACAAAAGACCAAACTATCATTAATTGGTCCAATTAACAAACCAATAAAAATAGACGAACAAATAATGTTTTGTTGCATAACAATAATTACACCTGAGAGGAAAATTGTACTGAACAAACAAAGAGGAAACAAGGCCATGGTCGTTAGGTGCAATCTATATCTGCCAGGCTAGTACTAGGGATTAATTTTTGTTGGTTTTAAGGAGAATATTTTAATAAAAACAATTTCAGTAAATTAAAAATAATGCTGATTAAATTGTATGTAGTCAAAAAATATGAATGCTCAATTTCAAATATTTAGATAGAAATAAAAAAATATATATTAGGAATTGATATATAGATGTTACATATTTAATATGTGAGACTACCAAAGAATGATTCAACCCGCTAACTCCAAGATAATAATTTCTTGTATCCGAAGTCTGTTGGTCTGAAAAATATTTTCAATTTATACTGCAAAAAGAATTCTCACATTAGAATGAGGAATGAAAAATAATCATTAAAAAAGTTATAATTATCTCAATTAGAAAAGTATGTCAGTAAAGAAGGGTTACCCATTCCTCAACATATTATTAAGTCTAGTTGACCAACTAAAGTAATAGAATTTTGAATAAACCCTTCATAAATCTATGGGGTTTAAAAGGCATAAAATGACAATAATTGTCAACGAAAACCATAAAATATTAATATAAAAATATTCTAGAAAGTTTGAAGAACAATAATGACAGATCAGCCCTCACACACTACAAAGTTATAAACAGAGATCATTTAAATTTTAATTGAAAATATATCTTGAAAAATATGAGTGTACTTCGGGTGGTATCTATAATTTATAGTTCTGTTCGCACTATTCCATATTGATGCTGTATTACATAACTTGAGGCAACAGTAAAGGATTTCATAATTATTGGTTATAAACTAATTTATCACACACCAAAGAGCACATAACTATAATTTTAAAACAGTGGAGCAACACTCATTATTTAAAATTTATTGACTGTGTGAGAGTGAGGTTCAGATTAGTTTCTCAAAATAAAGCCATTAATTCTTAAGGGTAGAAAATCAATAACAATAGAGTTTGTGATAAGAAGCATTTATTAGATAAAACTATTGAAATAGATCAAATTAAAAAAGGCTAAAATTAGTTAAGTGAAAATATACACTTTATCAATGTATGCTAAAAATAACCTTTAGTACCGACAATGATACTCACAAAAGTTAAATTTGAGGCCTTTTGAACTAACAGAGCAGAAGACTTCAAACAATTAGCCATTTTTCACTACAAACCGGTTACAGACGTCAAGAATATCAAAAGTTTAGAAAGCCGACATTTGTGCTATCGCGAGCTATGTGATCTTAGCGACCATACGTTAATCAAGAAAATGACGATGACTTTATTGAAAATTCATCAGGAGGCCATTTAAGATTGAAAAATATTCAGCACTCACTCTAATTATATTAATATGATTAAATTTTTAATCGAAATAATTTTAAGAATGATAAGTTTTACATTGAATAGGCGCTGAAATTCACTCAGCGGGAGGGGCGTGGATTGGTAGTGTATTTGAAATTCAATAAATGTCACTAAAGTATGTCAATACAGTACTGGTAGTGGTACTGGTGGGGGGACTTAGTCCAGCAAGAGTGCCTATTGGTCCTTTTTGCCAATTCCAAAGACAATAATACCAATGGTTGTCTATTATACCCCCCAACTTTGACTCAAACCTTTTTGTTCTTCTAATGAAGTTCAAAAGGTTGGACCATTTTATAGAGGTAGCTTTGCGTACTTGTATTCTGTCTGCGCCCAGAAGTCTGTAAAATCGGTCACATTCTGTAATGAAGTGAAGGGCAGTTTCTGGTGCATCTCTGCACAAATTGCAGAGTTCATCATTTACTATCTCACAGATCTTTAAATGTCTTGTAAGTATACAGTGGCCTGTTAGTACTCCAATGATGAGTCGGATTTCTTTTTTTAGTTAGACCCAGCAGCCATTTACTTTTGGAGGGGGAGGGGCTTTTGATAAATTGTTTGGCTTCCCTAAGCCCATAGGATCCCCTCTATTCTTTACCTTTCCAAATCTAATCAAGGGCTTCTTTCTGCTTATGTTTTTTGGATATTTCTATTGCAGGTTCCAGACCTACAATAGGAAATTCCGCTCCTTTCCTTGCGAGGGCATCGGCTTCTATATTGCCTTTAATTCCCTAGTGACCAGGAACCCACGCTACTTCCACGCTCTAGTTAGAGTAGGCCAGTGTCTCCAAAGCCTGTTTACACTCCTGTATCAGCGTGGACGTTACTTTGGGGGGCTCTAATGCTTGTAGTGCCGACTGACTATCCGAATAGATAGTGATGCCAGCATTCTCGCAATTAGTAACTTCTAGACAGGTGGCTGCAGAAAGTATAGCAAACACCTCCGCTTGAAATACTGTAGCATGTTTATCTAATAGTATGCTTAATTCTATATTTAGGTTCTCTATATAGACACCTCCACCCTTTAAACTAGTTGAGTCTTTCCTCGACCCATCAGTAAAACAGAGCAGGTAGTCCTTTTGAGTTTCTACTGAATCCTGTACCCAATCTGTTGCGTTAGGATATAGATAGCTAACCTTACTGTCTAAAGTAAGGTTTTTATCAAGCGGCGGAGAGATACATCTCTTACTATTTACGGTACACCGTAAGATAGATAACTCTTTTCCCACATTCTTGGCTATTTCTATGTGGCCGGTGTATATCCCTGTTACTTACCACTGTCTATTATCCTTCATTCATAAAAATGCCATAGACGCCTCACCTATTATCCATAGGTACAGCAGAGTCAATGACAATAAGATTTCCAGGACCTTTGTAAGTGTTGTGTGGAATGCCCCAGTAATGCTAATGCAAGCCATTCTTTGTATGTGACATAAAATTCGCATATAAGTGGCCTTATCTAAGGCTACCCACGAGTAAATTCTAAAAATGAAGCCTGATTTTACGTAATCCAAACATTTGAATATGTGAATTAAAGAATTTTGTTTGAGATCGGTATGTAGTTGATTGTTGAAATAATAAAGATGAAAAAAATTGTCAAGGTGACCCATATGTTAAGGTCGAAACGTCGTCTAGCTCATTACTGAATTTTTTTACTGCACGTCCTGACAATTTTTTTTTCATCCTAAAGAATATCGCATTCAAGCTGTCTGCCGTTGTCTATTAGGCCATTCGGCTTCTGGCAGCCCAATACAATTTAGCCATGATTCCTTTGCTTAAATTTGTGCCGATCCCATCAGAATTACTGCGGACATCTGACAGAGCGGGGAAAACTGAGAGGTGCAGGTCGTACATCTCGTCCTGTTGGCAAAGAGGGCACACAGGGCTTTCCATCACTCCAATCCTAAGTTAATCGTGTCCTGTCGTCATGCGGAAAATTGCCACTGATTTTTCCTATTTTTTGTTTGTTTCATCGGCTCCTCTGTTAAAGATTCCGATTTTTTCCCCACTGCTTATCACTTTTGCCAATTCTTATTCTCTTCCTAGTAAAAGGATTTTTAAATCCTATTATTTAATTTGTAGGTCAGCGGAGGATTAGTTCGTGACATTTCGGAGGCGATCCGTGCGAGCTCATCAGCTTTTTCGTTTCCTGGTAGACCGCAATGGCTTGGAATCCATTGGAAAGTCACTAGGATTCCTTTTTTAATTAAATTAGTAATCCCATTTCTGACCTTTGTGATATCAGGGTGGTCCAGGCCATTGTAGATTGACAGTATGGTTGCTTGTTAATCCACAAAGATCACAACTTGGGGATAGCTGAATTCATTCTCTATTGCAGCCAATGCTGCCGAAATGGCTTTCACTTCTCCAACAAAATTCGCCCCCCCGGCTATCAGCTGGGATGGATAACATAAAATCTTAGCAGTATACTCCTGCTCCTGCGTTACGCGTAGCTTTTTGAGTGGAGCCGTCAGTGTATACGTGGAGCCAATTCTGCTCCGAATATCGGCTATTTATTGTTTCCAAAGCAAGCGGTTTCAATTCCCATTCAGGTGTTTACTTACAGGTTGTGCTAGATCTAGCCGTGCCACTGAAATAAATTTTAGCTGGTCATTTCATTTATTAAATAGCAGACTCATGTCTAGATCTATGTGTTTTCTTTCCAACAGTTCTCCAACTTTTACTGTTAGTGGCTTTTGCGTCTTGAGGCGCTGGACAGATGTCTCTTGAGCAGCCCAGTACTTCAAACCAAGTATTTTCATTCTCTCTATAAGACTGGTAGCTGCTACTTCTCTTGTTTGAAGTGATTATATTCTCGCTTGTATCTGAAGAGCTGCAATTGGTGTGGATTGTGCAGCCCCTGTAATCAGTCTCAAAGCCTTGTTTTGAACCACATCCAAGGCATGTAGTGAGTTTTCTGATGCAGTCAATAATACCTCACTTCCATATTCCATTACTGGTCTTATGTATGACTTGTATGCCAGGGCTAATAATTTTTTGTGAGTGCCCCATTTAATTCCTGCCAGTCTTTTTAGCAAGCTTAATCTGCCTTCTCCTTTCTCAAATAATTTATCTAAATGGTTCTTCCAACTAAGTTTGCAGTCTACTTTTATACCCAAATATGTTGCAGAATCAGTCAAGACAGCTTCTCATTATTATATATAATTTCTACTTAGTTTCTTTTAGTCGAGAAGGTGAAGATTTGGTAATAAATTTTGAGAGTACTAATCTCAAACTGGTTGTCCACCGTCCATTTATGCAATGATATTAATACTGTATTTAAGCAGCACTGAATAGCTTTCATGTGGCTGCTAGTAGCCTAGATAACAAAGTCGTCTGCATAGATAAGTGTTTGAAGGAATAGCTTCTAGTGTTTCAATTACATCGTTAATCATTATGCTAACCAGAATTGGACTCAAAACTGCGCCCTGAGGGACCCCTCTTGTCTGTTTATAAAGTGAAACTATCATATTTTACCCAGCTATGTCTCTGGGCCAAGAAAGAATAAATGCATTTGAACATATTACCTTGCTAGAATTTAACATACTATATTACTAGAAGACAATGTGATAAAATAATACTGAGTTCCTGTCCCGGTGCCAAGTAGGGCTTTAAAACCCAGGCATTAATCCCTCACCCTCACCCCTGGCCTGGGGAACCCGGAATAGCACAAAAGGTGAGGGAAACAAAATCTCTGGCCATCTTGGACTATTCTTTTCCAATTAAGTGAATGCTGCTCTATAGTTATCATTGGTCTCTTGCCTATTATTGTATTATTTGGTGATCCATTGTATTGTAGAGGTTTCATGATGGACGCTCTGAGGTATATGCCCTACCCATCTTAACCTTATAGTCTTCATATTGTGATATTGATTGAACAGTTTCTGTAAGGACCTTTATTGATCATTCTCCTTCATATGCTAGTAAACTGATCCCAGATTGCTCCAGTTATCCTGTGGAGAATTTCTCTCTCAAATCATTCAATACTTCTTTCTAGCATGCTGGTTAGTGTCCAGCTCTTTCAACTGTATATTAGAACTGGATTTATCAAAGCATTATACACACTACAGGCGATGTTTCAATATCTTTGAAAGAGAGAAAAAAACTCTGTTTGAGCTGGTTTATTTTCGACCGCTATTGTGGAGGCGAGGTATTTGAATTTGTCTACTTTCAGTAATGACACTATCAGAACAGATCCTGTTGTTGGGATGTAATTTTCGGCATATTATTATATAAAGGATAGTAGGATACATAAATGAGACTATCTGGATTATTCATGATACTAATACAACAATGTTGTGCTCTATACTTCATAATACTAATAGTAACGTTTAGATAGGTCTTTAGTATGTTACATTTACACCAATAGCAACTATAACTCCTAGTATTTTTTTTTAATAGCATTTTAATTTTTTAAGTTTTCAGAGTTACATAGAGCTAAAAATAATTATGTAATTGAAGAAAGGAAAATTTCAGAAGGAAGGTGTTAAAATAAAAACATAATTTATAAACAAAATTGGGAGTTGCAGTTCTAACCTAATTATAATTTTTATTAACAATGAGGAAACAATTAAAACATAGGAAATTTAAAAAATGAAAGCATTTGTTCATGATTAGAAGAATGGAAACAATAATGAAGAAAGAACGAAAATTAAAAGTTAATTGATTTTTTAATTTGTATTTCAATTGGTCATGTATATGCCTCCGATAGTATGAGTGTGCTCTTGGGTATGGATGTGGTGGCCTCTTTGAGATGAAAAACTATATTAACTAAATGTCTTTTTGTCCTACTTTCTTTCTAAGTTAACAGACAAGAACTCTGTAAAAATAAAAATGATCAATGAATGTGAACTTATGTCATTGTTTCAGTATTGGCTTAATTGAAATGTTTGAGGGAAAACCAGCTGCCTAACTTAGCGCTTTTTCTCAGCAGGTCATCAAGTCTATTATCATATAAATTTCATGTAGTTTATCAGGGTTCAGTTATACCAAGGGTATCCAAACTATGGCCCGCAAACACCTCCAATCTGGCCCATTAAGGTGTTTTATATTACATTGTAGAATTTAAAACATAGTTTTAGTAAACTTAGAGAAAAATTGTAATTGTGGGTAAATGGTTGACTGTCGTAAATAATGAAGAGAAGAATAGTTGGGTTGATCAGTCAAATAAGAAGGCAAAAATAAATGATAATATTTATTTTGACATTTGGCGACGTTTCGACCTGAAGTTCAGGCCATCATCAGGGCTAAGAAAAGAACCAGATAACAAGGTATGAGAAACATAAAAATTAAAGTAAAATGCAGTTGTTAGAATAATGACAATAGTAAGAACTAAGAGATAAATAATAATAACCGGTACGAAGTGTGGAATGATGAAGTAACAGTTATTATTATTTATCTCTTAGTTCTTACTATTGTCATTATTCTAACAACTGCATTTTACTTTAATTTTTATATTTCTCATACCTTGTTATCTGGTTCTTTTCTTAGCCCTGATGATGGCCTGAACTTCAGGTCGAAACGTCGGCAAATGTCAAAATAAATATTATCATTTATTTTTGCCTTCTTATTTGACTGATCACCCCAACTATTCTTCTCTTCATTAGAGAAAAATTGCTTCAATTTATATTTTAGCAAGTTTTAAATAAAAGCCATCTATGGCATTTAATGAAAATTTGTTGAATGGACTGTAAATATGTTGATGTAATTTTGAAAACTATTTAATAAAAAGTTTCTGAATTATTTTTTAAGGAAATAAAGAAAAATTTGATTTTTTATGATCGATTTCACCAGCATCAATTCATCTCGCCAGCCATTGCCGGCAAGACTTAGTTGAGATTTCAATATGGTCTGCAGACCAAAGAGTTTGGAGACCACCAACTTATAATATTATCTTCTAAAGAATAAGAAAAAGATGTAAGTAACAAAAAATAAAAGTTTGGCTTTATTATCTACAATGTATTAACAGGGGATCCCTTTCGAATGTGATGGTAGAAAGTGATACTATAAATTATGGCATGTTTTTTATTTGCTAAATTATTAAATAAATCCTTTTTTTTTTGTTTTGTTTTTTGATGAAACAAGAATAATATCAGTAACTTCTTATAGCTGGAGGAACAGTAGGACAATCATTAAGGTCTAGAGTTTCATCAATGACAGGCCTATATGAGATATTCACCTGGAAAATAGGATATACCACATTATAAAAAAATAATTATATAAAAATAAAATAAATTAAACAATAAAATCATAATAATTATTATTAAATACTTAATTGGGAAACCTTTTTATTGTCATTAGAGGCCACATTAAGTTCAAGTAGTAAACTTAATTGTACAGGCTGTAATAATTTTTTATATTTTATCATTGCTATTTTTATTTATAAGTAAATCCACACACACACACACACACACACACACACATATTCAACTTAATTCTATTAATTTTCATATTTTTGTTGAAGGTAATTTACTTGTATTAATTTTATAGTTGTAAATTTCAATGAATGAATAAAAAAAAAAAAATAATAATGAAGATCGCACAAAAATTAACGGATGCCTCAATGGAAACCACATGTGGTCATGAAGACAAAAAAAATATTTAAAAAACATGGCTCTGTCCAAAATGTGATCAGGTTTAAGAGAATGTAGGCAATGTAAAAGAGGAACAAAATTTAAGCACCAATCCATTACCTTCTGAACTGTTGGCAGAAGTAAATAACCTTGATCCATGTCAATATTATTTGTTTTGTTTTTAGTATATTCAATACAAGTTGTTTTTGGCCAGAAATAATCTTTTCTCTATAGTGTATTTATCCTTATAGACAATGATTGGTGGTCAACTTCTCAAGTTAAGGCTTAACTCCTTCAGTTTTCTAATCATAAATCGAAGTACATGGACACCATCAAAAACTAAAAGATATCGAATTGTGCTTGAAGAGCTCTGATAGTTTTTATTAAACAGTCATATTTCTAGATGAGAATTATGTTTTGTTTTTTTTATCAGTAAAATCCGAATCCTACTTAGAAAAATTATAGGTGAACAATCACAATGGAAAGTATAAATTATATTATTTTAAAATATTATACTTACCTCTCCAGTTTTAATATCAACCTGTGTTAATGTATGTTTACGCCAGTGCTCCTCAAATGATCTCTTTTTTTGCTCTTCAATAGGTTTAGAGTAATCATACTCATCTATTCTCGTCTACAAGTAAAAAAGAAGAAACCTTTAATACATAAGTTCTTTTTAATTTACCTTGCCTGGGCATCATAAAAAGGGATAGAAAAAATAAATAAACTAATAAGTATAATTTAACTCTGAGTTCTATATTTTTTCAGAGAAAACAAATGACTGAATATTGGTTAAGTGGGTGGCTAAAACAAAAAATATCTTTAAAAAAAAGATTGTTTTTCACTCTGCGAATCAAAATCAATAATAATTGGTAATTGGTTGACTGTCGTGGATAATGAAGAGAAGAATAGTTGGGGTGCTCAGTCAAAAAGGAAGGCAAAAAATAAATTATATTTATTTTTTACATATGCCGACGTTTCGACCTGAAGTTCAGGCCTTCATCAGGGCTACGAAATTAACCAGATAACAAGGTATGAGAAACATAAGTAATGATGGTAAAAAAGATAATAAAAAATGAGAAAATAAAATAAAAAAAGTTACATTAGTGTGGAATACACCACACTATGTAACAGTTTTTATTATTTATCTCTTAGCTCTTAGTCATTATTCTAACAATTTCATTTTACTTTATATCTATCTATTTTATTTTTCTAATAATTTTTTTATTTTATTTTCTCATTTTTTATTATCTTTTTTACCATCATTACTTATGTTTCTCATACCTTGTTATCTGGTTATTTTCTTAGCCCTGATGAAGGCCTGAACTTCAAGTCGAAACGTCGGCATATGTAAAAAATAAATATTATAATTTATTTTTTGCCTTCCTTTTTGACTGAGCACCCCAACTATTCTTCTCTTCAAAATCAATAAAAATATTTTTTTTAACAGCAAAAAATGTATGTTTTTTAATTTCAATAGACTAAACATACTATAGTGATTTTTAAGGCATAAAATTAACTTTTAAGTAATAATATAATAATTTCTCAAATTTAATATTAAGATGGTTTTGAGTCGAGAAATAGTAAAAGTTATTGAAAAATCTAGAATTGCCACATTATCAACTTTTTTGACCCATGAGATTCAAAGAGATTGGCCAAGATTAGTCTCGACCATACAAGAGGTATGTAAACTCATCAGGCTGTGGTCAATCATCTGAATTAAAGGCACAATCAACTTTCTGAATTTATAAAATCAGCACAACAAATACAAATAAAATAGATAATCTTAATGCATATATTAATATTCTATAATAAAAACTTTTAAAATTTAAGGTAACCTTAAAGTCTTCCCTAGCATGAGCACCACGAGATTCTTTTCTGTTTTCAGCAGCTGTGATGGTTTGCATCGCACATATCATCAAGTTCTGCAGCTCTAATGTTTCAATAAGATCTGAATTCCAAATCAAACTTCTGTCGCATGTCTGCCAACATATCAGATTGTATGTTTTGAATTAATGAGGTTGCTCCTCAAAGTAACTACAAATATATTTTATATATTTACTATGACCATAGCTTTATTTCTTTGACAGATCTCAATATTAAAAATCTTTCATTAACTAAGGATTCAACATGTACTTATTTATACTTCCATGTTGTAATGTTAAAGGTATTAACAGATTAGCAATAGATTACACTCACAGAATACAGTGGAAGAAGTAACTCAAGCTAATAAAAACTCGAATAGATAATATGTACACAATGATAGCTTCTCAAATACTATAAATAGAAAATCATTGGTAAAATATTAAAATATAATTCTATGCTGAGATAATTCCAAAACTTTTGAATAACCGCTACTTTGAATTGGATTGTCTACCATAATTTCTCTGGAAAAGTCAAAACTCTAAGAAATAATGAGTAATAAAAGGTTTCACTGATAAATAATTGATAAAATAAAGGCACAATACATATAGGTAACATTATTATAATATATGATGTAAAGAATTGATTTTTTTAAATAAAAAATTTGTTCATTGATTATTGTTCTTCAACAAAAATTTTTTCTGATTTTAAAAGATTAAGAGATCTTTTTTACTATGAGAAATTATTTTATAGACCAGTGAACAAAATCGACGCACCTCTTAATTTATGTAACGATTACTCTGGATGAATAGTTTTTTAAAAGAGTATTGGTAAGTTATAGCAATCAGAGTATAAGGCCTTGTGCAGAGTAGGGTAACACAGTTTCTTTGACATGGGCCAAATGTGAAGCAGTGCTGCTTTAATTTAATATATAATAATAATAATGCTTTATTCTGATAAATGATAAATTACAACCATAAAATCTTATACCAAAACATTGGGGCATTGGTCAGATGAACGTCATTCAGATTCAGTAGCCGACATTGGCATTGATAGATATTTACATCTATAATACATATATGGGGACTGGAGTAGCCTTATGGGCTAAGGCACTTGCAATAGGTAATAAAAGTTAAGCAACGCCGAGCGTGGCTAGCACTTGGATGGGTGACCGTCCACCAAGGAAAGCCACGCTGCCCAAGATCCCTCCCCCAAGGTATACGAGTCCCGTCAGCCTACTGGAGGCAACTCACACCGACCTGGTGTACGATTGATGACCCTACCCCGTACTTTAAATGGGGAATCGGGATCTTCATGGTCTGTTGCGCCAACAGAAAAAAAAATAATAATACATATATACAGATAAATCAAATATATTCTGTTTATATTCATAAGAAATAGTTCTTTGTAACACAAAAACAAATCAAAACCCATAAAGTTTTAAACCATACCAGGAATTGATGTGATCTAATGAGCTCGAAGCCATCAAATTTTTTAGTTCAATACAACCGACTGATGTTTCTTCCGAAATATTCAGCATGGCAAAGAAAATAAAAATCAATTGCATAAGATAATCCAGGAAGGTGCTTTTCTAAAACTGACAGAAAAAAACTTTGGATGAATTCCATTAATTATATTTAAAACAAGCTTAAGAACTGAATTGCATTTTAAAAGCTAACATTCTCAACACAATTCTAATATGGTTAAATGGATTTAACCAAAATATAATTTCAGAGTAGTTTTGGAAACATTCCTTCCTGAAGTGTCTTCAACCACCTTGCCTTGCAGAATATTTTAGAAGAAATTCCAGTCATTTAGTGGTCAGTTGAACAGAACTAAAAAACTAGACCCATTGGAATGTGTCAGTTTTGACAATGAATTCAGATTGGAAGTCAGTTCTTATGCGGCATTAAGCCATACCTTGAAAGCTTCAAAATAACTATATTTTTAAATGTTTCCCTTGAGATTAAATTGATTCAACCACTTTTTAAATACAGCTAGACAGATTCAAACAAAATTAGTTTTCAAGTTAATTTATTATTAGCCATATTTACACCAATTTAAAAATTTTTTTGTCACTTAATGACTACTCATCACAATGACGACGTTTCGGCTCGTCGAGCCATTTTCAAGTCTAAAAAATTTTTCATTTACAATCATATATTAACTTTAACATCTTTCAAATTATAAAGATTCTTATTATGTACCTAAAATAAAATTTGAAAGATGTTAAGTTAATATATGATTGTAAATGAAAAATTTTTTAGACTTGAAAATGGCTAGACGAGCCGAAACGTCGTCATTGTGATGAGTAGTCATTAAGTGACAAAAAATTTTTTAAATTGGTGTAAATATGGCTGATAATAAATTAACTTGAAAATAAATAGTATGCACCGAAGAAGAATTGAGGAATATTGTGAAAAATTAGTTTTTGTGTTATTTTTGGAAATGCACCATCTTGAGTGATGCACCATGATTGATTTTTACTCATCCTACTGTGAAAAATATTTGTTGTTTAAGTGCATCAGTTTTGGAAACATACCCAATTATATCCTTATTGTTTATAACTTCTCTGGATGTAACATAATATTTGTGAAAATTGCAGATGTTTAGTTTTCCGTTGGGCGGGACCTCAAAATCTGACCTATTATAGTCCAAATTTCACCCCAAAATGCACCTGGTTTGGACAAGACTTGGCGATCCTAGTTCTACCCTATAAGAACGAAGGGTAGCTTTTCGTTCATCTGATGAATAAATATGTCACTGGCTCCCACAGATTATATTCCAAGGAGAACTAAAGCATGTTGTAGGGTGGGACATTTCTTCTGATTCCAAATTTTAAATAATTTTTACCATAAATAAATGTAATTACTGATTTATTTGCTGAGATCATAAATTAAATTAAAGGGTTATAAATTACTTAAACAGTTCAAGGTGGAGCATTAATTTTGTTTATCTGCGTATACCGTTAATATCCACTAGCTACTATGTCACTAAGTGGGATATAGAGACCAAGCAGCCTCTCATTTGCAATACACGCTTTGACTGGCAACCTGATAACCTGAATATTACAAGTTTGAGTCCTGGTGCTAGGAGCATTTAACTCAGGCATTCATCTTCCAATCTGTCTCCTAGCCTCGTTAAAATCCTTATCCAAAAATGCGAGGTAGGAGAAAAAAGAAAAAGAAAAACTACAATGTCACATCATTCAGATGGATGAATAGCTCTGGATTGGTTAAAGTTTTATATGGAGTACAAACTGAAAGCAGGAGAAGAATAAAGACTATTTTTTTAGCAATAAGGTTAAGATCTAAGCAGTTTGACACTGTGATATCTGTAAAAATTGTTGACAATTTTACATGTATATTAGTATACACATATATATTATTACATATATATTGTCCATATTCCTAGGAGTGCACGAATATTTCGAAATTTAACCTTTTTTTAGATGTTGCACTGTTGACCTGGGACAATGGTTTCTAGCTATATTTTTATTTCAAAAAGAAATTAAGCAAAGCTTTGATCAACCAAAGCCTTAAACTAAACGCTTCAATTATTTAGTTTTTTACCTTGATATCTCCCATCATTTTATATATTTCTTTCATATGTGCAACACCTGATTTTAAAGATTCTGCTACTCTGAATACAGCTGCATCTTTCTGCATAGCCTTCTGCATTGTCAGTCTAATGTGTGATGTATTCCATTCACCATCAGCAAAGCGAAGTGCATCCATGTTAGCAACAGTTTGTTCACCATGATTCTAAACAATTTAAAATTAATTTAATTTAAATGATGATATACACTTACTGTATGTTGCTAATGGTCTTGTTATTATTAGTTATACCTATTAGTCCAAATCATGAGATCTTGTACTGGAGTATTTAAGGTATAGGAATATATAAAAATAAAACTAGGATGACAAAAAAACTCATTTTTAAGGGCAGAAATCAGGGTTAAAAATGGTGTGCAAGAAACTATATAGAGTCAAAATATGAAATTAGTGAGAGAAAAAAAAAAATACTACTACAATTCCTGAAGGGTCTTGGGTTCAGTATTTTGTAAGGAAAAGATATTTCTTGGTCAACGGTTGTGTTAGGAGGTGATTTGACCGAGAGCACACTCAACCAAAATATAGCAAATACAAATTTTATAACATTATAATGATGATATAACAATATATTCTCGCTATTATATAAAAAAGGATTTAGTAGCCATCTGATATTTTATTTTCAATAAAACATTTATTCTTTTATGACATATTATTTCTAAATAGTAACTGCCATTTTACTAAAAGTGACTGATGATAGTTAAATAAAAAAGACGCAATTATACCCTAGCTCGGCGAAACCAGGATGAAACTCTACTCTTCTAGAGAAAATTGGAAAAACTAATTATAAACATCATTTTTGAAAGGCACTAAATTGAGAACAAATTAAAATGTTGGGATAAAATCTAGAAATTTATTTATTATTCCCACTTACACTACATTGAAAAAAAACAAAAAAACAATCTGCACTATAGAATACATGAAAATTACAGTTATACAATTTGAAAAACGGGTAGAACAATTAAATGAAGGGTTGTATAATTTGTAAAATGTGGATTGGTCTAGCCATTAGGCACAGGAGTTACCTCTCTAGTAATATGATAATATAATAATAATATAATTTAACATTATAATGAAATAAAGCAAATAATAAATAATAAAACATTACATCTTTTAGCTCAGGGATTGAATCGCCAGGTTTGTTTATTTCTGTAATTGTTAAGGCACATGCTCTACCAAAAACTACTATATCCAAAAGTGAATTAGCACCAAGCCTGTTAGCACCGTGGACTGAAGAGCAAGATGCTTCCCCACAAGCGTAGAGACCTTCAACAACTTTGTCACTACCATCTCGGTGCACGATTACCTGTAAATAGAAGTAAATATATTAAAATTAATTTATCCACTTTTTATTTGACGAGGAAGAGTTTTATAATGCATTCGTGAATTTTTTAAATGAAGGAACCTCTTCCTTTTTCTAAAAACCTTTATTAACATTTTCCATATATAATAAAAATCTGGAATGTCCACTCACACGACTTTCCTACCTATTTCAGTAAAGTTTTTACATCTTTACATATGACCATCAGAAAACAAAAAAAAATTGAATTCGATTTATTTTCTTGAAAATTGATGAAAGAAGAGATTCGAGTACGATTATTTGCTAAACTAAAGCAATGTAAACCGGCTTAAGGTAGATCAGTCTAAAAATTTCAATACTCTCTAATATTACTGATCAAAAACTTTTTGCCATAGACTAATTTTGTCAAACAATAATTCCTATTAAAAGTAGAGGAAATAGCTTGTGTGATGTGGGCAACAGATTTTCTTACTTTCACTTAGTTATCTTTTTTCTCTTATTCACCACTTTCTGACATCAGGATACGAATCCTTAATCTTACATTTGAAATTGAATAGCTGTAACTTCATTAATAAATGTCAGAAAGGAATGATTTTTATGTAGCTTTGTAGTAAATTTCATTACCTATCAAAAAACAACAACAACAAAAAGGCTAAACAGTGTTTTTTGGAATCAGGGGGCTCTGAAAAGTTCAAAAACCGCATATCAGAAATTTGACCCGATTGTAATACTTTCCTTACCTAGTATTAGCTTAATATAGTAAGTATTACCTAGCCTTAACTTAGTATAGTAAGTATTATCGCTAATACTGGTTCGATTCCGATGATTTCTTTTTTTGCTTTGTTGGTACTTTAATTACCTTTCAAAAGTTTCATTATGACTTTTACCATAGAATATATATTTAAATTAGGTCCCAAAACATTTTTCTTTTCTTTATAACTTTTTGTCCTGAATTTTTTCGGGAATTTAGACCATATACGAAAATTGAAAGGACAATTATTAGAACATTACAGGGAAGGTTCATCAAAATTGTTAGAGCCGTTTTCGTGCTACAGTCTACAGAAAAACATGTTTTTCATTTACTGTGCAGCAGCTATTGCGCATGGAGCATCCAATTTGTATCACAGACATCAGTAGTCAAAATCCTACAAAAGAAGCAACAAAATCGGTTCACTAGTTCCTGAGATAATCTTGGCACAGACAGACAGACAGACCAATGGCTAAAAATGTGTTTTTCGGACTCAGAGGACTCTGAAACGTATAGATCCGTCGAAAACCGCATATAGGAAATTTTACCCGATCTCAATACTTTTCTTATCTAGTATAGGTAAAAAAGTAAAAATTGCAACATTCACTCTATGTCACTTGTTTATCCACAAACATACATTTTTTTTTTTTTACTAAAACTTACATTTTTTAAAGAGAAATTTGCTCATATAGTTTTCAATATCACATTTTTCTTTTTTTATGTAAATTAACAAGATAATATAAGTAAGAAAAATTGTTCATGAATGGGCCAAGAACCTGAAATGTCAACAATGGAACATAAAAAACAGAGGAGGTTCCTTTATTTAAAAAAACAAAACAATAAAATATTAATTATTTACTTCAGTCATAGATTTTGTTAAAATTAACAAGAAACATTCTAATGGCTTATTAACTTATCAAAGGCCCCATTTTGGATAAGAGAACTCCTAACCTATGAACGGCCCAATGTCAGATATGCTAAATCTTAACTTACTTGGTTAAAATCCCAACCGTAAAAATATTATTTTAGACTATAATCTTTAAGATGAGAAAAACTATTTTTTATATTAACAATTTCCTAATGTAATAAAAAAAAGGAAATAGCAGAAATTTTAAGAAAAAAATGATTTAAATAAAAAAAAACACCATTATTTTGGACTTAAGCTCAAAATATATTTTGCAGATGAGTAGTCCAAAGTTGATGTACTTGTCTGTAATTATTCAAACTCATGGCATCAAGTTCACTAAACAAATTCTTCAATAACTTAATGGCTAAGAAGTGATATATCCTAAAAGCCAAAAATACTTCGTTCATGTTCCAATGTCATCAATACCATAAAATGACATTCCATCAACAAGTGAGACTTTGTATTCATAGGAGGAACCAATATTTGTTTTATTTGAGTCGTTTATTTCCAAAGTGAACTAATCTAATCACACTTGATGATTTTTCAGGAAATGCAAATAACTACATTTTCTAATGAGATTGAAAAATAAAAACCAATATTTTTCAAATAATAAATTAAGAAATAAGTGATTATGTATTGTACGCCTATTAGTTATTAAACATTTACTAAAATGAAATTACAAAATTTTCATTGCCTGCCATTGATAGGCCAAAAGTTGTCACACTAATTTTAAGTAGATAATGTTGGGATTTCACAAAGGGAAAATTCATCAAATTATTCACTAATTTAATTTTCTAAAAGGTTACATGATGATTTTTTGGAATAAACGGACGATAGATACCTAATTATTTAAATATAATATCAATTCTAGAGTTATTAAACAACAGCAAATATATTTAAGGTTATAAACATATGTTTTATACATTAATGAAATATTTCACTTCTTCCACACAAGTATAATGAAACAGTTTTTTTAAGCAATGTTATTGCCTTGATTAGGTGGATTTTAAATACTATTTCAAGCTTAAAAAATATTTTAAAAGTTTATAATTAGTTAGTAAATTTCATTTAATTTCCTTGAAAACATATGATTTCCGTTAAATAATATAAGTTTTCAAAAATTATTATTTATAATTTTTCACCACACCCCATTACTTTCTACTACTTTCTATTTTAGATATTGTTTTTTTATAAAATTCTCTGCTTTCTAATGATACATTATATGTATACCTTCTGACTAGTATTTCCAGAGATTCATTTTCGACCTGGATAAGTATTTTTCTTTTATTCTACTTTATTCAAATATCAAATTATTTCAAAAGTTATATTTAGCCTTTTTTCATAACTCTTAATAATGAGAAATAATTAATTATTTAAAATAAACCAAATTAAAGGTACTTTAGAGGAAGACACGTTGAACATTTAAGCATTTAGGCCCTGTAAAGTGACATCAATCGGGATAAGACCTCAATGGTATTAAAGACTACTTAATCATACAAGTTTAATCAAAATCAATAGAGCCGTTTTTGAGAAAATTGTAAAAATGTGTATCACCGTACATATAAAGTGCCACTTTCAGTTAACCAATTTCCAGGAAAAACTTACTCTCACATTTCGTGTATGTACCTTTCTTAAATATGTAATATCAGTTTCTTACGACTTTTCATTTGTGAGCTTAGCTGTTAACATACACACGTAACACAGACCATTTTGTGGGACTTGGATATTTTGACTCAGGGGTCCTCAAAACGTGTATTTCCGTTGAAATCCGAGATTCGAAAAATTTTCACGATCACAATACTTTCTTTTACTATATATTACATATATACATAAGTGAAAGCAAAAAAATTTACAACACTGGATTCAGTGGATGTTTTTACAAGGGAACTGATACTTATCTCGATTTCCTTTAAAATAGAGTAGGGTTCACTTTGGAAATAAGCGACTCATTTATTCAATTATAGCTACATTTAATTAACAGCTGTAAGCAGTGAAATTTTATCAGATATGAAATAAAATGAAGATAAAAAAGATATTTTAGTTACCTGGCCACAATAGTTGGTCGGTATTCCACCCATATTATAATGTACAGTCGGGAGTACAGGAATAGGCTCTTTAGTTACGTCAACACCAGCAAATATCATTGCTGACTCTGATATTCCAGGAAGACGAAGAGCCAATTGTTCTGGGGGCAAGTGATGCAATTGAAGGTACACGTGATCTTTATCCGGACCGACTCCTCTATAATTAATAAAAATAATACATAAATGAAATAATAAAAATTTAACTATCTCAAGTAGAATAAGGAGCAAGTAAATTACCACAAAAAAAAAAAAAAAAAAAAGAGAATACACATGTATACTGACAAGATAAGAATTATCCAAAGTATGAACAATTTTACATAATTTAAAATTTTTTATATGTATATTTTTACCTGCCCTCTCTGATTTCAATTGTCATTGCTCGAGCTACAACATCCCTTGAAGCCAAATCTTTTGCTTTCGGAGCATACTTCTCCATAAATCTTTCACCCTTAGCATTGACCAAAAAACCTCCTTCACCACGACAACCTTCAGTAATCAGACATCCAGCACCATAAATTCCTAATAAATAAATGATAAATGAAAATTAGAATTAATTTTGAAGAATATGATTTTAAGAAATTATACTTGTAATTAAAAAGATGTCGACACGTAAGGTCAGAACAGCTTCCTCATCATTTTTAATTGGTTACACAATTACCTGAATTGCAAGGTCTATAATTATACATTTGGAATAAAATCTTCGTGAGAAGCTGTTTTTAAAATACAGTAATCTCTCAATCTCTGCGAATTTTTATTATCATTATAAAAATTCAGAATTTCACATATGCGAATTGCGTATTTGACTATTCGAGATTACAAAAAAACATAATGAACCTAAATAATGTGTTTGTACATATTAAACAGGCACATGAATAGGTATGTTTTCATTCGTAAAAACAAAGATCCAGAGAAAAATTCAATTTTTTGTTAATTCGGTGTTTATTTAACCAATATTTTCCATGAGTCAGAAAAAAAATAATTTAAATGAAAATATTTTTTTTTTTATTATCCTGGAACTGTTGTCCCTTTAGGACAAATTACAGATACAGAATAAATGTCTGTGTGGCCGCACATAAAATTAATTATTTACAATTCTTATTAAGATTAAGATTTTGGAAAAAGAATAAAACAAAAAATAAAACAATTACACTAAAAACATACTGATTTGAATAATACAAACGTGGGAAAATAAAATAGCATAAGTAAAGAAAAGGCTGCTGAGTTCTGATGGTTTATTATAGAAAGGTAGCAAGGAAGTACAGATGGCAGTTGGATAGATAGAGCCACTTCAACTTGGTGTAATACTGGGTTATATGCGTATCTCTTGAGATTCCGAAAACAAAACATATTGCGCACTTCATTAGACGTTTAAGTTTGGCCTCGAATTCTCCCGGGAGTCCGCCGTACACCAGACAGCCATAGTCGAAGTGGGGGAACACAAGGGAGGAAACCAGGAGTTGACGGAATTTATATGGAAGGAGATAGTGGAGACGGTTAAACTGTTTCAGGGTAGAGATAGTACGATGGCAGATGTGTGGTTTCCAAGAGAGGGTTTGATCGAATGTAACATCAAGGTTTTTTACAGAAGTATAGAATGAGATAGGTGAGTTGTTCAGGAAAAGATTGGGGATAGTTTGTAAGGATTTGAGGAATGAGGGAGATCCGATCAGGATGGCTTTTGTCTTCTTGGCGTTTAGAGAAATCCTATTGTGATTTGCCCAGGCACATATTGCGTTTATATCTTCCTGCAATTTAAAGAGCAATATAAGAGAAGAAGGCCTATGCCTACTTAAAATTTAATGACGCCTATGCCTTACTCTTTAACAATAACTAGTTCAAAAAGCTATTGAATATGATCTCTTACTACTTTAAAGTTTGAGAGAGAAATAGAGACCACAACAAACTGGTTAAATTTCAAAAGAAACAAACACAGTCACAAATAAGAACCTTTTTATAAATCAGTGAGCAAAAATGAATTTAAATTTGTAAATAAATAAATTAGTATGGAAACTATCTATATGCAAGTAGATAATGTAATTCAAAATAATGAAATTCATAAGTTTAAAAAAAAAAATTTACATTTTCTTCATTTTTAGCCTTCATAAAAAACATTTACAAAGAAACAAATAGAGAATACACAAATTCAAGACTTTCATGATTTTTCTGAAAAATAACTCTTGGTAATGTTAAGAGATTACAGTACATATAGCCTCGTCAAGAAAAAATGCAGAAACGAGCCCATTTATGAAATATAGACACATCTAAGAAAATACATTTGCGAGTGTGTAAGTGAAATTATAGAATGGAATTTGATATAATCGGTATGGAACCATCTAGACATCAACCCGCATAATCACTGAAAATTTCATGAAAATCAGATAGATGTTAGATGACATGGATTTGATTTCAAACCAAGAACCAAATTTGATCCATGATGTCAAAAATTTAAAATTTAAGTAGAAATTTTCAATTCTGAGCACAAAATTGTATTAAACTCCCACATGAATACAAAGCATCCCTATCTTCAGTACTTCAGCAAAATAAAATAACAGAATTTGTTTTGTTTTTTTTAAAGAATAAATGTAAATAATAATAATAAAAAAAATTTCAGATTGTTTTCAACTGTGTCAATCTACTTCCTCTCCCCCTTTTATTTTCCCTCATGCTTTGCCTTTTCAGTTATATAGAGTTTTTCCCGGGCCAGGGAAGAGAGCGGGGGATTAATACCAGAGTTAAAAGCCACTCTAGCACCGAGATTCAAACTTATAATCTTTAGTTTATCAGGTTGCCAGACAACACTTATTAAAAATTCTTTTTCCTTTTTGGTTCCCCACAACCGAGGGTAGGGAAGCATTGTATTTGTGCGAGAGGTTAAAAAAAATGTGCTCAGAATCGAAAATTTCCAATCGCGTTCTAGGTTTCAGACATCAAGGATCAAATTTGGTTCGGTGTCTGTCTGTCTGTAGTCAAATCGATGTAACGGGCATATCACCTACTACCGTTTATCTGATTTTCATGAAATTTTCAAGAATTGTGCAGGTTGGTGTCTAGATGGTCCCATATCAGTTTTAATAAATTGTAACCAGCACCAGGTAGTATGTAAAAGTTTTCCATTTTTATTATATTTTTGACATTATGTAGTCAGCAATTGATATAAGTAGTCTACTACTATGAATAATAGCAGAGGACAACAAAATATAAAATTATATTTTATATAAATATAAAATTGCTCTCCTCTAAAACGCTCAATTTTTACATATGTCATTTACACTAACAGTAGCGAGATACATATTCAGTATTCACTGGATTTTTTTTTAAAATCATGAATTATCAAATATGCAATCTGCAAATGCAGAACTTTTTCGCATTTTAGTGTTTGCTGATAAATAAAACTTGTGGATATCAAGCCCGTATATTGTAACATCTCTCTTATATTTGTAACTAGTAATAATATAACCTCGGAAGATCACTTTATACTGTTAGGATACTTCCTAAATAAACAAGAGGTAGATAAATAAAAACAAATTATAAGAGTATTAATTTATTAAACTAAACTTTATAATTATTTTATCTCAAGGTATGGGTTACTGACAATCAGATCAATACACTCAGACAAAATAATATCAACTACGCTAAACACTGTTCGATTTTAAAATAAAGTCAAATATGGATTGGTAAGCTAACCTTTTTTCTATAGATACTGTTTCTTCCTTTGTTGAACTAAATTCATTTGTCTTCAAATGCTTTCCAATCTTCTGCCAAACACAACTTCCAAAATGGTGATACTTTCTTCTACTCAACTCAAGCTCCCTGGGAGATCCTCTCTCTTGTAATTCCAAACAACTAGTCTCTTTACCAAACAACAACTTTCAAGATGGTAATACTATTGCTGTGTTTTACTCACTGGAGCCAGGATCCCTTCTCCTATCCTCTCTTCATTGCAGTCAAACAACAACTGCTTGCCAAAACAAATCCCTTGTTCCATCCCCTCTTTGGGATTTTCTTTTTTGGGGAAACTACCGAGCAGATATTTCCTTTCCTCTGAACTAGTAGAATTAGATTAGCTTCCCTTTTAACAATTCATTATTAATTTACTAAATTAAGGTGTATATTACAATATGTTGAGGGATTACTGAATTTTCGATAACGGCCTCTTCCAGAGATTTTATTCTCATAATTTTTAGACCTTTTAATATAGATATTTTTGGTACTTTTTGACTAGCAGGCCGCCACAAAACCTCACTTCTTATCTATGTTATCTAACGTCACATCACATAACCTCCCTCTTCTTATCCAGCCAAACCTTTCGAGTTATTGCATTGTTTAGTTTTCAGTTATTCCCTTATTACGTTCACTTATTAAATTCTTTACTTTTGGCCCGTTTGTGTTTATTTTTCATTATTTTTAGTTTTTGGCCCGTTCGTGTTTATTTTTCATTTTTTTTTTTGTTTAATTTCGTCATATTATGAATCTTCTTGGAATATGGGATTTACCGTCTTCAGAAGAACAGGCAATTCAATATTTTCAAAATGTTGGGATACTTGCAGACGTGAAATTGTGTGAACGAGGTCATCGAATGAACTTAACCAGGAACGCCCAATGGAGATGCTGTTGTAGGACTTATGTACATATCTTCTTAAAGTGTTTTTTTATTACTTCATTAATATATGTGTCGTAAAATAAAAGTAATTTTTTTTTTATTACATTTGTTTTTGTATCTGTTTACACTTTCAATAATATATAATACAATAATAACAAGATGGGAAGTAGGAGAAGGCTTATCACTGCGTTATCAGAATTATCAGTGTTCAGGTTATAAACATTGGCAGATAGCAGTCAGTCAAGCAGTCTGCTAGTCAAGAAGTACCATATTTTTTTAGGAAATGAAAACGATGAGGAAGTTATACTGATCTTACTTGGCAGACATTTTTTTTCTCTCAATAAAATTAGAACAAAACAATAAACATGATTATTTCATTAATTTGGAGAGGCAGCTTATCATACACACCTGTGGGATGTAGCTGTACAAATTCCATATCTTGTGCCTGAAAACCTGCTCTGTTCACCATTGCTACCCCGTCACCCGTACTAGTATGGGCGCAAGTACAGGAGAAGTAAGTTCTTCCAAAACCACCAGTGGCGACTACCTGATAATGCAGTATTTTAATCCATGAGACAAGTATTGAAATGGCAATAAAATCAATAAATCACGATAAAACATGTTCTAAAATAGTACAAAACTGATTACTAGATGCTTATTAAATAGACCATAACTCATTGTTGAATAATCCAATTTAAATATTCACCAAAATTTAAAGCAAACAGTATGAAAACATAATATACTAACTATTGAAAACATAATACTACAATAAATCAATAATGGTGATGACTGAGCTTCATATTATTTAAAAACTAGAGGGATGGGATATTACTTGTTATGAACATAAAAATCATGTGGTTTCAACAAGATGATGCCCCTGCACATAAAGCAATAATTTTGATTTTTTCATTTACTTTTTGTTACTTCAACCAGTTTAGATATCTCAAGTCAATAATAACCTCTACAAAATCTGATACAATGCATCACAAAACTTTCACTTACCACCCTCTTCTTAGCAGAAATAAGTGTTTTCAGACAAAGGAGGAGTGAAAGTAAAAATTATCGATGCTATATTAATTACTTATATATATAATTACTGCCCAATACGGCTGGTAGACCATTACCCTCTAAATTAGGGTAGACATACAGGTTGCAAAATACTTGTAAGAACAGCCTTTACAAAAAAAAAAAAAAAAACACCGTTAGGGGCGTTTTCGAGAAAATCATAAAAATGTGTTTACTCTATGATATAAAGTGCTTCCAGTTAACCAATTTTGGTGAAAAAGTTGCTGTAACATCTCAAGAATATAAAAACCTTAAATATGAAATTTCACTTTCATACGACTTTTTGCTTTTGAGCTAGACTGTTAACACACATACGCGCGCACACACACACACACACACACAGGCCATTTTTCGGAACTTGGTTATTTCGACTCAGGGGACCTTAAAACATGTATTCAAGTAATAATTCAGATTCGAAAATTATCACAATCGCAATACTTTCCCTTACTATATATTTCATATATAGGTAAATGAAAGTAAAAATAGAATATTCAAATTAGCAAATGGCTCATCAATCGTAATAAGCATTATTTTGCTCTAAATGAATGAAAAAATAATTTTATTCTGAGACTTAAGTCCCCTAAGAATAATAACAGAGTTCCGTAATTATGAACATTAGTCTGGCTTAAGGGTATACAAAATGATGCTCAATTAAGTGTTAATTACATTTGCAATGACACAGTTGGTTGAATTAAACAGTGTTTAGAAGCAAGCAGATTTTACAACTTTACGGAAGTTTGAATATGAAGTAGATGTTGGAATAGGAGTTGTTTGAGGAAATTCGTGGACGAGGATTGACGTATGGAGGTAGGTAGAAAGTTCCAAAAGGAAGTAGCACAAATGATGAAGGATTTGCTGAAGGAAGTAGTTTTACGAGAGGGAATACCTAAATCTATAGGTTGAAATCTGGTATTGCGAGAGAGAATAGATAAATAAAGTAAGGAATTCTAAAATGTAGGGAGGGTTTTTGGTTCTCAGGACTTGGAAAAGGAAAACGCAAAGAAAGAATTGCTGTCGAGAAGTAGGATAAAGTCACTTCAACTCGGTGTACAAGCAGGAGAATTCCAAAGATGTATTTTATGAAGTCTCTTTATTCTCATTTCCAGCCTGGCAGACAGCCCTTCATACATCAAATGACCATAGTCGAAGAGGGAGAAAACAAGATAGGGTACATGGAGATGTCTGATTTATAGAAGAATACCATAACTGAATCTTAGGAATTGTTTAAGAATAGTTATGATTGAATCATCATCGTCTAGGTGGACAGCGTACAAATGGAGATTTTAAAAGCATTATTTCACTGTACGAAGTGTCAATTTTATAGGAACTTCATTAAGTTTATCTTAACCAATCAATGTGAGTGTCCTGGATACACATATTTAGAAGAAAAATCCTTCACCACATATTTTTACCTCTGAAGGACAGCGAAATTGGAGAACTAATATGGAGGTTTATAAGCTCAATAAAAGGACAGATGTGATAATATACATAAAGCTAGACAGGCTACATTGTGCTCGCCACATTAAACGAATTCCAGCAGAGGATATTCTAAATATGTTGCTTAATCGAAGGATGCAGACGTTAGGAACGCCCAAGACCAACTGGACACCCACAACTGGCGAGATGCTGCACAGGATAGATTGACCAGGCAAAGACTCATTGAGAAGAAGCAGCAACACAGAGCAATATTATTAATATTCAGTGTTATAATATAAGAACCTGAATTCCTTAATATAAGTTATGCTTAGAAAAATTACCTTTTAAGTATTTTCATTGTAATAAAGTACCATTTATTACTGAATTATTATTATACAAATTTAATTATTCACAATTGTAAAATATTAAAAAAATTACAGTATTTTTGGCTCTGAATCTGTGAATAGAACCATCTTCAAGACATAAGGCTATTGCTCCAATACACGTTTCACCATCCATGAGCAGATCCATAGCGTAGTATTCAATGAAAAAATTGCAATCAAATCTATAAAACAGAAAGAAAATATGAGAAGGAGTTAGTCGAGGGTGCGGTCAAATAAATAATAAATTAAAGTATATTAATTATTTTAATTTTTGCCGACATTTCGACCCACTTTGCAGATCGTCTTCAGGGCTACAAAAGATACAAAACATGTTGAAAATAAAAAATAAATATAAGCATATATAAAATAAGAAGAAGTTGTCAGATATAGAAATAAAAGATGGTATCAGAGATATAGTGGGTGACAATGTAGTTAAAAAGTACATTGTCACCCAATTAACATCTTTTATTTCTGTATCTGACAACTTCTTCTTATTGTATATATACTTATATTTATTTTTTATTTTCAACATGTTTTGTATCTTTTGTAGCCCTGAAGACGACCTGCAAAGTGGATCGAAACGTCGGCAAAAATTAAAATAATTAATATATTTTAATATATTATTTATTTGACCGCACCCTCGACTAACTCCTTCTCATATTATATCAACGGTCAACCATCTCTACATCATCAGAAAGAAAATAGTTAAGAATTAACTATGTAACATACTACAATGATAAAGCAAACCTTATATGGATCCTTATACGTTTACCAACAATGAAATGAAGACTAAGAAGTTATATATAAAGATTATGGGTGATAAATATCCAGGATGCAGTGATTATAAAGTTTTTATACTAAATTATCAAAACTTTATAATGACTGTGTCCTTAAATTTATCATCAATGATATTCAGAACAATCGATAAACTTCAATAATTCATATATTTAAAGATGTATAAGATAGGAGCATCTATCAGCTAGTAAAACGAATAATGGAATTTTAACAATTGAATAGTTACCATTAGTACTCTTATATATTAGATACCTCAAAGACTGTCCATAAAGGGTATGGAGAAGTGAATGTCCTGCCCTATCAGCTACAGCACAAGTTCTGTGTGCTTGTCCACCCTTTCCGTAATTGAGGCTTTGACCTCCGAAAGCTCTTTGATAAATTTTACCATCTTTTGTTCTTGAAAAAGGCATACCTGCCAGCAGGAGAAAAATACATGAGAATAATATAATCTTTACCAAAACAAATCTTTTCAAAAGTCAAACAAGATTGAATAATTGGCTCACCAAAATTTTCCAGTTCAATAACGGCCTTCCCAGCATTTTTAGTCATATAATGGATAGCGTCTTGGTCTCCCAGCCAATCAGATCCTTTGACTGTATCATACCTAAGAATATATAATTCCTAAAAATTAATTTATATCATGTCTATCATTAATTTAATAATTTCAACAAATATTTAAAACAACTGTTAATGAGTATGGATCATGCTGAGCAGAAGAAACATCAGCAATTCTACAACAAAACTATCATTTTATCTATCAGAAATTTTAATTTGATAGAAGATCTTTGATTATACTAACTACCTGAATAATAATAATAAATGGCTTAGTGAACCCGAAGGTTCGATGCCGACACCACCAAACGCTTATTACAATCCTCTCTTCACCGTTCGCTGTCCAAACCTAGTCCCTTCAGATCGGCTTTAATGCAATCTTTCCACTTTCGCTTCGGTCTATCCCTCAGACGTTTACCATTCGGTACAGCAAATATTAACCTTTTAGGAATTCTCTCGTTACTAAGCCCAACAATTTTACAAGCCCATTTGATTCGCTGGGATGAAATGACCTCAATTATATTACTCGGATAAAGTTCACACCCTAGCTCTTTACTGGCATTTATTAATGTTATTGTATTAAGTTTTAGTTTCCACCTCTTCGCTTAACAGTACCAGATCATCCGCATAGTCCAGCATGGGTGTTGTCCCACCCAGATCCAACCCCTTTTCACTATGCATTACCTCCCTAATGGCATGTTCTAATGCCAAATTGAACAGAACAGGCGAAAGGGAATTTCCCTGTTTTAAACCTCAAACTTTTCGGACACATTATTACTGATTCTAACTTTATTGAGTGTTTCTGTCAAGCACATCCTCACTAGATTTACTAGTTTTTTTGGAATTCCCTGTTCGATTAGAATATTATACAGTTTCTGGCGGTCAATAAAATCATAAGCCTTTTTGAAATTGATATACAGCTGGTGAACAATACTGTTGGACTCTAATGTTTTCTCTAATATTTGCCGTAAAGAACATATTTTATCAATAGTCGAACGATTCCGTCTAAATCCGCATTGGTAGTCTCCGATAATTTCCTTGGCGTATTCCATGATTTTACTAGTTTAGCTTAAAGTGAATATTTTATAACATACCAGAAGGAGTTAAATTCCCCAATAGTTATTACAATCCGACTAGCTACTCAGGTGATAAATAATAAAGACTTAAGTCATTTTTATGGTATTTGTTAGCTATCTGTATTTCAACTCAATCATGTGGACAAGCACTCAAGTGCTCTGGCCCTGAAGATAGACCACATGACTGGGTTGAAACGTAGAGAATAGACACTATAAAAAAATACTGAGTTCTGGTTATTAATCATCAACAAAAATTAAAACATTCTGTACAGTATGATCTCAATGATTGGATCTAATTGTTGCAGAGGGTCTGTGGATGGATATGGGATGCTTTGGTGGCAAAAATGTTCCGGGTGATCTTATCTTGGCAATTAGGTCAGCATATAAGGCTGTAAAAGGAATGGTAAGGATTAATGGTAGAGAGTCCAAGCCTTTACCCATGGAGAGAGGAGTCAGGCAGGGAGACAGCCTAAGTAACTTCTTGTTCATCATATTTATGGATGAAATCCATAAAATTTGTAAGCATTGTACTGCTTGGACCGTCGTCAGAAAATGGAACCTGCGGAATATTATGGTCCAAAGCCTACTATATGCCAATGACATCGTTCTGATTGCGGACACGAAAGACAAGCTGCAGCAGGCCCTTGTAGAATGGCAGGAAGAACTCCTCCGCAAAGGTATGATTATCAATAGCTCCAAAAGCAAAGTCCTTGTCATATAAAGAGATGAACAAGAGGACGTCCAGCTGATCTGTAACGGGCAGGTACTTGAAGTTGTGCAAGAATTCACCTATTTGGGTATAATTATCAGCAACAACAGGAAGATTGACCCAGAAGTAGCGAATAGGATATCCAAAGCCAATCAGGTATATTACCCTATCACCAACACTATAGTAGGGCACAGGGAAGTTGGCAAGGAAACAAAAAGGCACATATACAAGTCGGTATACCTCCCAACCCTCATGTATGGAAGCGAAAGCTGGATTATGCTGGACAAGCAGGTTAGCTGTGTGACAGCAGCTGAGATGAAGTTTCTGCGGAGACCTGCTGGAAAGACCTGGAGAGACCGAGTCAGAAATGAACGCATAAGAGAGGACCTGGAGGTGGCGGAGCTAAGGACACTACTGGAAAACCGACAGTTGAAGTGGTTTTTAATTAATAAAGATAATTTTTTTAAAAATAACTCAGTTATTTTCTTTTTTCAGATCTTCCTTCCACTTCTGCTCTATGACATTGTAAAAGAAGGACTACGGTTATAGGTTACCATACCATATATGGGTTAATATGTATGATCCAATAAGGTGTTCACTTAAAGTGACTGGAATGAGACACTGCGCATTCATGCTTTACTGTCATTCTGCTTTTATATACATAGTATATAGATTACTATGTATTGTCCATTAGGATTTTTACTTAAAATGACTCCTCGCGCGGGCTCATTACCGCGTATGGGGAGCGTCCCACGGGTGGCGGATGTGGGGATGGTCGGTGGAAATTCCTTGGAAGTTCCTCCCGGCTAAGTCCGATGGACTCGCTGACCAACAATGAGAGGGGCCCTCCAGACTTGCTGGAGGGAGGGGACCTCCAGACTTGCTGGAGGTAGGGGCCCACCAGACTTGCTGGAGGGTGTGACGTAGGATTGAACGCCCTACTCACATATCTTTAGTTCACCAAACACCACAAAAAAGTCATGGATCTCCCTAAGGTAAAACGCTCATTATCCGGAGGTAAACTAGTCCCCCGTTCGGGTCTCCGGGTGGGGACTGCTTTAGGGGATTCATGCGCAAGTTGAAATATAGGGATTTAAATATTGGTACGTGGAACGTAAGGAGTTTAAACACAGCAGGGGGGCTAAAATCGGTCGCGAATGAGGTAAATGGGTACAATTTGGATGTCGTGGCTCTGCAAGAGGTTCGCTGGCCAGGGGAGGGCTCGATGAGGGAAGGAAAGTACACTATTTGGTACGGAGGAAGCGGGAATCATTGTTTAGGTACCGGGTTTCTAATTAGGAGTAGATTACTATCCGCTTTGAGGGACGTACAATTCTTTAGTGATAGAATTTCGGTAGCTACATTTCAGGGACGTTGGTTTAAAATCGCATTAATAAACATACATTGTCCGACCGAAGACAGTGACGATGAAGTCAAAAGTGAATTTTACGATAAACTCGAATGGGTTTATGATAAACTACCGCGAAACTACATGAAAATAATTGTAGGTGACGCGAACGCAAAGGTAGGAAGGGAAGAAGTTTATATTCCGACGATTGGTAAAGAAAGTTTGCACGAATATAGTAATGATAATGGGATCCGTCTGATAAACTTTGCCATCTCGAAAAACCTGATAATTAAAAGTACGACGTTTAAACATAAGGATATTCATAAATATACTTGGACATCACCGGATTCGCAAACACGAAATCAAATCGATCATGTCTTGATACAACACAGCTGGCAAAGCAGTATAATTAATGTACGGTCTTATCGCGGAGCAGAATGTGGGTCGGATCATGAATTAGTAATCGCGAAACTTCGACAAAAACTTAATATAAAAAAGAGAAAAGAAAACCGTTTCGATTTTGAGAATTTTAATTTGGAAAAATTAAAAAATCCATCAATTAGAAACCAATTCGAGCTAGATGTTAAGAATAGGTTTGAAGCTTTAGAGCTTCCTGACGAGGACCACGAGGATATTGACAAGTTATGGATAGATCAGGGATAATATTAAAGCGGTCGGTAACTCGTGTCTAGGAAAAAAGGAAAATAAGAATAACAAACCGTGGTTTGATGAAGATTGCTTAAACATGTGAAAAAAGAAAAGCCGCTAAATTAAAAGCTCTAAATAATCCTAGCGAAGACAATCTGGAATACTTCCGAATCTCAAAGAACGAAACGACAAAATTGCTCAAAAATAAAAAAAGGGAGTATCTTAAAAATAAAATAATTGAAATAGAAACTAATAGAATCGAAAATAACGTAAGAGACATGTACAAAGGTATAAACAGATCACGTAAATATGTAGGGCCCGTAACGTCTGGAATTAGGGATGATAATAACAATATTCTGACCGATCCGGTTGACATATTGAATAAGTTTAAGGACCACTTTGACAATATTTTAAATACGGGAAATTATGATCTGTGTCCTCCTTCTGAGTACCAGAGTGCTGAACCGTTAATAGAAGGACCAAGTAAAGAGGAAGTTGAAGTAGCTATCGGAAAATTAAAATCATATAAAGCAGCGGGAATCGATAATATTCCTACTGAACTAATTAAGGCATGCGGGGAAGCTGGAGTTTCTAAAATACATCGGTTGGTTAAAAAGATCTGGGTGAACGAGAAATTACCTGAAGAATGGAAAGAATCTATTCTTATTCCGATTCACAAAAAGGGTCCGAGGACGGATTGTAATAACTATCGAGGAATTTCACTCCTTCCGGTATGTTATAAAATATTCACTTTAATCTTAACCAGTCGAATCACGGAATACGCCGAGGAAATTATCGGAGACTACCAATGCGGATTTAGACGGAATCGTTCGACTATTGATCAAATATTTTCTTTACGGCAAATATTAGAGAAAAAATTGGAGTATAACGGTATTGTTCACCAGCTGTATATAGATTTTAAAAAGGCTTACGATTCTATTGACCGCCAGAAACTGTATAATATTCTAATCGAGCAGGGGATTCCAAAAAAACTAGTAAATCTAGTCAGGATGTGCTTGACGGAGACACTCAATAAAGTTAGAATCGGTAATAATTTGTCCGAAAAATTTGAGGTTCGTTCGGGCTTAAAACAGGGGGATTCTCTTTCGCCTGTCCTGTTCAATTTGGCATTAGAACATGCCATTAGGGAGGTAATGCGAACCGAGAAAGGGTTGGATCTGGGCGGGACAACATCCGTGCTGGGCTATGCTGATGATCTGGTACTGTTAAGCGAAGACGTTGAAACTATAAAACTAAATACGACAACGTTAATGAAAGCCGGTAAAGAACTAGGACTCGAAATAAACGTGGATAAAACAAAATATATGGTTAGCTGCAAAAATGGCGATACTACTGGTGATATCGATATAGATGGTAATATGTTTGAACAGGTAGATAAATTTAGGTATCTAGGTTCTACGATAACTAGAAAAAACGAAATTGAAGAAGAGATTAAGGTTAGACTGAAGGCGGGGAATGCTTGTTATTTTTCTGTGACAAAACTACTTAGTTCGCGCCTCTTGTCCCGAAACTTAAAAATTAGAATCTATAAAACAATTATCTTGCCTACAGTTCTTTATGGATGCGAAACTTGGCCGCTTACATTAAGGAATGAGCAGCGTCTTAAGGTTTTTGAAAATAAAGTATTGCGTAGAATATTCGGACCGAAGAAGGATGAGTTAACCGGAGAGTTCAGACGGTTACACAACGCCGAATTGCGTGAGCTATATCCGGGTAATATAATTGAGGTAATTTCATCGCGGCGAATCAAATGGGCTTGTAAAGTTGTTGGGCTTAGTAACGAGAGAATTCCTAAAAGGTTAATATTTGCTGTGCCGAATGGTAAGCGTCCGAGGGGTAGACCGAAGCGAAGGTGGGAAGATTGCATTAAAGCCGATCTGAAGGGACTGGGTTTGGACGGCGAACGGTGGAGGGAGGTGTGTAACAAGCGATTGGTGGTGTCGGCATCGAACCTTCGGGTTCGCTAAGCCTTATTATTATTATTATTATTATTATTTATTATTACTTAAAATGACTGGATTGAGACATGAGAGATTTTCAGAAAGTAATACACATATATCACATACTGGATGGTGTCGGCACAAGTCCATGAGGATTGGAAACCAAGACCTGTAACCGAGATGTAATAATATATATGCTCTGAAATAATAATAATAATAATAGACATGTGCATGAGGTAAGACATTCTGGGAAATGCAACTAGGCAGTTGGGAATCTTTCATTACAATTTGTTAAAAATGATCTCTAGGTGTCTCCTTTTATTTTCTTAACAAAGCTTCTGTCAGTCCTTCCTTCACTAATTTTTTTTCTTGTCAAGAATGGATTATTATAGGGTTGGGACTACCAAAGTTTCATAAAATTTATAAAAACGTGAATCGCAAAATTATAAGGTATCAACCAAATTATAGTGGTTTTGATCACATAATTGAATATTGTAGACTGTGAATCTGATGTTTCTAATGACTATGAAACAGAGTATATTTTGTTTGTTATTCTGAAATATTTGTTTGAAGATGAAATTAAAACATCTGATAAACATAGGGTATACCATAATATGTGAAATGCTGATACGTTCTAAAAATCAACATACTTTCGTTTTTTCTTGATCTACTGTAATAAAACATTTAACATTGTTAAGGCAGAATAAAAAAATAAATCAAGTAAGTACTAATCTCAGAGAGGAGAATAAATCCACATTAGTTCGATAATGGTAAATGCTTGATTTATGATCACTCTTAATAGTTACGTTATTGAAAATGTTTAACAACTAAACTTCTTCAGAACGGAAATTAATTTCTTTTGATTTCCATTTTCAAATACTCACATATGCCAATGCCAATCATCATTTTCCATATTTCCCAAAGCAGCATTCATTCCACCCTGGGCCGCAGTGGTGTGAGATCTGGTAGGAAACAGTTTAGTGATAACAGCTGTCTTAAAACCCTTGTCAACCAAACCAAAAGCAGCACGAAGTCCAGAACCACCAGCTCCAATAACAATGGCATCATATGTATGATCGAAGACAGGGTATTCTTTTGAAATCTACAAATATAAATTTTTAAATGGTTCAGTTTATTTAACTCAATCTACCATATACTAATTTCATATACCACAATTACTAAAAATTTATCTATTTTAGTCTAAAACTTTAAGACAGAACTTATTGTGATTATATTGAGTGAATGGAGCTATTAAAATCCAAGTAAAATTAACTCACCTCTCCAGACTTGGTCGTTCCAGGATTCGGTGTAATGTGAAGTTTTCTAGATGCAATTGTCGGACAGATACCATATATCTGGGAGAAATAAAATCACAAAATTTATAACTAATTAATATATTGATAACATATTTAATGATATATATTTATAAGTTTTCAACTCATTAATAATTTATATTGCGTAGTTATTATGAGTCAGATCAAATAAGTCATATAAATAGGGACTACTGGAACCTTAAGAGTTATTTGGATCCAGACATAAGAAGTTGAGGGAACATGATAAGATGCCTCAGTATCTAGATCTAGTGCTATTACTTGTTTTACAGATTGTGAATGATGTACATAATAAGAGACCTAGGTAATTTTTTTTTTTTAAATTTCGGTTGATCCAAGTAATTCCTGCTGGGCCCAATAGATTCCAAGTTTGAGGTAACTTTTTTAGAAGTTTAAAGGTACCTTTCATAATTAAAGAGATGAAATCAGTTCATCATAAATCATACAACTCTTTACTCTAATATTAAAACAATAAAGTAATATCGACTATTTAATACATATTATCTGTGTAGGAGATATTCAGATTATTTTCTAGAATTATAACCAATAATACATATCAGAAAAAGATAATAATAAAAAACTATGCCAACAAAATATAATACCAACAATCATTAAATAAAAGTAACGTAATAACTCGAAGTATAAAAAATAAAATTAGTTCAGTAAAAGATTAAATTAATCAGAGAGGGTGCTTAAAGTTACTCTTAGTACCAACAACGATACTCACGGAAGTTAAGTAAGATGCCTTTTGGACAAAAAGAGTAAAAGACTTCAAACAATTAGCCATTCTTTACAATAAACCTGTAATAGACGTCAAGAATGTTAAAGTTTAAAAAGCGGACATTTGTGATACAGTTAGCTATACGGGCTTACCAAACATATGATCAATTAAGAAAATGGCGGTAAATTTATAAAAAAAAAAAAAAAAAAAAAAAATTATAACCAAATCATTATTTTTTTATCTTGATAGATAAAAAATGCTAAAGTTTAACAGCTCCAATTCTCTGAGAGCTTACGAACTGACCTATGTCATCCCCATCCATCGTTCAACCAGTCAACTACATATCCGGCAGTGCACCTCTCTTCTCCCTTCCCCCATATCCTCATAATTTGCTCATAGTTTTTATTCCTTGTAACTGTTAATATTTTTTTTAAATACAATATATTCCGAAAAAAAGTGTTCGAATTGTCCCAAAATGGCGCTAAATATGGCACACTAACGAATTTGAGTTGAGATAGTTTTTTGCTCACTGACATTCAATATTTGGCTTAGTTTCGCCATAATTGGCAGAATAGTCAGAAAAAAAATTAAACTATAAAAATAGAAAAAAAATATCGGACTAGGCAATAAAAAATACCAATAAAATCAACTTTTGGTTGTAATCCACTTGTAAAATAAAATCCATATAATAAAATATCCATCTAATGATCTATTTGTTTGAGAATTGCAGAAAATAAATGACGAATTAAAGGGAGTTGCCAAGAAACCAAACGTAAAGATGTCTTAACGTTTGGTTTCTAGGCAACGACTTGGAATTCTAATCTTAAGGCCGGTCCACACGCTCCGTTTTGCACAACGTTTTGTCTGCGCAGTCTTAAGACGGAATGAAAACGTTGCAATTTGCAGAGCGTCCACACGGCACAGACATATCCGTATATTTTGCTCAGTTTTGTGTGAGATCGCCATGGAGGAGGTACTACTCTGGTCGATTTTCGCGATGTGTATTGTTAAAAAAAAAAGATTGGAACATCTCAGAAGTACCCGGCGTTCAAAGTGGTCGCGGAAGTGGCTTCTAAAAAGGCAGCACTTTTCCCATATCAAATTATTGCGTGAATTACGTGATGAACCTAATGATTGGCGGAACTACTTGCGAATGGACATTGACACATATACTTATTTATTGGAATTGGTGACACCGCATATCAACAAAGAAAATACTTGTATGAGAAAAGCAATATCAGCACATGAAAGGCTAACAGCAACTTTAAGATTTTTAATGCCTTGGTGTCTCCTGATCATTCAGGAAATGTAACAAATCAAAATACCAGAGAGATGGCTTGTATATTTCGTCTTCTCCAGCCCCAGATCGAATCGATTTATTTATTTTAGCCAATTCTTTTCGGTACACGCTTTTCAATGAATTTATTTTTTTCACAACTGTCTCCCGGTTTGCCGTTACATCAATTTCTCTAAATTTATTAGCTAAAATTTCATACGCCTCCGCCTTCTTATCCCTGTCACTGTATTCTTTTGATTTTACACGCCAAATGCACGGGAAACTATCATACAGAGCAATAAAATCAGTTAAAAACTCCCTAGAACATTGCCGAAGGTCAGCCATTGTCGCCCGACGGATTGAAACTGAGTAGCAAAACGGATCGGAAAACGGTGCTACCGTCCACATGCGCCGACTTGCCTGCGCAGTTCAAGGAAATCTGAGCTGTCTGGCTCAGTTTTACTAAGACTGTACCGTCTTCCAAATGGATTCAAAACTGCACTGTTTTCCAGTCCACACGCAACGTTTTATCTGCAACGTTTTGAACTGCGCAGACAAAACGTTGTGCAAAACGGAGCGTGTGGACCGGCCTTTACTCCCTAGACTCAGAGATTTTCTGAGGAGTGTAGCTGTCCAGTGAGGATTTAGCCTTATATGGGCACAACAGCTTACTCATCTTTTAAAACATAGTTAATTCAAAGTAACCTCAAACAAATCATATCAAACTTCAAAAGTTTGATTAAAATTGACTTATCATGATAAACAAACTAATACACTAGGAAGTGAAGTTGTAAAAAAATACTCTATAATGAAATAATTGTTCCCTGTAATCACGGGCGGATCTACGGGGGGGCTTTCGGGCTGAAGCCCCCCCCAAAATGGAAAAATATAACCATGTTTTATGGGGAAAAAATTTAAAAAACACCTCTTAAAGTATTATTGTTCGTGTAATTACATTTAAAAGTACTTAAGGAATAACTTAAACACCATCTCATATAGGTAGTTAGTTTCTTTCTGTTTTTCCAAAGGAATTATCGTTAATTTTATGAAAAAAAAAGGTTTCGGGCTGAAGCCCCCCCCCAAAATTAAATCCTGGATCCGCTAGAGCCTGTAATTAAGTGAAAAGAGATCTAGTTGAGAAAAATGGCAGAGGAGAGGATCTTGATGCAGTGCTGCCCTTAAGCTTAAAGGAAAACAACATTTTCCTTTTTGCTTTGTTAGGAGTAACTTTTAAAAATTTTCAAGTAAATGAGCATAATGATCAGTGATAATCATAAAATAGGTTGGCCAGCTGACATTATTTAATCAATAATGCAGAGTAAAGGTGCAGATGAGATGTAGTACATTTACCTAGAGAAGGCATTGAGACTTGTGATCCCTCAAAACCAGGGGAGTAATTGAGTGGCCTAAGACCCTTTAGGTGGAGACCTCAAGGATACTACTGCCAAGACCTTCTTTTGACTGAGCACAGCGGATCTAGATTTGGAGGTCAATAAATATCCCTGATGGTGTGCAGCAATGCTACCAGTGCTGGTATGGAGCCGAAGATTGTAGAGGTCAGCTGGGTTCAGTCCAGATAATCAGCTGTGAGGGTGTAATATATGTAATATGTAAAAAAAAACAGGTGTAAAGCAAGTAAGCTTTTTCATTACCTTAATGAGTGTGGACTTTATGCCTCCAGTTACTATTCTTAGCCTTTGGTTCTGGACAACTGTAATTTTTTGATAGTTTGAGGGAGCTGTCATTCCCCAACTTGTTGGAGCTTGGTGCTGTCATTCCTTATTCGATCACAGGTCTGTGATTCCCTAACGCACACATTCTCACAAAAGCTCTCCCCACTGGACTGACAAACTATTAAGCCAAGCATGACTCCATTCTGACTACAGCCATGATCCTAGAGTCTTAAGAAGTGGCTGCTCTCATGTACTGTATTTCTTACTGATGCAGAATCTGTTCATGAATGCATCAAAAGGAAATTGAAGAGTACACTAGGCAAATTAGTTGAAGACCTGTAAGACCTAAGAGTATAATACTAAGATGTGGTTCTGCAATGGATTCCAGAGCACTGTGGACCTATGGGGAATGAAATTGCACACCGATTGGCTAAAGTAGGAACATTTCTCCCCCAAATTACCAGCATCCTTAGATAGGTGGAGTGCAAAACTATTAACAAAACAGCCATAAGCTAGTAGTGGAAACAAGTCACCCAAATCACAATCTCATGACAATTATTTTAAGCTAACAAGAAGAGAACAGGTTGTCATTTTTTGCCTCAGGACTGGACGTAACCACCAAAAATCGCACCTCTTCAGGTAATTTAAGATAGGGTCCAGTCTCCTATGTGGCCAAAACAAACAAACCATAAAACACATTTTGTAAAGCTGTCAGCTGGTAGAGGACATACAAAGACAGATATGGCCCCAACCAACAGACCTTGGCACCAACCAGTTCTGAAGTCTGGAGGACTTCACTAATGGAACCACTAATTTTATTTTTTTACTTCATGACTTAGCCATCTAGAACAGGGGTCTCCAAACTACCACCTGTGGGCCAGATCTTGCTCGCCAGCTCCTCCAATCTGACCCATGCAAGTTTCTTTGATTACATAGTAAAATTTTAAAACTATTTAAAAAATGCCAAATTAAGTAAATCACTCAAACAGGAGGTTTATTTATTTATTGCATGAGTTGTTTCTCCTGGGATGCTCAATTCACAGCTGAAGAGTCATTTATTTAACACAAGCCACGCCCTGCGGGACTTAGTGGAAGTCTCAATGTAGCCCACGGCCCAAAAACTTTGAAGAGCCCTAATCTAGAGGGAAGAATCAATATACTTTTGAAGATGAATATCGAGATTAGCTATAATAATATTTCTCAATAGCCCTATAGTTAGAGCCCTTTCATAAAATAGTTCACAATATACAGCTTACCATGATAATAATTCTTTGTTGTAACAGCATTAGGGAGTGAGAAATTAGCATTTCACATATTTTTTACTGGGTCATATTTTATTTATTTTTTAAAAATTTTTTATCTTTATTTCTCAACTCACACCTGTTGGGAGTGCCAACAACCAGTGAGTTTGCTGTAATAGAGAATAGTAAGGAATAAGACGGCAGACCTCTCTTCTAAGGAATACGACCTCTCTTCCTATCTTGATTTAATATTTATTGTTGGTGGAGGAGATCCCTCATTCAGCTTCTCTTGAGCCTCCTACGGGTGCCATCGGGTATGTTGGTTGTGGCTATGCCTTGAATTAGTGAGTTGGTATGTCCGTGTAAGTTATTGTGAAATATTTTGTAGTATGTTCGTATATGGTCATTAACTGTTAGCATTTGTAAGTTTTTATGTAATGTAATGTTACTAACGTACCAGAGAGCTTTGGTTATAGTCCTGAAAGTATTTGATTGAAGAGTATTTTTAGCTGTCCCAAATATCTGTGAGGTATAGTAAGTGGGTTTAAGTGAGTGTATGTATTCAATTTTTGACTAAGTTTTAATTTCGAACATCTTGAAGAGAGTGAATACAGCTGTCGTAGTCTTAGGTTTAGTGTTTTTGTTATGTTCTTTATATGTGGGCCCCATGTCATTCTTCCATATAATGTCAGTCCAAGATATTGAACTTTGTCTGTCTGAGGAATTTGAACATTGCCGAGGTAAATAAGAGAGCAAGTTTCTCGTCGAAGAGTAAAATTAATATGTTGCGATTTGTCTTGGTTGAGTCAAATTTTCGACAGGTTGCACCAGTCGTGAAATTTAATCAGGTGATACTGTTGAGTCTGTGAAGTGTACCGGGTTTTGATTTCTTGTTAAGATTGTTGTATCGTCTGCTTATGTGACGACCAGAGTTTGGAAACTGTATGGAATATCATTTATGTAAATGACATATAGCAGCGGAGCGAGTACTGATCGTTGAGGCACTTCTGCTAAGGTTGGTTTAATGGAAGAAAGTTCTGTGCCTTGGCAGATTGAGAAAAATCAGTCAGAAATAAAAGATTGAGGGATAAGATAGTAGGTTGAAGGGAGTATCGTCCTAAGTTTGAAAAGAAGCCCTGATCCCAGACTCTATCGAACTTTTGAGCAACATCTAGAAATACTCCTGTTGCATATAATTTATGCTCTAGTGCCGTTGCAATATAGTCTTATATTCGTCACTCGGTGTAATTGATGAATGGTTGAATGGTGTCTTCGGAATCCAAATTGCTGTACAGGTATTATGTTTTCATTTGTCAGTATGTCAAGAAATCTCTTGTAGAACAGTTTCTCAAAGACTTTAGAACATATAGGGAGAAGGCTAATGGATCTGTATGATGAAGGAAAGTCGGTGTTCTTGTTTGGTTTGTGAATCATTTTAATATATGAATATTCCCATTGTAAGGGAAATTTGGTCGTTCTGAGTATTGTATTATATATTGATGTTAGGTACACAAGAACTTTCCTTGGCATTTTCTGGAGCACTTGAGCATTTATGAGGTCATGGCCAGGGGCTTTCTTTTTAGGTAACTGTCTTATTTGTTCTGCGGCTTGAGTAGGAGTAAAGAAAGATGGAGGTAATGACAATGGTGATAGAATGTCTAAAGTGTTTTGTATATGTCTCCCGTGTTCAGTATTTGAGAAGTCAGTATGTGGTATAAAAACAGAAGAAAGTTGTCCACCCTTAGGTGGAAAGTTGAATACGAAATTGTTTGCTGCAATTTTGATGATATTTTTTTTTTTTTTTTTTTTTATCTATTTATTGAATAATAATACAATCAGCCACTGGAGGGCTATAAGTATTAGGGCTAAGAGTTCTCATTCAAACAATATATACAAATAATAGAGAAATAAATATAAATATAAAAAGTAAATAAATAATACTGATGAAGAAAGAAAATAAAAAAAAAAAAATAAACAATAACATAAAAAGAAACTTATAAACACTATCATACCTATATACAATATATACATTCGCCCAAGAATCTCCGAGCCAGGCTTTTTCCCCCACATGTGGAAGGCAAAGCAAGACTCCAGGAGATTCCAGTGCCACTTTTCCAGCCGCATCACTGGTATTAGAAGCCAATGGAGACTGAAAGAGGGCACTAGAGCCACAGACGCTCGGGACATGAGTGGAGAAGCTGCCCATTGCCAGGACTCCAGAAGCATATTTACAAGAGATCTCTGGGCCACTGCCGTTTTAACCTTCGTGGAGGATTGTAGGGATGAAGGGAGCTGGATAGGGATTGAGCTAGAGGATTTGGATGATGGATAAGGTTTTGGTGAAAGTTTGAGAATCTGGTTGGGATGATGTCGAGGACAAATGGGATGTTAAGGTCATGGTGTAGGGTCTTGTTTGTGACATAATATGGGGCATTGACTATTGTTCTAAGTACTTTGGACTGGAAGGATTGGATGCGTTTGATATTCGAATGTTTAGCAGTTCCCCACAGTTCAAGTCCGTAGGTCCAGATAGGTTTCAGTATGATCTTGTAGATTAAAAGTTTATTTTCAATCGAAAGATGGGATGTCCTACTTAGTAATCTATACAGCTGGCCATATCGTCGGTTAAGTTCTTGTCTTTTAAGTCTGGTATGTGGGTTCCAAGTTAGTCTTTTGTCAAGAAGGAAGCCAAGGTAACGGACTGTGTCTGAGTAGGGAAGTGGAATTGAATTAAAAAGGATTGACGGACAGGATCTGCGTCGCAGGGTAAAAGTGATATGTTTGCATTTTGATTCATTGATTTTGATGCGCCAGTTGTTGCACCACTGCTCAATCAAAGAGAGGTGAGATTGTAGGTTTAGAGATGCTATTTGAGGATCTGAGTGGGAAGATAGAATGGCAGTATCATCAGCAAATGTAGCTAGAAATGTATCGGGATTGGAAGGGATATCGGAAGTGAAGAGGATATAGAGAACTGGGCCCAAGACACTTTTTGATGATATTAAAAATAAAAACGTCTTTATTTATTTAGGCTTAACTCTTAAGATTTCAACCTTGTATTGCACAAAAAAAGCCATCACTTTCAATACCAATGTCTCTCAAGAATGAAGTTGAAATCGATGAAGCAGTTGAAATATTTACAAGCTGTTTACAACAGGCTGCATGGTCGTCATCTATATCAAGTCCCACAGAAATAAGTCTCTTCCAAACTATCCCCAGTACATTAGAGATCTGATTGAGGCAAAGAGAAGACCCCTTAATCGACTACCATCTGACAAATGAACTTTCAATAGACTTAATAATGAACTTAAACGACATATTCAGAATTTCAAAAGAACAAACTATGACAATTATATCAATCTGAAGATGTATTATATAAAAAAAATGATAAAAATAAAAATATAAGAGAAAGAAAGGATGGAACGAACAAATGAGATAAAAGTAATATAAAAATAAGTATATGCTAAAAAAATGTTTCAGTGTTATCAATAATTTAAAAAGATAAGTATATCAAAAGTAAAAACAAATAATTAGTATGAATAAAACAATTCAATAAATAAGAAGTATGCTAAAACAATATGTAGAATTAAAAATTAGCAATTATGAAAAACAACACATAGAAATAGAGATAAACAGAAATAAATAGTTTCTTAACAATTACCAATGGTTTGATGGTCGGGCAAGAACTGAATACTTACATAAGTTGTACAGTTTTGTATTATATAACAAAATTAAAATTTTTATTATTGTTATATTGATATTACTGTTATCTAATTGTATGCACACCCAGCTTCTATAAAGTGAGTACCCTTAATTAAAAAATTAATTTAGGGGAAAAACCTGGCGGTTGAGCGTGATATCGGTCAAATCACCTCCTTGCACAACCGTTGACCTAGAAACAGTGCTTTCCCTAAATAGTACTGAACCCTAGACCCTTCATGGGTTGTAGTGGTACAGGTTTTTTTTAATTTGTATGTTACACCTGTTTATCTCTCTCTACTATCCTTTTTATTATTTTTCTGATGTAATTTCTAATTTTTAGCCTGAATGATGACCCACATGTCCATGCTCATCCTAACCATTTTTCATTCTTTCAATAAATCTTAGATATCGGAGAAGAGTCCCAAAGTTAAAGCTGGAACGTCTTTTGATTAGTTTTTGTTTTTTTTAGTTATTACTACTTTTTATTTTACCATTATCCTTAAAATTGAAATTGAGTAGGATAGAAATAATTATAGTGATTATTTAAATTGTAGACAAATTTATAAATATTTTTATTTATACACTTAAATTAATAATATAATTGTAATGACATTTAAAAAATACTAAATGATAATATGGTGTAACTAAATCTAGTAATTATAACTAATGAGTAAATTACATAGGTAACTCAACAAATACAAACAATATATACATTTTGTCCAGGGCAGGACTTAGGTGAAAGTAGTAAATTAGAATAGAGTTTTTGGAGAAAGAAATTTCTAGCTTCCATCAAATCGTCTTTGACATATCATCGGTTTCTTTTTAATACTATGAAACTATAATTTGTTTGAGGTAATGTTATATTTCCAACTTTTAATTGGTATCTGGAATGTGATATCGGTATTTCGTGTTGTGTAACGGTGCCTCGTCCTGCCCTGTTCTTGTCAGAACATGTCCCTCTCCCTTTCCGTAGCCTGCTTTTTAAGAAGTACCACGCAGACGATCAGTAGTACAAGAAGAATGACCACAAATGAAATAAGCGTATACATAGCGCTTCTGTACGGTATATCTGAAAAAATGAAAAACTTTAAAATATGTCTAATTCCATGAATCATTAATTATTAAAATAATTATGTAGAGATGGTTGACCGTTGATATAATATGAGAAGGAGTTAATTGGGGGGTGCGGTCAAATAAATACTAAATGAAAATATAGTAATTATTTAATTTTTGCCGACGTTTCGACCCACTTTGCAGGTTGTCTTCAGGGCTACAAAAGATACAAAACATGTTGAAAATAAAAAATAAATATAAAATAAGAAGAAGTTGTCAGATACAGAAATAAAAAGATGATATCAGAGATATAGTGGGTGACAATGTAGTTAAAATATTAAGTATTATATATGTAAAAGATACAAACAAATTGAAAATAAGTATGAATAAAAATAAAAATAAAGGAGAATATAGCATGTTCTATAGTATATTAGCATATTAGCAAGGAGAATATAGCATGTTCTATAGCATATGTTAACATGCTATATTCTCCTTTATTTTTATTCATACTTATTTTCAATTTGTTTGTATCTTATACATATATAATACATAATATTTTAACTACATTGTCACACACTTTATCTCTGATATCACCTTTTTATTTCTGTATCTGACAACTTCTTCTTATTTTATATCTATTTATATTTATTTTTTATTTTCAACATGTTTTGTATCTTTTGTAGCCCTGAAGACAACCTGCAAAGTGGGTCGAAACGTTGGCAAAAATTAAATAATTACTATATTTTAATTTAATATTTATTTGACCGCACCCACCAATTAACTCCTTCTCATATTAAAATAATTGATAATGAACTTTTAAGACATACCTGAAGTGAGTTGCATTTCTGTTGCGTCTAGACAATGGCTTAATTCATCTTTTCTCAAATCTCTCAAATTTGGCAAAAGTTCGTTCCATAACCAAATTATTTGTTTTGCTATCGCATCCTTCGCTAATGTTGGCATTGGTGATCTGATCACTGATTGTGTTGCAGGTAAATTATTATCAGCACGGAAAATTATAAAATTGTCCTCAAGAGGGGAATATTCAGTCCAGCTTACACCAAAAGCAACAGGATTTGCACTGATTCTTCTGAAAATCATTTCATGTCAGGAAGATGACAGGTTTTTGAAATTGTCCAAGTACTTACAAGAAAAATAATGGGATAAAATTGGGTAGGTTGATTGATAAGATTTTATTTATTTCATAAATGATCAAAAAATATGAAATAGGTCCTTCACCTACGGTGAAAAAAAATTAAGTTAAATGTATAACCATTCCAATGAAAACATATAGACAGATTATTCACAAGATATTATTGAATTACCATATTATTGAAAAAATTAAAATATAAAAAAAATACTATAAAAAAGTAAAAATATTATTTTAAAAAGTTCAACTAGTATAATGTTCTAATTTTAAAAAAATGTATATTGACCGAATAAGATATGATACCAAATCTTGATGGTCCCATACGTCAATAAATAAATCTTTATGGCCCAGGCTTACAGAACATAATTGGTTTAGGTGATCTGCGATCTCTTCATTTTTATTCATGCAGTAGATCGCATTCTGTATGAATTTTATAGTGGAATAGATAATAAAAATAGATTCTAAGGGAAAGTAAATTGCAAAGAAACATCACTTTCTGGGCGCCTAAGCCTTTGAAGTTTGAGTTTATCTGAATGGCATCTTACAATGATTGAAGAGAAACACACACATATTGTTCTTTGAATGGTCTCTGAAATATTACCCCATAGCCTAAGCCTTATTTCATAACAAAATGTAAAAAAAAACTAAGAGTGAGAGTAAAAAATGCAGGCCATGTTTCAATGTTTCTGTTTTTAAAGAAAGTGATTAAAATAGAGTGAAAATGCACTATCTATACAATTTCAAACATCATAATTTTAAAAGGGATTCAATAGATTCCTGGTTGCTTCCACTGCGAACCAAATTTTCTTGTTCTTCAGTTTTTAGGATTATTTTGTACCAATGGTAGATACTCTAAAACCATGTTTAACAACTTTTTAGAGTTGAAAAAAAGATTAATTCTTAATTGTTCCTTACTTCATAATATTAATTTTAAAAAAAAATTTCTCGAGAAAATTTTTTTTTTTCTTATATTGTAAATTTCAAGTTTTGATAACTATGAGTGAAGTTATAAATAAATAGTCATTTAGGAATTTTAAGTAACATTGTTTATTATTTCCAATAGATAAAATTATTTTAGGGATCATTATTTCATAATTCAATGGGCCATTGTCTGCTATTATGTTAATTATAAAAGAAAAATATATAATTAAAGATCTTACCCTTTTCTGATAAAATCAATCCAAAAACGTTTCATGATTGCCCCCAATCTTTCTTCAGCTGGAGTAAATCGCACTCTATGAATGTTATTAATTATAGAAGGCCCAAAAAGAAACAGCAAGTCTTCCCCATGTCCAGAACCTAAAGAAATACAGTGAGAACTCATAAATACTCCTCTGGTTTTCATTTTTCTTCCCAAAGAGAAAATATTTAAATATTTAAAATATTTAAAATTTTATTTAACATAATAAAAAAAAAAGAGAGACAAAAATATAGAATTTGCTAACAAAAAAGGATAGGTAGGTTAATTTCTTCTAGCTGGAAGTTAAAGATCATTTAAAAATTTGTATTAATGCATCAACTTAAATCCCTATGCCATAGCTGTTGCATTACTGCTTAAACCCTTTGACTGCGGACGGGATACATGCCTTCCTGTTAAGAGTTGGATCACTGGTGTGGACGGGATATATACCTTCCCGGTAGAGAGTTGGGTCACTGATGCTGCCGGATATATGCCTTCCCGCCTTGGTGGTTGCTACTAAACAGGTAGGGGCAAGTCCTGCCTTCAACATTTGACTTGTGCCTTGGTCGGTGCTTTCATTAGTCCCCTGTAACTGTCTTAGTGTGGTCGTCCGGATTCTGACCATTTGGAAGCTATCAGTTGCAGATTTATTCTGAACCCAAGGTATGTCCATTCTCTGTTATATGTGTCATATCAATGATGTTATTTATATGTTTTTATATGTTCTATATGTTTATATGTTCTATTTAAATGTTTTATACATTAAATAAATGTTAATAAGTTAATTTTATACTTTTTTTCTTTTTTTTTTTAATTTTGGTTTTGATTGAATGCTGATTTTGGTGCATGTGAATATCTGTCTACTAAACAAATAAATGTAAGTTTCCTATATACATACATACATACATACATACATACATACATACATACATACATGCATACATACATAGATAGATAGATAGATAGAAAGTAAACTTTATTCTGGGACAAGGTCCCTTATGAATAACAGATATGAACAAAAAAATTAAAACTACATCTGGCCAAAAATTACATTAATCAATATTAAAGAATATATACAGTATCTTCAGTGAAATTAAATTAAAACAAGTAAAAATAAAATAAAATTTTGAGAAAAAACGAAATAAAAAAAACAACATTATTTAAATGAAAATAAAAATAAAATAAAATAAACATGGGTTGATTTTTAAAATTAAGACTCAATAAATTTTATCAACCATTCACCTCAGTCAAAATCTGTTTCACAATATTTATTTTATTGTATAACGTCATTTTGGGAAGTGAGAAGGAATTGGTAAAGATGATATTTAAATGATGACATTTAAATGAGATGATATTTAAATATATTAAATGATAATATATATATATATATATATAATATATATATATATAATATATATATATATATATATATATATATATAAGTAATAAATAAATGTAAAAACATACAAAAATGGAAATGTAATAGTAAAAATTAAAAATTCAAAAATACACAAAATTAAAATGATACTATAGTTGTTTTATCATTTTTCCATCCATCTAAAAACAATATATATATATATATATATATATATATATATATATATATATTATATATATATATATATTTCAAAAATATGTAAAAGTTTTTAGCACACATGGTTAGGCCAAATTAACTATACAAATAAATAAATACAATAATAAATTTGTTTTTATGTTACCCGATCCTAACAATATTTACTCTTTATAAAATTAAAGAATTCACAATGTGAGGAAAATTCTTCCTCCCAAGAACTCAAGAAGGGACTTTTGTAGCACCTTCTCTCAGGTTAATAATTAATTAAAAATTAAAAAGGATTAAATCTTACCTGAAATGTTAAGATGTCTATAAAGATGATTGACTTCTTGTTCAAACAAATATGCATAAACAATACCAGGATTCTTATTGGTTTTTGCTGCTAAGTATGAAATTTGCTTCATGTGTGGGGCCTTGTATTGAGAATCAGAATAAAACTGAAAAATAAAGTAAAACAAATTTAAATAAATAAATATTTCTCTAAATAAACATTTTTGGTATTCTGAATTACATTTAGTATCGTATTTATCAGATTATTAACTTCACCATTTTTTATTTGGTCTAAATAAAATCCTTTTAATACCGTTAATATCTCTTCAAAATTAGAATTGTTGTGAAAATTATACTTTTTCGCTACGGACGGTATGATAGAAGAAAGGAACAGATGCTTTAGCTGAGAAAACCCTTGCTGTTCTAGATCATTCCATTGAGCTAAAAAAAAAAAAAAATAAATAAATAAAATAATGTCATTAAAATAAGAATTTATATGAAACAAATCAAATTCCATTAAAAGAACAGTAGATCATAATGGGAAAAAATGAATTCCATACAAATAGAACATTTAAAATTTTTAAATTTGTTGTAGGAAATTACTTTATTGTTTCTTATTTATTGATTGTATAAATGTGATGTGAATTTCATTAATGTAAATAATTTGTAAAGTTTAAATAAAATGAACCAATAAAGGTGGCAACACAGGTTCAGACCAATGATGATAGCTTGGGTAGCCCCAACTTGGAGTCTGTTCGTTTGTAGCCTCCATTAGAGTCACATCAAAATCTCTACTGTATTGTTTTAATACCCAGCTATCCCATAACAAAATTGAGATAATGTAGTAATTTATTAGAATTATTTTGAATGTAAACCATTGAGTCAGAGTTTCATTTAATCTTCCACGCTCTCCATCTTCACATTTTCATAATATGTTTTCTCTTTTTATACTAGTGTTAAATCTGTCATATATACAAACTGTTGTTTGAATTAGATTAGCACGAGAAAAATGCTAAGTAAAGAAAAAAATAAGACCACCAACAAGTCTTAGAGAAGAAGATATATATTAACACACTGAAAAATAATTCAAATAAATGACGTAGAAAAAATATTAGAACTAAAAAAGTTATTATTCTTTGATCTGTTGGCAACCTGACTGGATTGGGATGTCTAAAATGCTCCCTGGAAGAATAAAGGCGTAATGAGAAAAGAGTTATGAAATTATAAATTACTGTGAAGGTTTTTTCTATGAGGTAAGAATGAATTAATAGGAAATATGTAATATTAATAAATTTATATAGGATTTTCCCACAAGATGTTGACAAATCCTTTGTAATTCAAGCCGTCTCCCTCTGGAATTCTATCCCTCCTGATATTGGACACGCACAATCAGTTTCCTCTTTCAAATCTCTCTTCCATAAGTATCAATTCCATTCCTGACCCGATTGATCGTGAAATGCATAACAGGACTCTCTAAATAACCCAAGATACTATTTTGTTTATTTATTTTATTTTATCTTTCTCTGTTTATTTTATATATATGTATGCTTTTTTTTCTCTCTCTTTCTATTACCTGTATATTTACTTTTTATTATCTATTATTTTGTAAATATTTAATTTAAGTTAGGGTCACATTGACATGTTTTGTTTATATTCTGCATTTATAATTTGTTCTAAAGGGACACTGGTCCCAGAATAATAAAATTATTTTCATTCATTCATTCAAAAGGCAACAAAGAGAGAGATAGGAACGTAGGAGGATGAGTATTCACTGAATTATTTAATTATACATAATCCCTAAAATATAAATGTAATGTATTATTATATAATATATTAATGTTTACTTACACATGGTTACAGCTCCCTCATGGCTTGTAATACCAGTTAAGATGGGTATTTTTGTCATATTGCCACTTTTCAATGCTGTGAGTGGATCTAATGGTAAATACTGGTCTTGTGCATATAAAAAGTTATCCACAACTGGAAGTGGAAGATCTGACCAATTGCCATTCTAAATTTTAAAAACAAAATTTAAAATTATATTAATCATTAATAAAAAAATCGCAATTACTGTTTTCCAGAATTGTATCACAAAGGATTAGATGACACTTAGAAATTTGAAAAATATTTAGCTTTGCTAAATTTAATTAAAAAAGTATTATGGTTATTAAAAAGCAACATATCTACATCACTGAAGTCATATTTTCCATTTTGATTTGAAATCCAGAATAAGTGATTTAATTGTTTCATTAATGCTTAATTTGGGAGATTGAATAGAATTTTAAAATTCATTTCAACTACTGTATAAAATTCTCAAGTTTTGATTTTGAAGAATTTGTAATTTGTTTCTAAATTTAATTTACCGAAAAGGGATGAGTGGAAAAGAAAATTTTAGTCCCCCAGCGGGCACTTCTCTAATATAAACTCAATTTTCATAAAAATTTTTTATCCTCTTATAAATTCAATTAGGGAGTCTGTAGAGCTACCTAAAACTTTAAAAACTGTGAAAAACTCCTTGGATATACCAACATTTTCACTGAATGCTTACTTTTATGGTATTATTCTGTCTAGGAAACAATCCTGCATACTGAAATTCAGCTAATTTAGACATTTATTTTCAGAAAAAAAAATCTCTCTCTCTCTATATATATATACCTATATCACTGAATTATTTACTTGCCTACAATTAAACACTGGAGGAAGATATTTATTATAGAACTTTGTTACTATGATAAAAAAGTAAATCTTTTAAACTAATTTTTAATGAACCATTAATAAAATTACATCCATCTTGGTTATGAATGTTTAGTGTAGTCTATAACAAACAATATTTTGTTAAACACTCTATGCCATCAAAAATAGAAATTCTTAAGATCAAAAGTTCTCAATATAGTAGGTGTAGAAGAAATCTAGCTGTGATGTGATCAGTTATTACAGAGATAAATAATGAGAATGCTGAAATCTGTCATTCCTAGAACTGAACGCATAATACCCTGAACCTTGCCAGAAATATCATGCTTTGCCAACATAACTTGTTCTTTTCTGACTACTTGTATTTTAATAAACTTAACCATGTCTCAATAAAAATTCAAAATTTTTTTTTCCCTAACATTAAAATTCAAATTGAAAATTATTGATACCATGTATTGAGTCTCAAATGCTTTCAATAGCTCGGCTGAACTTTTGGTTTTTAGACAAGCCAATACAGATCTAGATTTTCCAATGCATCCAAGACTTCTCGCAATCTGGAATGAACTGTTTGAAGGGTGGCTTGACATTGACCAAGGACTCACAGCACTGCCTGACATTAGGATAGCTCTCTGGAACAAACCTGAAATTTATTTTAAATATTAAAAATATTTTTTATTACTTTCAGATATCTTAATAGTGGTGGAATCATTAAAAAAACATTAATAAACGCTAATATAAATACTATGTTTTAACATTATTTCTCCATTCAAAATATTTCCTCATTTTCAGATTAAGTTAACTGATCTAAAGATATGGAATACAATATTTAACCAATATTAATGACTTTTATTTAAAAAATTGTGAACTTCAAAATATGATGAAAAACAGATTCATTTCACATCATAAAAAACGAAAGCAGTAGTAAAGATCATAATTGCTGAATTATATTACATTAAATATTTTAAAATCAATACACTTCAATCAAATTAGTAGATTTTTAATACTTAATAATAAGTTAAATTTATAGAATATGGGAAAATGAGCCAATGACATCATCACCCTCCCCCCAAAAAATGAAATTTATTTCTTAAGCTGTTATATATGATGTAATATTTGGATTTTGGTTCATTCAATATTTCTCTAATACAATTGCTTCATTAATAGGCTAAAATTAATAATTTAATACATTTTTTAATTTTTAAAAAGCCCCTGACGTGTGACCTGGGGCAATTGTCCAGGTTACCTGGCATTGTCTACAAGGGGTATAAAGCCAACAAAAAATAAAGTTTATTTTTTCTAGAAAACATTTTTTTATATCATGCTGTCAATTTTATTAAATAGCTTTTCTTCAAATCAGCATTAACTTCCTTTTCCTTATACCCTATATTTAATTTATAAATTCAAATTGTTGGTAATAAATCCAGTTTATTTATTTCATATTTTAATATGTGGTCGAAGCCATTTTAGTTTTTCATGTTATCAGGCTGGTTCAGAGTTGTTGCTTTCAGCATGATGCAAACGATGATTATTGAATATTGAAATATATAGAAAAATGTTCATAAATAATGTGTTTTCAGACAATACTTTGGATTCTCATTATATTTATAACCCCAACAAAAATAAATATAACTACAATAATTTCACTGATACATTCTTATCATCCTCTTACCAAATAATCAAGATTAAAGAAAGTATTATAAAATCAAGCATCTTTGTATTATATTGTCAAAACCTAAGTATAAAAACAAGTACCAACTTTTCATTTTAGATAGACTGAATTTCTGTATCTTTGTTCAAATATTTCATTTATATTTTTACATTTTATCTATTTGATAATTTTGCATAGTACATATGTGTTCCTTTTATAATGTACCTGATGTACGTGGAGAAATAAGGTGCAGAAGGACTGAAACAGAACCTGCTGAATGACCAAGAAGTGTTACTGATTGTGGATCACCTCCGAAAAATTCAATATTCTGTCTTACCCATAATAAACCGAGATACTGATCTAGTAATCCTAAATTTCCTCTAGCTTCACTATTTTCCAGGCACAGAAAACCTGTAAACACAAAACAAATAATGATTATCATAAAATTATTGAATATTTACATTAAATCTCATCAAATTTGAATTAATAGTAAAATTATAATTTTATAGCTCTTATTAATTGAAAACAACAAATATTTCAATGAAAATAGGAAATGATTCTATTATTATCTGCTTAATGAAGGTAAACGTATTTTGAATAAGCATTTAATCATGTCAATCATTTTCTTCCTTTTTATTGCCTTTTCATTTGAAATTTATCAAAAAAAAATTGCAGGAATAAAATGTTGTCCTAAAATTCCATAAAAAAAAAAAAAAAAAAGCGATAAATGGTTCCAAATTTTATATCAATTTAAATTTGAATATGACACCACAAAACGATTTAAATTGAAAGTTTAAATTATCAGCCTGTATTTATGACTCCAAAGATATTTTCTCACTTCCCTTTAAGTTTTCCTGACAAACTAAGAACCAAGGGTAGATTTACAGAGGATGGGGCTATATGTTTGAAGCCTTCCACGAAATAGAAAAATAACATATATATATGGGACCGCGGTGGTCGACCGAGTTAAAGCGCCTGCAAACATTTTATGCCATGAGTTTAAATCATGTTTACAGGATTTAATAAGAAAAAAGAAGACAAAAAATATAAATTAATTAATAGTAAATTAAATAAATAAATGCAGTCCCTACTTGATTGCTTAGACCATTACAGTGCAGGTACGATTCCTGCATGGAGATGGTATTGTCTCCATCCTGAGATAGACAGGAAGGAGAGAGACCTCTGTGTGTAACAACATAGGTTCTTGGTCCTCCAAATACGCGGTTGGGCATAGAGCTAATAACCCTATCCCGTAAAAAACAGGATAGAGACGTCTGCAAAAGGTTACCAACCATCCTAATGAAGAGGGAGTGATTGTGATCGCATCCAGTTATCATAGACCACGTGCTCTCTGGACTATATAAGAGAACAAAACGATCATAGCTTATTGCCTAGAACAGCACCAATGCTACGAGAAGACTAATGGTGGAAGTCAGAAGAGTCAAGAGGAGTTAAAAAAAAGTATATATGTATATAATATAGAATTATAATTATAATCTAAAAGCACTGTTGTTCCTGTAATTAACATTATCTCCTTTTTTTGCAGGTCTTCAAGTACCACTTAAACATAATTTTCTTAGATTCTTTCTGAATAATTACCATTAATAAAAAAAATTGAATAGCTCCCCCCCCAAAATTAAACTCTTGATCCGCTACTGCTAATAACTAAATAATCTTAAAGTTATTACCTAAAGAGGTAAATTAGTTTAAGGAGTTCTTAGTAATAGCTAACTACAAGAACAGATTTTTTTTTTTTTGTAATAGCTTTTTATGGAAAAAGGAAGTTCTATGCTAGTCAAGAGAAATCTCAAAAACATAATGTTCCTAAGCTCAGCAATGAGCTCATGGATGGCATGGTTTAGTCCGGTTTAGAGATGAATCCGGTCCCATTGATGATGATACTTAGGTCTGAGTTCAGGAACTTGGTCTATTTTGGTTTATACCTATATTTGAGATTGTTGAGGAAGTAAAAAAGTGCAGTAAATAATATTGAAACATAAAACTTTAGAATGTTAATTTACCAAATACATTTAGTCTGTAGCTGACGGAGACGACAACTATTCCTTCAGCTGCTACATCCTGAGCAGGTATTCGCCCAGGATAGCCAGATACAAATCCTTCCCCTTCCAATATGACTAGCACAGGTGCCTTTCTGTACCCCTTTGTTGTCTGGAACTTAATAATTCATTCATTCCAACTTTCTAAAATTATTTTTTTTAAAATTACATAGTCACATTTATCAATTTTTACAATATAGAATAATCACTGTACTTAAAATATTTGTCTCTTTCAGTCATGATAATGATATAAAATAGGTCACATCCAGTTGTTTCAGGTTTATTTACGTGGTGAAGTTAAAAAAAGAATTACACACAAAAAAGGAGTGATCATTATAGAAATCAAGCCAAGCCTTAAAAGCTTAGGAGTTGATAACCTTAAGTGTTTTTTTCTTGAAGCCATTAAAAGATTAAAGTGAGTTGAGATACAGTTATTAGTGCAAAAAGTGTAAGTAGAAGACAGCTTACAGAAATTAACTAACAATTAGCAAGGGTTGGATATAGGAATAAAGTTTGTACTATATATCAAATTTTTCTATCACTCGACTACCTCTAGAGTTCATTTATTCAGTGAAGATACAGATAAACACTTAATTGGCCTTCAGTAAGATTTAATGCCAGTGAACACATATACTGTATAATGTAACATGTACAAAGAAAAAATTTCTGTCTTCCTGTTGTAAGTTCATAGTTATATCCACAAGAAGTATTGAGTGCTGGGTAATTAATGTTATAAGTAAAGTAATTAATTTCATATTAGAATTATAAAAATAATTAAACAAGAATTCCAATATGTTACAGAAGAAAAATTCCATAAATGTTACAACGATTTACTTCAGGTGTCCAAACGTTGAGGAAAAGACAGTCTTCATCTTGAGGTGGAGAAGTACCGAATCTGGGATGTAGTTCTTTAATTGGTTGTACGCAGGCTGGCCCAAAACTCTTTGTTTCTAGATTGCCAGTCCAGCCAGGGTGCGATTCTGGAATCTGAAAATCCCACTGGTCATTACAAAATTTCCTCTGGAACCAGGGATTTAATTTAGTATGATACAAAATTTACCGAAAATCTTCTTTCTCCAACAGGAGCAATGGCAAAAGGTATTCCGAGGAATGCCAGAACAGGTACTCTTCCATCAGTGTAAATTTTAATCTACAAAAACATAGACGTGTAAGAAGAAGAACAATTATCTTAGAGTAACACTTGCGAAGTAGTACTACAAAGAATAAAATAAAAAATGACAAGAAAAAAATGGTAGTTTGATGTTAATTACTGAGATATTATCAACTTTACTTTACTCTAAACTGCTGCTTATAATAAAAAATTATAGATTAGGATGTGAAAAGCATTCACAACTCACCTCATTAAAAAAATCATCAAAATTGCAACTCTTGCTTAACATCAAAACGTATCAAATTTATCAGAGAAATGTAGTCAGTATTTAATATTTCTTTAAAAAACCAATGTATAAAGAACTAAAGATAAACTTAGATGCAATAATAATTCAATAAAAGGATATTTTATTAGAGTTAGTTTCAGATTAGAATCAATGGATTGTGTAACATCAGAATTTAGCAAGGCTTTTAACAATTTTACTCATGAAAATCATAGAGCAGAACATATAAGGTCAAAAGCACCAAAAATATAGAAAACAATTACTTCATTTAGTATGTACTGCATTGCTAAGCATCAGAAATGAATTCAAAGGGATGTTAAGACATTTCACAAACTATGGAAAAAACAAATATATAAATGGTTATTTCACTATGCCAGTATTTTTGTATATTGTTTTTGATACTTTACATTATATTCCAGTATCAAGAGAAATAAAATAAATAGTTTGGTTTAGCAATAATGTCGCTGTTAGTCAAGGTAGATAATTGGGTGTTTCCGTAGTTTGTGAATTGTCAAACCCCCTCCAAACCTCTACTATATAAATATGTAACTGTTAATCCTACTAACTGTAAGCATTTCAATAAATCGCTAAATATTATGAAATTATAAATTGAAGCTGAATTTTTTTTTCAATATAAAGGAAATTTAAAAATAATAAAAATATATATGCATTTTTATATATAAATGATTTGTATTTTTTAAAATATTACATATATATTTAGAAATATAAAATAAATACTGAAGAACCTGATTCATTATTATTATTATTTTTTTTTTATCATTAATCGTTTATTTTGTTTAATAAACTAAATAATGTAAATTTCAGATGCTGTTATTTGGGTTTGTTCAGTTTCCGACAATGTTTTTTCTTTCGATAGTAACTATATTCAGTTTGAGCGGTAATCTAATATTGACAATTAGCTAGAAGTTTTCGTTAGCGGTTCTGTGTAAATATGTGTAGCGCTTTGCGTTAATGTAATTCTATTATTCAGATTCGTGTTTAATGAGAATAGTGCTAGATTCGGTGAAATGTATTACGTAGTCGGAAGTGGATAGTGACGTTGAACGTTAATTGGGCCGTTACATCCATGGAGGACATGTTTGAATATTCTCAAATATTCTAGTAAGTTATATTTAAATATATAACTATTACTTATCCAACTATGATAACTTTTTAACCATCGTTGGATAACAATTGATAATTAGTTTTTAGTGGTACTTATAATATGAATATAAAATACAAAATTATTAATGATACATATATACAGTGATATGTCTCTGTATTAGAGAGAAGATATGGTTTTCTTGATACATGTTCATAATATTTCTACTGCTATTAATTAGTGATTTAGTGATTTACGTAAGAACAATTTTATCCTATTTTGCTTCAAATATACTATTCCACTTGTTTAACTTTAATTAACAATTTCTAGAGCAATTTTTTTTTTTTTTTACAGATACTTTACATAAAATGTTTATAAACAATTTAGTTATTACAAATAAAAACTGTCTTAAGTGAAAAAGGAGAGTGTATGAATTCCATAAACTGTCGTTACTTAGTGTCTCGCCAATTAGTTGAGTGTGGAATCGAATAATTGGGCTTACTAAGCTTTTAGAGCGACTCTTAATTAATAAGAATAGCTATTAATTTTATTTGAAATAATCCATTGTCAGTTAAAACGTTTAAATTAAATTGGTTGATTGTTTAACTTAAACCAGAATCCAACAGTAAAAAATGACACTTCATGTAATATCAACTGTTTTTACTTTTACTTATCTATATATGTAATATATATTAAGGATACGTATTGCGATCGTGAAAATTTTCGAATCTGAGTTTTCAACGGCAATACACGTTTTGAGGTTCCCTGAGTCCAAATAACCAAGTCCCACAAAACGGTCTCTATGTGGGTGTGTGCGTGTGTGTATGTGAACAGTCTAGCTCAAAAACGAAAAGTCGGATGAAACTGAAATTGCATATTTCAGGTTTTTATAAGCATGGGATATTACAGCAACATTTTCATCAAAATTGACAAACCGGAAGTGGTATTTTATATTATCGATTTAACACATTTTTACGACTTTCTTAAAAACGGGTTAATGATTTTGATTCAACTCTGAACTCAGAATATCAGTGTATTATTAAGCAGTTTTTAATATAAAGCAGGTTTAATTCTCATTTATAGTTTCTAAAAGGCCTTAAATGGCTAATTTTCAATATTAGCTTCCTCCATAGCACTTTTAATTTTTTCTATTTGAAATAATTAACCATTTAACATTAATCTTTGATATAAAAAACAGTCAAATATAAAATATGAAAGAATGTGATAAATAACTAAAGGAGAAATAAGAGATCGTAACATATAATAGTTGTAATGAAGGAGCCAAAGGAATGCGAGCGCGCCCGAGCTCACCCGAAAGATTACATGGCTTCCATACCTAACATATACATACGCGGTTTTCATAAATGTTATCTTTAGTATTATTTAATATATATATATAAAAATTAAAATTTGTATATATAAGGGTATTTAAACATATAAAAACACCCATAATGAAACGTAAATAAATTTAGCCTCTATAATTTTTACTTTCACTTCCCCTTTATCAGGAAATACTTCCTTATGCTAAGCAGAGGATGGTAAGTAAAGTCGCGTGATGCGCGTACCAGATTTTTATAATTGTGGGCGATGGGATCGATAAGCCCAAAGCTCATCAATCGAAGATTGATTATGTAATTTGCCTTATGTTAAATCAGATTTTACTTTATTCAGTTCATCTGGTAGGCCATTGGATCTGTACATCTATGGTACCTACTCATCTACATATCTAAGCAGGAAACGAGCAAAAAGTATATCACAGATGAATTATTTATATTTGTAACCAAGCTGAAATGTTTAGCTGTGGTTATCTGAGGAATCAATTATTATGAAAGTTTAATATTCTTATAAGGTATTAATCGTTCGCTGTTATAATTATTTTAATTTACAAAAATCGACAAGATTTAAAAGATAATATTTATTCCACTAATCAGAGGTTTTACAAAAAGAAGTTTGGACAATTTTTCCTCATTAATTTCATCTCCTAATGAATTATCAGCTTTAAAATATCTGAGAAACAAGCGAAAAAGTTTCTTTTCAATTTACAATAAGGTACTATGATTTTTAAATAAATAAATACTGCCAGCTAAATCCATTGATTTTTAATGTAGGCACTCATTATATTCATAAATTATATTGAACATGATCACAGGCTGATCTACTTGAGGAGGAAGGAGGGGGCGGGCTTTCGGGATGAAGTCCTCCCCCCCCCCAAAAAAAGCGGTAAAATATCACCATATTTTATAGAAAAAAAATATTGAAAACTATCTCTTAAAGTATTATTGTTCTTGTAATTCCATTTAATAGGACTTCAAGAATCACTTAAACGCTATTTCATATAGGTAGTTCATTTCTTTTTTTCAACTTAATCATCGTTATATATATGATAAAAATCTTTCGGGTTGAAGCCCCCCCAAAAAAAATTAAATCCTGGATCCGCTAGTGAACATGATGATGATACATTTTTTAATGTATGCATTTTGTATGTATGTATGTATTTAATATAAACTAACCAGACGTTTCTTTGAAAATAAAAAATAAGGTATGATTTTGTTACAAATAATAGTACCTGTTAAATTGATGATTTTAATAATCGATGGATTGTTAATGTAAGCACACGCATGATAGACAATCGCACTATGTCTTCAATACCCAAACCAATTTTCTTTTAAATAACTATAAATAATTTTACAAGCTATTAATGGTCACTTTAAAATATTGACAGAATTAAACAATTAATGAATGCTACGATTTTAACATTTTCTTTGAAGATTACTTCGATTATTTTACAAAGGACTTGCCGAAACTGTTGGGGATCGTAAGTGACCACTTAGTCAGCTTACTAGATCTGACCCTGAAGTGAATTATATTTGAAAACAATAGGATGATTTTTTATATGTGGATTCATATACATGAAGTGTTCTTTCCAGAAAAGATGGTTAAGAAGCATAACTCAATACCACGAAAAATGACCCTATATTCATGTTGATAAATTTTGTTTGTTTAGAATTGTTGATAATTTTTAATCGTTAGAAATTGTATATATGTATTTCAAGAAATTAAGTTCTACAACTTTATACCTAATATGAGTTTCTTGTTAGAAACTATGGCATAGAAGAATATTACCCTAAGATGATTGGTATTTAATATGAAATAGCACTTTAAGACTGAGAATCACAAGTTTATTTTAAAAAACTACTAACTTGAAATTTTCAATCATCCTATAATTGATAAAAGACACCCTCTTGTGAAAGCATAAAGAAGCTTGAGACCTACCTACTTTAACAAGGAAAACATATCTTCAACATAACGTACCCCTGTGACGGTGCCATTGCGCAAGTTTACGACGGGCTCTTGTAAGGCCTCCACAGACACCAAGAAGGCCAGCAGGAGCAACATCAAGCAATGCTGCCAACGGACTGAAGAGCTAGCGGAACGGACCAGTTCCGACCACATGTTCCTGTTTCCTGTTGCCCGCAAGGTCACAACCTCTTTATACCATTCATTGCCTAGCTTTACACTTTAAAGCATGGTCTAACAAAGACCATTTTAGTAAACACTATTCCAATGCGGTTCCGTCGACTTAGGATTTCGGAAACTGCTCAATAGGTAGCCGGTTTTGTCGGATCACCATAATAATGGATCCACAAAATATAAATGCTATTTTATTTTTTTTTTTAGATTATGAATTAGTAATGGCATCACATTTTATTTTCTCAGTAAATCCTAAATTACTTTTGTTTTGGTATATCGTTCACCATTTGTATCGTTTTCCCTTCCATTTGTTTGTTTTTCGTTCCTTTAGATAGATAGATAGATAGAAAAATAATTTTATTCTGGGACACAGTCCCTTGAGAATAACAAAATAGAACAAATTAAAAGATCACATCTGGCCAAAATAAAATCAATCGAAAAAAATAAATAATGTAAAAAAAATATAAGGTAAACATTCTATATAAAAAAAAACGAAACTATATACAAAACAATTAATACTATAACAAGGCACTTAAAGCTATTTGCACTGGTATACACTTTTAAGAAAATAATAAAGAATTAAAAAATAAAAATGTATCAATGAATCAATCAATGAATTTTTATGTATCAAACTCTCTATTAAAATCAGCTCGAATGGTTAGCAACTATCTGACTGTTCTTGGGATAGGAATTGGAATAGGAGGATTTTGAATTTGGATATGGATGGGGAATGTCCAAATTTTGATAGGGAGGGATTTCCAGAAATTGACAGAGCGAACAACAAAGGAATTTTGGAATGAGGCAGATCTGTGAGAAGGCATGTAAAGATTAGAAGGTCGAGATCTTGTGGACAGGGAATGGACTGAGGATTTGAACTGGAGAAGATTGTAGGCGTAAGAAGGACGATGACTGTTGATGATTTGGTAGAGGAACGTACCTAGGAAATATTGTCTTCGGAAGGAGGGGAAAAGCCACTTTAACTCAGCATAGTGGTGAGAAACATGGGAGTATCTTGGGGCCCCGATCACAAATCTTACACAGCTGTTCATTAGTCTTTTCAGTCTATCACGGAGCTCCACAGAGAGGCCATCATACACCACACAGCTATAGTCAAAGTGGGGGAAAATGAGAGAGGAAACTAGGAGTCTACGCGTATGTTGAGGTAGGAGATGGCGGAAGCGATGGAATAGTTTGAGGGTGGAAATTGTCCGTCGAGAGATATGAGAAATATGGTGATTCCAAAGGAGGTTTTGATCAATGAAAAATCCTAAGTTTTTAACAGAGGAGTAGAAGGAGATTGGCTGGTCATTAAGGTGAAGGATGGGAAATTCTGGATGGGATCTAAGAAGGGGCTTGGAAGCAATGACAATGGCCTGAGTTTTGGCGGCATTTAACCTTAATCCATTTACATTTGCCCAGGCACTGATTCGATCTAGGTCTTCTTGGATCTTGGCAAATGCCCCCAGTAACTCAGGAGGGGAAAATGATAGGTAGATCTGTGAATCGTCTGCATAAAGGTGATGGGAACAATGGAGAATTGATTTAGGTAGGTCGTTAATGTAGGAGCTGAAAAGGAGAGGAGATATGCTTGAACCCTGGGCAACTCCAGAGGATAAAGAAAGGAAGGCAGATAGTGGTTGGTTGGGTATGGAGACTGCTTGGGTACGTTGTGAGAGGAAAGATTGAAACCAAGAGATGGAACTATTGGAGAAGGATAATAATTTCAGTTTGTTGAAAAGGATGGAATGGTTAATGGAATCGAAGGCTTTGGAGAAGTCGAGAAGGATAAGAATGGTTAACTTTTTATCATCTATTGCAGTTTGAATGTCGTTGGTGATTTTAATTAAGGCGGATTGTGTGGAGTAGCTGGGACGGAAACCAGATTGGAGAGGATCAAGTTGGTTGGACTTTTCAAGGAAGTTGGAGACTTGGGATTGCACCAATCTTTCTAGGGGCTTCGAGAGGTTGGAAAGAATTGAGATTGGGCGGAAATCTTCGGGTGAGGTCGGATTAGAATTTTTATTTAAAGGAAGGACAATGGCTTGTTTCCAAGATGTAGGGAATACTGAATTCTGAAGGGAGAAATTGTAGATGAAAAGAAGGACTGGGAGGATTTCAGGAAGACATAATTTTATTAGTTTGACAGGGATGCCGTCCGGTCCTATGGAATTGGTGTGGGATTTCATTACAGCGGTTAAAAGGTCTGTAGGGGAAATGTCGGAAAAATAAAAGTTATTGTCGTTAAATGTTATCTCTATTGGGAAGTCGGACAGGAGGATAAAGGAGAGGTATTAGCAACAGATATAAAATGCGAGTTTAGATCATCAGGGGATATTGGAAAGGCTGGAGTAGGAGATCGGGAAGGATCACAAAGGGAGAGTTTACGAAGCAGTCGCCATTTTGATTTTATGTCAGGAGTTGAGGAAAGGGCTTCGTGGAAGTAGAGGGACTTCGCACGCCGGATCCTTGTTTGTGTCAAGTTGCGAAGCACCCTGAACGCTTGGTAGTCATCTGCAAGCCTAGTACGTCTGAAGCGTCTACGAGCAGCGTCGCGCCTCTTCTGCAGGTCTTTAATTTCCTGACACATCCAAGGAGCAGGCCGGTGACGAAATGTAGAGGTTTTGAGAGGGGCATGGGTATTGAGGATATTGAGGAGATTGGTAGTAAGAATATCGACCATAGAGTCGATAGAAGTGCAAGAATATATTTTATTCCAATCTAGGATTTCCAGGTCAGGTAATATTTGTTCTCGTGTAAGGGAATCTAGATGGCGGAAGGTGATAGTTCGAGGCTGAATAGGAGGAGTTTGGATATTATATGTTATTTGTATCAGATCGTGAGATGACAAAAAGGATACTGGCAGTTGTGAAGAGGAGAGGAGGTTTTGTGCAGAGTCTATAATATAGAAATCTATCCAAGTGTCGGACCTGCTAGTATGGTGAGTGGGAGAAAAAGGAACGATAAAGAGGTGAAGGGAGAAGAATAGGTCTTCTAGATAGGATTTGTCATTGGAGTTAAATAGGAAATTGGTATTGAGGTCACCTGAGATGATTATTCTGGGATAGAGGGGAACGAAATTCAATAGGGTAGATTCAAAGGCCGTGTGAAATGGAACAAGAGGAGGACGGTATACCACAGCGTAGAGGAGAGGAGAAGTATTACAAAGGATTTCAACTAATAGGTATTCAGTTTGTGGGTGGTTGGAAGAGATTTGTGGGTGGTTGGAAGAAATACCTTTATACCTCGTAATGAAAATAACTGATCAATGATTGCCAAAACCTAGTTTAATGATAGCCTAAGATTAATTGTTATAGAGCACCTTCTAGATCGGCGCCTCTCAGCGTGTGTGGAGTTCCCATTTCTGGTTTGACCCTGCACTTTTCCTATTTAGAGGGAGAGTTAGTTTCTTCTTCTTAGTCAAGTCCTCTTCTGCTATCAATCATTGTTGAAGATCTTTTTTATAGAGCCGAATTCTTGTATCCTGATCTGACACTCGCTGCCTGCTTCTGTTTCAACTCATTGCTCTTCATTCGAAAGCCTCTGTGCCTACACTTTTCTAAATGTTTCTGAGTCTACCTCTAGCTCTTCTTCTCTCCATTCTCGCATCGTACTTAATTTTAGCCATTCTTTTCTCCTCCATGATTTTGTCATGGCCAAACCAACACTCACTATTTTGCTTTATTATGTTTTGGGTGTTTTTACTCCCAGTCTACTTCTCATTTTTGTATTTTTGATTTTGAAAACAAAAATACAAATTTGAGTTTTATCTCTACTGTCGTCCGGAACTTCAGTTTCATTGCTTGTAATTGGCTTCTGTGCTTTGGGATAATAGTCTAGGATTTACTGAGTAGGTCAGTAAGTGTATTGTGGATTTTGGTCACTTCTCTCTTTCTCAAGTAGCCTGCTTTCAGTGGATCCAACCGTTCACGTTTAGATCAGCCGCCAAATACTTGTGATTGCTGGCGTTCTGCAGTTCTTTTCCCTTCATTAGAAATCACTAGCGGATCCAGGATTTAATTTTGGGAGGCTTCAGTCCGAAAGCTTTTTTTCCGTAAAAATTACGATAATTACTTTGGAAAAAAATAAATAAACTAACTGCCTACATGAAATGGTGTTTAAGTGATTCCTAAAGTCCTTTTAAATGAGATTACATGAATAATAATACTTTAAGAGATATTTTTTTCCATAAAACATGGTTACATTTTACCATTTGGGGGGAGGGGGCTTCAGCCCGAAAGCCCCCCCAGTAGATCCGCCCGTGTTAGAAATACTAGGTTTCTTCCTCCTCTATGAAGAGAGGGTAGGAACCGTCATTATTATTATTTTTTTAAATCTGTTTATTTCCGTGTTTAGGGCTGCTGTAATTCCTCCTACAGGACTCGAGGATTGTATTGAATGTTTCTTCTATTGTTTCTGAATGTTAACATATCGTCTCGACTCTTGATAACTTGAACCTCAATAACTAACTCGTTGGCAATACAAATTTTTATCTACTTTTCAAATCTCGTTTAATAAGAATAATACAAAAAAATTATAAGAATAATTTATACAGAAATTTCAAACATGTAGAAAGCTATATTAATTAAAAACATTGATATTTTTCCGAATTTCCAGCAGTTAAGTTCCTGTGTTGCCAGTCCATGACTTTCCCTATAACTTTGTTTGTTGTTGTTTTAAACACATATTCTGAGTTCTAAACACATATAAAACATTGCCATTCTAATGTGCATATTTTTTGAACTCTACTATTATTCTAAGGGGACTTCAGTCCCGGAATAAAATTGTTTTCCATTTCATTTCATAACAAAGAAAAATGACAGATGTTTTTATTTTCAAAAAGTTGTATACATTTTATTTTTTTTTATGTTTTATATTTTGATTTTGGATTCGGATTAATCTTTTATGGACTTGAAACTTATTATTGTTTAATAAAAAATGCTTATTGTTTTAAATACAACACTATTTTTTTAAATAATATTACTTGAGTAATTATGATAGGAGAATCTAATAATAAATATAAGTAAAATGTTTATTTTTTATTTACGACGTTTATTTACAACAGAACTCTTATTGCCTTTTCTTCTGCAAAAGCTTGTTTTTTTAAGTCCAAATTTAACATTCATGCTAAAATAGACTAAAAGCCAACAATTTTATTTCTCTTTCATATAAGAACAACTTGTATATTTATAATTAGGCTACACTGTCTGAGTCAGATTTAGGTGAACTTATGATATTTATTATAGATTGAAATGTTTTTTTCTTGTATAGGCTCAACTTACTTTTTATTATATAGAGATGAAGATATAGTTGTTATATATATTTTTCTAGTAAATTCTTATTTAAATCTGTATCATTTAAAGACTGAGTCTAAGAGATTTTGGTAATTATGCTGGTGCATATAATCTAACTATATGAAATCTATAGAAATTTAAGATCAAATGTTTTTTTAATATTTTACGAAGTAGTCAAACCAAAATCACTAAATATGAAATTGATTTTGTATCTTTCAAAATGATAAAGTAGTGCTTGCTGCATTAGACTAAGTTTAATTTACTCGAATTATCGCCGATAAAAATTGTCTATATCTCCATCCTCTGAGGTGTAGCATATCTGGATAATTTGGAGCAAAGAGCAGATTTATTTAAGAGACCTTAAAAAAACACATTAAAATATTCTTTTATTTCACATTAAAAAAGTATTTTGTTGTTATTTGTATTTCACTCTGGTTATTGTTTCTAATTGAGTTGAATAATTAGTCAGTTAATTATAAATGTAATGTCAGGCATTTGAGAAAATAAATCAACTTAATAAAAAATGTACGTTTATTCTTCCATGATCTATGCTAATTATGCTTGGGCTTTAAAATAAATTGTTATTCATTAATAGAAGTGGATTAATACGATTAATTAAATAAATCCACAAAGAGAAAATCATCCCCTCTCTCCCGAAAAAAAAGAGTTTTTGTCTGGTTGAAGTATAGTTTTCTAATGTTTTTGCTATGAAATTAAGATTAATATATATCCTCTGATGTCTGAAATATTAAAAAAAAATATATATATATTTATATTCCTCATGGCTGTGGCTAAAAATGTGCATTCTCAATGTTTCAAAGAAAGAGTTTAATCAATTTAGAAGTTGAGAATAAGGAAGGCTGAGGAATTAGAAATTGGGGATCATAACATAGACAGTGATATTTTTATCAAATCAATTTCAGAATCAAAGAATTCTCGAAAATGAAATATAATTTACTATACAAATGATTAATACCTGATGAGAAATTATTTAAAGATACATTTTTCTTAAGTTATGTTTTTCTGAATAAAACAAATTTACTAAAAACTAGAAATTAAATTAATATACTTGTCCATTTTTTCCTACCACAGATATGTATCCTTTATTTAAAAGGGATTAGAAATGAAAAATATTCACTAAAGTGGAAATATTTTGAGGAAAAATAACTAAAAGAACTGAAATTTTGTTAAATATGTAGTAGTTCAATAACTTGTTCAGTCTACATTTATTGCAAAATTTAACATTTATAGTATTCCTACAAGAATTTACACTAAAGTATTTTATATAGAATTGTTTTAAATATTTTATTTTATAATAAAAAACGTAAATGTTAAACTTTGATAGCTAATGTATTTACTTAAGTTATAAAAACTGTAAAATATGAAAGGAATGTTAATTATGTGGATTAATCAGTAGTTGTTACTTACACCGCTAGATAGCACCAGAGTGAGCGCGCCGGTGCAGAAGGGTCGTTACATGGTTATATCGTGCCAGTCTGTCAGTGTTGTGTTGTTTAGGTTAGTCTGCTCATCTTGGTATGCAACTATTGGATTTCGGAGACGTATTCGACTATATTTTCGATAATTTACATCGTGCTTCCACCTGGCTCTTCCTTCACCTAAAAGATGGGCAAGAGACGGATGTGTTATCGAAGAAAATGGTGTCAGACAGTGATAGTGAAAGAAAAATTGTATTGTTTATCAAATGTTTTATGACTCTGTACGCAAAAAATACCATTAGTTTGATACATTTTTTGAGTAAGTAAAAATTAGTGATTATGTTCAGTAATTTTATCCACAATAACAAAGCACCTGTCTTTCGCTTTGTTAATTATTGTTTACAGAATTTAAAGATCACTTAATTAATCGAGGAGCATAGATACAGACATGTACTGAACTCAGAAAGAAATCAAACTGCGAAAAACAATGCAGGCCAAGAAACGCTACCTCTTAGTTCTCCTGTCTTGTGCGTTTTTAGCTTACTGCTACTTTGGAGGCTATCGGTTGAAAAGTGAAGACATTACTCATTTCACTGAAGAATCTCTCCCTACCTATGTCGATACATGGAAAGATCAGCTTTACGAGAGAGATTTAGAACCGGCCCCCCACTTGCGAAGAACAGGTAATTCATACGGTGTACGAAAGGGTAACAGTAACATAGTAAATCAGAAATGTAGAATGGAAACATGTTTTGACTTCACACGATGTATGAAAGATTTCAAAGTTTATGTGTATCCTACAGCTGATGAATCGACTGGTGAAGTGCCCCTTACACCAAGTGCTGTCTATCAAAAAGTACTAGATGTTATTTCTGAATCTCGATATTATACACCAGATCCTAGTCAAGCTTGCTTGTTTGTTCTTGCAATAGATACTTTAGATAGAGACAATTTATCAGCGGATTATGTTCGTAATGTGCCATCCCGACTCCAGAGGCTCAAATTGTGGAATGGAGGAAGAAACCATGTTGTGTTCAATTTATATTCAGGTACATGGCCTGATTATTCTGAAGATGATCTCGGTTTCGATACTGGTGAAGCGATTTTAGCCAAGGCTAGTATGTCTGTCACCAGTTTCAGACCAGGATTTGACATATCAATTCCTCTGTTTCATAAGGTATGAACATTGTCGTTGTTTATAATTTGTTTTATCATTCCAATACATATAAAAAAGTTTATATTTAAATTAAAAGGGAATGTATAATTAATTAGTTTTAGGATTAATGTTATTATTTTAATTGTAAACATTTTGTAATTAATTTTTTTTCTTTTTAGAATCATCCTGAAAAAGGTGGAGAGCCAGGTTTCGTATCAACCAATAATTTCCCAATTAACAAAAAATATCTTCTTGCCTTTAAAGGTAAGCGTTATGTGCACGGTATCGGTTCAGAAACGCGTAATTCACTTTATCATCTTCATAATGAAAGAGACATTGTACTTGTGACAACATGTCGTCATGGGAAGTCGTGGAAGGAGTTAAAGGATGAGAGGTGCGATGAAGACAACACAGAATATGACAGGTAATAGCTCAGCATGCTTATTTATGCATGTATTGAAATGAAGATTATGGTAATCCGATTGGATTATAATTAACTACCAAAGTTATTATTTAAAATCGTCTACTTTGCAATGCAAAAGGGTGATGATTACATTTTATTAATGTAAAAAATATGCCATTTAATTGAAAATTACACAATTAAAATATAAATTAATCATTTTGTTTTATTTTTATTTTAATTTTTAAATATATTATTTAGTTGTTTAATTGAGTGCCATGATGTTTTGAAGATGTTTAATCTTCTTGAATACAAATAGCAATATTCAGATTTTTCTTTTGTAAAATATATAGGAACACTCACACATATTTATTCTTAAATATTAATAAAAAAATCTACATTTTGTTCTACTTTTTGTTGATACAATATATCCAAAACAAATTTGTCATCTAATTTAAAATCTATTCTTTGGAATTTGTTTTTAGTCAGAATTAAAGTTAGTTGTGGCATTTATTTTTTTAATGAAAAATATATAATAATGAAATATATATAGTTTTTTCCTAAATTAAGTGTACTAAATTCCAGTACTAAGAAATGATACGTGCCATAGAAATGCTGTCAAGGGGCTATTTTGGTCACAATAGCCCATACCGATTTGTTAAAAACAAAACAAATAAATGTAAATATATATTAAAAGTAGATCATGTTGTATTGGAAATTTATCTTTCGAGGATATGTGATCATATACCCATGAAATCATTCTGGATGTATTTATCTGTTAAATTCCTAGTTTTGAGAGGACAATGAGTTCATCATTAACCTATTAATATGATTTTTTTTTTTTTAAATTAAATAGTTTGCTATTGAAAGTCTTGCCAATATAAAATCATTTCTTTTATCAAACTCTTGTGTTTTTTTTTTAAATTACTTTAATTAATAAAAACTATGCATTTTACTGTAGTCTAATAATTTTATTTATTTTCATTCCGACTTTTTAATTTATTTTCAAAATTAGTTTGTATATATATATATATATATAAATTTCCGTCCATGTCTAGAATACTATTTTATTTTCTCCAAAATTTTCAGTAAATTATTGATAGAAGTTCGTCGGGACTCAATAAATTTTCGGAGTTTTTTTATTGCCCGCGTTTCCAGTCGTAGGCTATTGGAAAATAATTTTTTTTGTAACCAACATTGTGTTTTTTTTTTAAGGAATATAATATTTGCAATTAAGCTATAAACAGAGATGGATCCCTTAAGAACTATTAATAAAAAGCGGAATTCTTAATTTCGGAATGAATCAAGTCAACATACCAGATATTGTGCATGTATTCTTACTCAAGATACTTAGATTTAGACAATAATCATATTCATCTTATAGCTATTGTATGAATACAATAATGAAACAATTTGTACCGACCTAAGGAGCAAAGTTGAGATTTTAATTTCGCATCTCGAAATATCCTTAAATCTGGATATTCATAATAATCGAAAAATTAACTTTTTTTTATCAAAATCGGTTTTTTTTTCCGACAATCACTATAATTGTTATAGCTTTTTTATGATTACTTATCCACACGAAACTTTAAGGCCTTATAAACTATATGAAATGATACAAACCAGACCTCCGTAAACGAAATAGAACCGGATTTATAAAATAAGAATTTTAAAGAATTGTAACGTCCTCCTAAATAATTTAAAATAAAATAAAACATAATATAATACAAAAAGTTTGCCGAAAATTCGAAAAAAAATAATTTTTAAAATTTGTTTTTCTAGTTATGTATATATCGTATTTCATATAAAAATATTTATAAATTAAGTTTTCCGAAAATAAAAATTTCAGCCTTGCTCCTCTCTTATATGAAAGCAGCTTTCGTATTAAGCATGCTTTTATAAAAATTACCTGGAATCATCTTTTTGTGATTTTTATATATCCTTTACGCGGACGTACGTAGGGGAGAACAAAGAAATATATATATTTAGTTATAAAAATTGAGGGGACGAAACTGTAAAATTTTATTTTATTTCAAGGTTCCAAATCAGCATATATTTTATAGGTTCCGCATTTCATAGGTATCGGAACGATATGCAAATTAGGTTTAATTAATATTAACCACCATAAAAAGCATCATGAAGTAAACAAATAAAAATAGATTATATAGTAAAAAATGTTATAAACTATAAATATTTTTTATTGCGAACCAAAGATCGTTTACCATCGAGATGTAAAATTTATTTGTCATAATTTTTTATCAATGTAATTATGAAATATTATTCAATTTTTTATAGTTATGTAATTTAGGCACTATCACTCTACAGATTTTACGAAAGAAGCACGATTTAATTAAAATATATATGTGGTTATATGTTTCAGACTTTTTGGAGATCTGGTTTCCTTGTTCCTATCTGAATTTTGTATTTAAATCGATCAACATGTAATTAAGTTATTACAATATTAATAAATATATCTAAGTATGAAGGAAAACAAAAATGACAAAGATTATATTTTTATCATAAGAGAAAAAAAATGCGTATAGTTTATAATAGTTTTTGTTTTTGTTACGTAATCTTTACGGTTTATTCTGCGACTCCTTTGGGACAAAATCCATCCGCATCAAAAACGGACATTTGTCATTTTCAGAAAGGGGAGAAAAAATCAATTTTGGTTTTGTAAGTTCAACTGGAACTGTTTCTGATGATTTAGTTTAAAAATGTTCAAATTGAATCATGAAAAAAAAATCATTAGAATTGGTTTAAATTGCAGAAACATTAAAGAAAATTGTAGTTTTTCAACTTAGAAAAAAATGAAAGATGTCCGCTTTGATATGAGGGCACTCATTTGTTGGAAGACATTAGTTGGTTCATAGAATCAAACTATTTAGACAGCAATATCTGATTAATGAATGTCTCTTTGCTAAAATGTATGGTGCTTTTTCGTATGTTCTGAATGCTAGAAAAAACATTTTTAAACTATATTAATATCTGTCTGTCTCATATTTTGGTTTATTATTTTCAATAATCAACCATTGTGATCGACCAAAAAATTAAAAAACTTAAACCCCTCTCAAAATTTGAGGTTTCACGTTTCAGGATGCGTAGAATTCGAAAATGTTTTGTCCGTCCGCCGCCCGCGCATTTTCTCCGAAACTACTGGATCTATTTTTTTCTAATTTGAATTTAAAATCAGAGGTCACCCGAGAATGATCCTCCTTCATCGACATTACTATCCCCATTTTACTTTCAAAATGGCGGCCGAAAAACCTGCGTTACTATAGACTGTAGCGCCTAAACGAATGTACCGATATCAATGAAACTTTGCTAAAGTCATTTTCTCGACGCCCTTTAAATTTATTTATATAACATACTTCAACGAAAAGAAGGTGGAAACAAAGTTACGAGGGATGGTAAAATTAAATTCCGAATAACACAAAAAGTTAATACATTTTTGTCGACATTGTGATAAGATGTTTCAAAGGTATTTAAATTTCCTAAAAAATAAAGGAAGTTTCATCGAAATCAAAGCATTACTAGTAGAGATATCGCGATTTATAAATATTTTTGATTTATTATTTTCAATAATCAACCATTGTGATCGACCAAAAAATTCAAAAACTTAACCCCCTCTCAAAATTTGAGGTTTCACGTTTTTTTTTCTGATGTCCTGCTGAACCAGCCTTCTACTTCTGTCTTGAGCTATTCGGTTTAAGTTTTCTACATGCAATTCTGTAGCATCATTGTTGATTTGATCTATCCATCTGACTTTCGTTCTCCAACGTGGTGTCATACCAAATATTGAGGCATTCATTGTTAAGAGTATGCATTCTGATGGTGTATTCGGAGTATGTACTGTATGTGTAATCTCCTTGCCTTTATACCATGATGTATTGATCGACTAATTTCTGTAAGTAATTTTTTAGTAGTCCTTCTTATCAGTAGCGGATCCAAGATTTAATTTCAGAGGAGTTTCAGCCCGAATGCTTTTTTTTTTCATAAAAGTAACGATAATTACTTTGGAAAAAAAGAAAGAAACTTACTACCTGTATGAAATAGTGTTTAAGTGATTCCTAAAGTCCTTTTAAATGTAATTACACGAACAATAATACTTAAAGAGATAATTTTTTTTTTCCTTAAGACATGGTTATACCATTTTTTTGGGGGGGGGAGGGGAAGCTTCAGCCCCAAAGCCCCCTCCCCGTAGATCCGCTCGTGCTTCTCATCCATGAGTTAGTACTCTGATCCCACATCGCTCCCGGTCATCGTGAGGATCCCCTCACATACTTTTCAATATTTCTTTTTAGGATGCTGTTTAGTTTCCTAGTCTTGTAGGCCATATCAGGATTGGCTTTATCATTGCATTGTATACTAGTGATAGGATATCAAAGGTCCAATATCGATATAGTCATCGATGATAATATCGGCATACAACTATCGATACCATCAAAATATCGGACTCGATTTTTGAAATATGAATATGAATATAAATGTTGATTCTCCACATAGGTACATATAAAAAAACGCCTGCAAAAATTACACAATAGTTTATTATTTCTAAACAATTATACATCTAAAGTAACATTACCTTCCTCGTTAAAAAAATAAAAAATAAAAGGTGATTCAAATTATAGGACTAAACTTTCTTATTTTTAATCATTAATAATATGCTAAAAAAAAATAGGATTACTTCAGTAACACATTCAAAATTTAAAAACCAAACAAACGATATAACATATGGAGCAGAATATATAAAAAAGAACTGAAGACCATATCTTTGCTCCTAATTGTCCGATTTTAACGTTGTTTTTTTTTTTAAAGGAAATTCCGTAAGGTATTAAAAAACAATATACGATATCATCAAAAAAGTGTAAACTTTTTGAGTTATTCGAAATTTAATTTTACCATCCCTCGTAACTTTTTTTCCACCTTCTTTTCGTTGAAGTATGTTATATAAATAAATTTAAAGGGCGTCGAGAAAATGACTTTAGCGAAGTCTCATTGATATCGGTACATTCGTTTAGGCGCTAC